GAGGTACGGCATGCACGGCTCGGCTGGAGACCTTGCGCCGCTGCTGCAAACAGCCCAAGCTTAACCCCCACTCCGTCCAACAATACCCTCCCCTCCGGGCCCCCCCGCCCATCCCGCCCCCTCACCTTGAGCGTCTCCCTCAGCGCGTGCACCTGCTCCGCCTCCATGTACCCCTCCTCCGCCACCACCGCCACCGCCACGATGTACGCCAGCAGCAGGGCGGACTGCGCGTCAGTGCGCTCGTAGCGGGCACCGCGCAGGGGGTCCTCACTGGGGGGGAGGCGGGTGGACAAGGGGAGGCGACACAAACACAGGGTGGTGAGGAGGCGGGCTCCATGCGGGCAAAGCGCCCCGTACGGCGGCCCTCATGCCGCAGCCCCGACCGCCGCCGCCTTCCCCCTCAGCCTGCTCCCTCCTCTGCCCCTGTGCTAAGCCCCCGCTCCCGCTCCCGTCCCCCCCCCGTCCTCACACTCGGTTGTAGAACTTGTCTAGCAGGTGCTGCATGAGCGCCTCCCGCAGCCGCATCTCCCGCGCCACACCCGCCACGCCTTCGGACTTGATAGCCAGCCGGGGCCGAGCCTGACGCCGGAAGAGGGGGAGGAAGGAGAAGGAGGGAGGGATGCTTGGATGAGCGCTAGACATGGGGAAAGCAAACCTCGAGCCAACAGTCACATACGGAAGCCGCTGACCCCACCCGGCAGGGCCTCTGCTGACCAGCGCCTGACCTCCCTCGCACCAGGGCTTCCCTCCCTCCCTCCCCCTTCCCCACCTGCAGCCTCAGCAGTGCCGCCAGCAGCGCCAGGTACTGCACCCGGCGGCGCACGCGGGATGCGGCGGACTCGGAGTCGGAGGCCTTGAGCAGCCGCAGCGGACCCAGCCGGCTCAGCACGTAGCTGGGAATCTGAGGGGGAGAGGGGGGGAAGGTAGGGAGAGGGAGCGGACGTGTGGGGCGGAGGAGGTGGAACAGCATGCGGCAAGCCACCAGGGACACATGGGCGTGTGGTTAACGGAGGCGATCCGGTCGGGGGATGACGGTCCTGATCAGCAGCCTGTCCCCCACGTCCCTGCCCTCCCTGCTGCCCCCATGCCCCCTCACCACATCCTTCTCGCGAGCGAACTCCAGCTTCTGCAGTGGGGGCGGGGAGGCGGGGGTTGCGCGTCAGAGGAGGCGCAGCAGAGCAGCCGCACCGACACATGACGCCAACCCGCCCAACCAGGGCCCCAACAAACCCCGGACCAACACGGGCCACCCCTCTCCCCCCTCTCCTCCCCTCCCACCTTCTCGTCCTCCGCCACCTCCTGGATCTGCCGCACGTACAGCTCCCCGACCAGCGCCCGCGCCGCCGCCTCCCGCTCGCCCTCAACCTCCTCCTCGCCCGCCGCGGCTGCAGGCGGCCCCAGCAGCAGCTCCAGCGGGTAGGCTGCCGCGGCGGAGGTGGCGTTGGGGTTGTGCGGCGGCACGGTGCGCGCGGAGAAAGCCCTCCGCCGCATCTCCTCGCGCGTGAGCCCCTCGCCCTGCCCCCGCGCCGCCACGCTGCCCAGCACCTGCTGCACCGCCTCGCCGCCGCTGATGCGGTCCGCAGCCACCACCCCCGCCTCGCGCGCGTTGAGCTGCCGCCGCCGCCGAGTGGAGCCGAACTCGTCCACCAGCCTGCAGCGCGGGAAGGGTGGTGGGGAGGGCATTGGCCGGGGGTAAGACAGCGCTTCACCTCGCTAAAGCCATTGTTGTGTGGGACGGAAGGAGAGGACGGAAGGAGGGCAAGAGAGGGAGAGCGAGCGCAGGAGGGCGGGAATGGGTCGAGTAGTGGCGCCATGGGGGTTTAGGAGCGCCCGCGCACCTCTTGGCCGCCATCTTCCTGGCGTCACGGTCCTGCTCCTCATCGGCTCCCGCACCCGTGGGGGCGTACACCAGCCCCTCCAGCCTGCGGGGAGGGAAAAAGAAATTCCAATGTGCGGGGAGGGAGGGGGGGCCGGGGGGGAGGGGGCGGTAGTGAGCTCAGCGCTACTAGAGAGCAGCGCTTACAGCAGCCTTAGTAAAGTAGGGTTACAGCCCATACCGGTATATCGTGTGCCAGTAGGAGCAAAATGGCATATGTTAAGCGAAGGGCTTACACAATCGTCGCCAAAGGTGGTGACACAGTTGGGAATGGGGTTCGACGTGCCATGCCATGCAAGCCGCACACCTGGAGATCGCAACTGAGCTGTTGCCTTTACAGCATTCCCACCTTGTATCTAGTCTAAACGGCCGTTCGCCAGCGACGTGCACAAGCTGCAACTTCCCGGTGTCTGGATTGTACACTCCAAGGGCATAAGATGCAGCTGCCACGCCGGCATTCTCAGCACCGTCGCTACGCCCCACGTATTCGATATTGCCAAGAGATGCATGGACTAAATGGTGATGCAACGACTTGGAGCTACGATGCACGCTGTATTTTAGTCGCTTAGCCGGCGACCGCGTCGCAGCAGCCGCTGATGTAGACGGCGCATTGGATGGTTGTGCGCCATCGGTAAGGACGCCAGGAAGATAGCAAACTGCCGGCAGCGCCGCCTCGGTCGCAACCGGAGGCTCTAGTTTAATACGTTGCCGCTTCCCTGCCATTACAAAGTGATTAACAAGTATAAATTAAAAGGGTAGGGGAAAAACTACTAATATCAGGCCTTTGCAAAGCTTATGGCTTCCTTGAGCGCTTCCTATCGCAAGCGTGCGACTAAAGCTTCTTTGCCATGCCTTGTCCTTCAACTCAGCAACCTCAGGCAGAAAACGATTGCTAATCGATTAACTTCAATCTCCTCAAGCCTGAGCAGTCAGCTGCCGTACAGACTGTTGCTGGCTTGCCAACCTTGGCCCTGTGCAGGACGCTTACGCAGGATGCAAACCGCTACGTATAACTGGCATTAAATGGCCGCTCGGGAATGTGTCTATTGCTCCGTGCGCGTCCTTCGTGTTACCGGTACCAACCGTGGCTATCCTGGTAATCGGTGTGTTCCCCGTAGCATCTATCATGGTCGACATTACGGGTTAAGCCTGGGCGGGTTCCATATCGTCACGCAAGGCGCGACGCTAGAGCTGGCTATGGGGTGGCCGAGCAGCGAGCACTGGAAGCAGGGCAATGGCCCCTTCGCCCAGAAGCCATCTTCGCACATGCGCATAACGGTATAAAACATTGTAAACGTCCGGCGAATTGCGGCGCCCAGTGGTGCTTCCGGACAAATAGTCTCCCTGGTACGGAGTTACCGTGGTCTGTTCATATCTGCTTGCCAACTTTGCATCTCGCAGTATTTTTTGAGACATCACTGTACCATGGTCGAGGCAGTCAGGGTTTACTTACATGTCTTCGACAATCCCAAGCTTACGCTGCCGTAAATTAAGCGTACAAAGCCGTCGTACGCAAGATACGGTTTCAGGGAAATCAATGACAGCAACCGACTTCTAAGAAAGCGATTATAGCCATGTTGACATGCAGGCCGCATGCACATCAAGATCTTACTTTAGCGTGGACTGCGGCAGACACCGACACCAGGAGTGGCGTTTTTGTTGTGCACCGAGCAGGTCTGAATTCAATCAATCAACCGGATTGATAAGGCCATGTCCGGCGATGAGGCCCAGCGAGGTCTGGGGAAAACAGAATGGGATGAAGCCTATGCAGTGGGACCTTTGGGAGGCGTTACGCGGACACAGAGTGAGTAACGACCTACGTTTTACGCTCAATGCAAGCCTTGGAGATCGAGGTTACCGGCTCTGCGAGCCGCAACGGAATTGCCGCTGGGTGAGGATTTCTTATAAATGCAGGCAATGAAGCGTCGTTCCTTCCAAAGAGAACGCGTAAGACTTCACGCCCAACGACATGTCAGGTGGGCGGCTTGAGCGCGACCTCGAAGCCGTGACGTGCATCGGCGTGCGACGGGGTTAGCGGCCCGTCGGCAACACTAACCATGTCTAGGCTAAAGTTGTTGACGTACATTGCCGCCCAATGTTTGCAAGCGAATACATCCTTACTGTTGGTTGGGCGCTTAGTCTTACAGCCATGCCCGTAAACGTCAGCCGAAGATGCCTCGTCACATTACTATAGTTAAACATGCGCACACATAACAATGGACGACAGCTGCCGTGGGCCTTTAGCGCCGGAAGGCCCACCGGACAGCAGTTAAGGTGGCATAGTTTCCAACGACCGGTCAGCCGGACCGGCCACACCGGTGGTTGCTACGCATAAAACGCAAGCACAATAGCTTGAAGGCAGCAACCTAACTCCCACGCAGCGAACAGACCCCCGGCTTGGCTCACGCGCAGCCCCTTCCCAACTGCCCTTCCCTCAGCACACCTGCCACCTCCTGTAGCTGTTCCACTCGCTGGGGGCCCTGTCCATGTCCGTCGGCTTACAACACCTGCCCACTCCCTGATCAGCTTTGTGCCCTGTTCCGCTCTCCCTGCTGCTACTTCTCCTCTGACCTCCTCCCTCCCTTGCTGCCGTTAATGCAGTATAACCCCATAAACACGTGTGCACTACCCCCGCCGCCCCCCTCCCCCTCCCAGGTTGACGGCTGCGGTCGCGAGCTGCTGGGCGAGAAGGCCTACCTGCAGCGCTACTCGGTGTGCGAGCAACACTTCAAGGCGGACGTGGCGCTGCTGCACGGCCAGGAGGTGCGCTTCTGCCAGCAGTGCAACAAGTTCCAGGACATACGGGAGTTCGAGGGAGTGCGCAGGTGCAGGCAGCGGGGGGCGGGGAGCGGGGCGGGCAGGGGGCGAGCGCTGCGGGCTATAACGGGTATTGTGGGCTGGCTGGATTGTCGTGTGCTGCTTACGTGCTGCTGACACCCTACATGTCTGGAAGGGTGTATGGAGGCGCCGCTGTGAGTCACATGCGCTGGGCTGGGCTGGGGGTCCCATACCTCTCCACACACCGCCCTCCCTACCCCCCACCCGCCTACCTGCCCCAGGAGCTGCGCCGCCCGCTCCAAGGACCGCAACCTGCGCCGGCGGCTGCAGACCACCCTGCAGCACAAGGGGGGCGGCGGCGGGGGGGCGGGCGAGGACTCCCCTGCCGCCGGGGTGTCCCCGCGCCACCAGCAGCGCCAGCAGGCAAGGCCGGCGGGCGGGGGCGACTGGGAGGGGGCTGCGCTGCGCTGCCTGCCGCCTGGTGCCCGGCCACATGCTTGTGAAGCCCGCCGCTTGACCTTCCTCCCCTCTCCAGTATGGCAACTGGTTACCACAGTGATACTTTGCATGGTGGTATTACGAAGCTTGCCCCTATCTCCCTCCCTGCTGTGCCGCAGAGTGACAGTCCGGGTGTCAGCGGGGCGCTAGGGCCGGGGGCGGGGGCGGGGGCGGGCGGGGCCGCCTCGGAGGACAGTGGCGGCGGCGGGCGCGAGGGCAGCCGGGAGCTGTCGGTGGTGGGTGATGGCGGGGGGTGATGGTAGGGGCGGTGCATGTCGCGAAGTTGTGTTGCTGATGGGGTAGGGTAGGGCTTACCCCATGACTCTTCCTTATCTGCTCCCTTTCCACCGGGTGTGCACGCTGTCGCAGGCTGGCACTGCGGCAGTTGCAGCGGGGCGGCGGCGGGGCGGCAGCAGCGCCGGCGGCAGCGGCTGCGCCCCCCTGCTGGACGCCTCGGCACTGCTGGGCGGCGGCAGTGGCGGCGGTGTGGGATTGCTGCGGGGGTACGCCAGCCTGCCCGGCGCCGCCCCCTCCCGGCCGCAGCTCCCTCCTGCCCCCGGATGCGGTGGCGAGGCGGGGGCCGACCCCACCAGCGAGCTGGAGCTGCTGCTGGCGGCGGGGGCAGCGGGGCGCGAGCTGGCGCTGCAGGGGGGGCTGCCGGCGGGGCTGCTGGGACCGCAGCGGGCCGCCTCGGCAGGGGGCTGGCTGGGGGAGGCGGCGGGGCAGCTGGGCGGCGGCAATGGTCTGGAGGGCGGCGGGGCGGGGGCGCTGACGGCGTCAGGGTCGGGTCTGGCGCCCAGTGGGTCGGTGGCCGCAGCGGGGGGCCTGAGCCGGCGGATGGGCAGCAGCGGCGGGGTGGAGGGTGGATGCGGGGGGGGCGGGGGCGGGGGTGTGGCGGCGGAGGTGGGCAGCATCCTGATGGACATTGACACTCTGCTCTACTCCTCCTCGGCAGCAGCAGCAGGAGGAGGAGGCGCGGGGGGAGGCGGGGTGCCGCCCGCGCTGACACCCCTCTACCCGCGCGGCCGCCCACAAGGCCCCTCCCTGGCGCTACAGCCGCTGCTGCCCCCCCAGCAGCAGCACCAGCAGCAGCCCATGCGGCCAGACTCGCCCTTGGGGTTTGATGCAGGGAGAGCAGGTCCGGGCGAGAGCGGTCCTGGTGAGGGCGGTGCGGCTGTGCGGCGGCTGGGGCCGGGCGGTGGGGAGGCTGCTGCGGCGTGGGGTCCCCCCGGGGCCCTGCTGTTGGACGCCCTGGACGGCCCCTTCCGACCCCCTCAGCAACATCAACACCAGCAGCAGCAGCAGCAACAGCAGCACCCGCATGCATTGCAGTCCCAGCTGTCTTTGCGCTCTAGCGGGTTGCAGCAGCAACACCAGCAGCAGTTGCTGCTGACCACGGGGTCGTCCCAGCAGCCGCACGCCATGTCCGGGACGCCATGGCTGGGACCCGGCTCCGGCACCGCTCCAGGCTTGCAACAGCAGCACTCGCAGCACTCGCAATACCTGCAGCAGCAACATAGAGCGACACCACCGCCTGTCAGTGACGGGGGCGGGGGTGGCGGCACGGGGCTGCTGCTGCAGCAGCTGCACGGCTCCTCCGCCCAGCTGAGTCGCAGCTGCACCAGCGGCGGCAGCAGCGGGGCGGGGACCCTGCCGGGAGGCAGCGGTGGGGGCGGTGCGCCGGACGACCTGGCGCTGCTGGGTCGGCTGCCACTGAGCCAGAGTAGCCCGCTGGGGGAGCTGGAGTCGCGGCGCCTGCTGCTGCTGCACCAGCAGCCGCAGCAGCCGCACTCACAGCTGCTTTCGTCGCTGGGCGGGGGGCTGCAAGATGACCTGGCGGCCAGGGTGGGGTGGGGACAGGAGGATGGACGGGCGGGGCGGGGGGGGGGGAAAGAAGAGGAAGGCTGGTTTGGGAGACAGGTGGATGACATATGCCGAACATGCAAGTTCCATGTGTGTTGCCACGTCTGCTGCGTGCTCCTGACCACTCATCCCTTTTGACCTCTCCCCCAGATCAACGAGCGCCGCGCTGCCCTGATTCGGCAGCAGCTGCTGCAGCACCCGCACCGCCCCCTGCCACACCCCCACCTGCCGCTGCTGCACAAGCAGCCGCCCGCGCCGCCCGCCCAGCATCACCCGCACACCCGCCACCTGCAGCACCAGCTGCCGCTGCAAGACCCCTCAATGCTGCAGGAGCCCCCCGTCCCTCTGGGCCCCTTCGGTGACGTGGCGCTGCTGGGTCTCACCCCCTCGGAGCAGCTGCAGCTCAGGATGCTGGCAGCGGGGCAGGGGCCTGGAGGGGGGCGGGGCAGCATGGAGGAGGTTGCGGAGATGGGCCAGGGAGGGGGCGCGGGGGCAGGAGGGGGCACGGGCAACTCCAGCGGCTCGCTGCCCCTGGTGGACCCGGGGGGCGGCAGTGGCGGAGGCAGCGGCAATGGTATGAGCAGCGGCCCGGGCGGCCTCGGAGGTGTGCGACTGCTGGGGGTTGCAGGCGGTGTGGGGCTGGGCGGCGAGGGGCTGGTGCGCGGCTCGAGTGCTCCGGAGCCGCCCGGCAGCAGCCACCTGGCCACCATGCAGCGCCTGGGGCAGTACCTGATGGGGGGCCCCGGGGGAGGAGGGGGCGGAGGAGGGCGTGCTAGTGCACCCAGTGGCATGGGTGGTGGGGGGCAGGGCGGGCTTGGTGGTGGCCGCGGCGGTGGCAGCCTGGGCCCGCATGTGGGCTACGATGGCCTGATTAGGCATGGCAGCAGCGGCGAAGGAGGCAGTGCGGGGTCTGCGGTGCCTGTGGGGGGTGGCAGCCATATGGGTGGCGGCGGTGTTGGTGGCGGCGGCGGCAGCTGCCGGCTGCTGTCTGCGCTGCTGCCCGGGGCGGCCGAGCAGCTGGTGGGCCGGGTGTGTCTGAAGCTGTTCAGCTGCGGACCCGAGGAGCTGCCGCCGGACATGCTGGCGAGGCTGCGGCGCTGGGCGGGGGCGGCGGAGCCGGACGTGGTGCAGGTGGGTGGCCACTGCTGGGGGTACTGCAGGAGGAGCTGAGGAGCCTAACACTTGGAACACAGTTCAGGATGAAACTGGGCCCCCTGGTCCCTCCTGGTCGCATAGCTCACTGGTCAAGGCCAGTGGTTGTCCAGTATAACAAGTCACATTAACAGACGGAGTAGTAATACAAATACACGTTGATGTTGATACCTGCGGTTTACGTGTGGTACAACTCATCAGTAGATAGTCACTAGCCTGTGATCAGTGTAAACTTCGTACAGTACTGATGAAGTTATGTAGCTATGTGCTACTTGCCTCCGCCAGTTGCAGATCCAGTCCCCCCGTTTCCCTCCCACAGGTCTTCATGCGGCGGGGCTGCGTGCATGTGATCGCCAACGTCCGCCTCAACAGCAGCCCCAGTGGCAGCAGCTCTACTGACTCTGCAGCAAACACCCCCAGTGCCCTCCGCGGGGGCTGTCAGGCGCTGCTGGCGTCCCGGCTGCTGGGCGGGCACAGCGACCTGCGCGGGGCGGTGGGCGCCCTCACTGCCGCCTTCGGTGACAGCGGGCTGCTGCGGGGCCGGCGGGTGGTGGTGCAGGCGGCGGAGGGGCACCGAGGGGCCTTCGAGCTGCTCAGCAGCAGCAGCAGGGGGGCCGACGAGGGCAGCAGGGGCGGCCTGTCGGGCGGCTGCCTGGCTCACTGGGTGGCGGATGCGGAGATGTGGGCTGCACCGGCGGTGACCGCGGTGGTGCCGGCCGCAGTGCCATGCGGTGGGTAGGGGGGCAGGCAGCTGTGTGCCAGGGCTGGGCAACTGAGGGTGGTGTGTGCAGCTGCTCCTGGACGTGGATGTTGTGCCACCAGTGTGTAGCCTCCTCCACTTCACAGCGGCAGTGCTACTGCACTTATCATACCAGCTCTCCTCCAACATGTCTCCCTCCCCCTCGCCACCCGCCTCCCGCTCCCCCAGGCTCCCCCTCCGTGCTGCTGCTGCTGGGCCGCCAGCTGCACCGCCCCGGCACCCGCTTCTTCGCACGCTGCGGGACCGCCTCGCTGGAGCTCACACCGCTGCCGCTGCAGCATGCACCTGACAGTGCAACCGCAGGAGCACAACAGCAACAGCAACAGCAGCCACTCACGCACACACTGCTGCACACCCACAGCCAGCAGCAGTCAGATCCACCCCCGCCTGCCGCCATCCAAGCACTCCGCCCCCCTCGCTGCCTGTCAGCCACCGCGGCGCCGGTCTCAGTGGCGGGGGTGGTGTCCGGTGACACCGCCGCCCCGGACTCACCCCTGAGTGGCACCCGCGCCTCCTCCTCCTCCACCAGCGGCTCCCTGTCCGCCGCCTCCCCGCTCTCCTCCTCCCTCTCCCTCAGCCGCAGCGGCCAGCGAGCCGCACTCTCCTTCACGCGCACCCACACCGACCCGCTGGGCAGTCCGCGCGGCTCCATGGACGTCCCCGTGCCCCCCCACAAGCATGCAGCCCTACCCACCAGCAGTGCAGGAGAAGGCGTGTACCCACACCCGCCCGCCTGCCCGCCTGCGAGCTCCCCTCCCACACCCACCACCTCCCAGCCATGTGACGACTGCACCGCCTCCCCCAGCAGCTGCCAGCCCCACTTCCTGCTGCTTAGCAGCGCCCCTTCGCCGCACTCCTCCTGCCCCTTCACCCCCAGCTGCGGCAAGGAGGACCGCCCTGCAGCAGTGTCGCCAGCTACCGGTGCTCCACTGTGCCCACCAGCTCACTCTGTGACCCGGCAGGCGCAGCAGCTGCCACCGCCCCAGCAGCTGCCAGCGCAGGCAGCTCCACAGCCCGCTGCTCCGGATTCCGGTCTGGAGGCGGTTGCCGTGCGGCTGCCTGTGCTGCCCGCTGCGGGGCTGGTGGTGGTGGAGGCGGCGGCGCCGGGACTGGGTGTGCTGGGCAGCTGGGCGCCGCTGCTGGCCTGTCCCGGCCCCTCGGAAGAGGGTGAGGGGCAGGCAGGGGAGGGGGAGCCGTCTGAGGGGGAGCAGGGGGCAGCTCTGGCGGCTGAGGTGGATGAGTGGGTGCAGCAGAGCGCGGATGTGGTCAGGTAAGTGAGGGGGCGGGTCGTTTGCCGTTGCTTGCCGGGCCTGATAGAAAAACAGCATGCGGCTTCCTGATGTTCACCCTCGAGCCCTTACATTCCTGGTACTGACATGGCCCCCTCGCACTCCCCTCCTCTCCCCGCCCATCCGCGGCCCTCCCGCCCATCCGCGGCCCTCCGCGCCTCTCCCGCCCCGCAGCTCCCGCTGGTTGCTGTCCGAGGTGGGGCTGCTGCTGGAGCAGCGGGCAGAGCTGCAGCGGTGGCAGCGGGCAGAGCAGCAGCAGCAGCTGCTGCTGCGGAGCTACAGCACACAAGCCCATAACGCCGCCACCGCCGCCGCCACCGCTGTCGCCACCACCACCGGAGTAGCCATCGCCACTGCCGCCACCACCATCACCACCACCACTGCCTCCGAAGACGATACCGCTAACAACACGGCTTTGCAGCTTGCACCACCCCCCTTTGGCTCGTCTCCTCCTGCTCCTCCTCCCGCTCCTGCTCCTCCTCCCGCTCCTGCTCCCCATACACCTGCTCCCCCTGCTCCTGTACCTTATCCTGCTCTACCTCCTCCCGCTCCTCAGCACACGCAGCGCCTGGAGGCCATGGCGGCCGCTGCAGCACGGTAGGGCCGGGGGCTGGGGCAGGGTGGGGGCCTGTAAAAACAAACGGGAGCCTGTATGCATAGAACAGGGCTTGTAGGGGCCCTCAGCCGCCCAAGCACACTCCTTCAGCATTATCCTGAATTCTTTGTTACAATGCATTGAGTCCTGTCCTCGGCCGGCCCTTCCCCCCCCCCCCACGGCCCCCAGGCTGCTTGTGTTCGCCACCGCCTCGGGGCTGCCTCTGCTGTCCTGCCACCTGCTAGAGCTGCTGGTGGAGGTGGAGGGGGAGCTGCTGGGCAGGGCAGCCGGCCAGCAGACGCACCCAGACGACCGTGCAGCTGCAGCAGCAGCCACAGCTGCGGCGTTCACTCGCGCCCTGGCTCGTGCCGCGGCAGCCACCCTGCAGTGCTCCGAAGCCAGCACTGATGACCCCCCGGCTGTATCTGCCAGCTGCTGCTGTGAGTGCCGCTGTGAGGCCAGCGGGAACGGAAGCGGCAACAGCGACAGCGTTGACGGTGAGGACGGCGGTGGTGACAGCGCTCCAGCTGCCCTGCCTGGTGCTCCCGGCCTGGGTCTGCTGCACCTGGCGGTGGCCAGCGGCAGTCCCCGCATGCTGCTGGCCGCGCTGGACTGGGCGGACCAGTACGGCAGCGCCTGGCAGCTGGGGCAGCGGGCGGGGCCGGGCGGGGCCACTCCGCTGCACCTGGCAGCGGGCCTGCGGGACGGGGGGGAGGCGGCCCGGGTGCTGCTGTCGCTGGGGCGGGAGGGGCAGGCGGTGTGGCGGGAGGGGCGGGACGGGATGGGACGCACGCCTGCGGACATCGCGGAGGGGACGGGCATGGGGCACCTCACCCGGTTCTGCTTGTACGGCGAGGAGGAGGAGGTTGTTGAGGTAATGGAGGGCGGGGAGGAAGAGGGCGCGAGGCGGCTGGGTGCTGCGGCGGCGGGTGTGGGGGCTGCTGCAGAGGAAGCACTCGCCAGCGGTCGAAGCGCTTGCACCACTGCGGGAATTAAGAAGTGCAGCGACAGGGAGGGAGGTCTGGGCTGTGATGGGGCTGCTGTCGGGGCGGCCGGGTGGCGGGGTTGGGTGCGCTGGGCGCTGCTGTCGGGGCCGCTGCTGGTGCTGCTGGCGGCGGTGCTGCTGGGGTGCCGCGGCAAGTAGGAAGGCAGGGTGAGCGACACACCCATAGCGGAAGGCGCAGCATTACACATATCGGACAGCGACTGAAACTGTGATTGTGAATGAGGAGACTGTGGAATGGCATGAAGTAACAGCGCTCGTACGTGTATGTATGCGTGGTGGATAGTGAATACTTAACTAGTCCGTAAGCACTTGCGGAGGGGTTGGACTGTTCCTGGCGTGACATGAGATTGCTGAACGTAAGGCGGGGCGGCGGCCTCTTGATGCGCACTGTTGGACAGCATAGAACTTGGCCACATGTGTTTCAGGCAGTTGCAGACGGTAAACTAAAAGCGCGGGGACTGACAGTTCGAGTATGCTGGACTCAATGGCAAGGGGTCATGGAGGGGCCCTGGGGCACCACGCCCCGGCGTACGGCGGCCTGTCTCAACCCTGCGACCCCACGTGACCTTGCGTTTCATCAAGTGACCTTCTCAATAATGACGTATTACGCAAAGCGAGTGGTCTGGGTAGGTTGCATTTTTGTGTGTCGCTGGGCGGGGTGGCAGGCGGCTGTGAGTGTGAAGTGATGTCCGGGTGGCGCGGCGGCCGTAGTGCCAGTTGTCTTTTGTAGGAGCCATGTTTTCATGCTTGCATGACTGTGTGTGTGATTTCATTGATTATCCGTTCGCTCTCGGCAATCTGCTCACCCATTCATTCCATCCACAAACCTTGCGGCCGTGCAGCAGCCGTGTCCATCACCGCAGGTGGCATGCTGAGTTGAGGGGTCATCATGACTCGCACGCTGAACTAGCTTTCCGCATGCAGGATGAAGGGGCATGCTCCGAAGAAGTACAATATAGTGCGTACGTTACGTGGCCGTGATTGGCTCTGCTGCTGTGTCCTCATGTACATATCTCCTGGTGGTTGTCGATATGGGCCCCAGGAAGGGTGGGCGCGCAGTACGCGCCGCCGCATGCTGCAATGTGCTTTGTCATGGCCAGACCTTGCCATGGTTTTTTGTTGTCTTGAACTCGATTGCTCCGGTTGTATGTACGATGGTGGTGGTGGTGGTGTCCTGCGGTAGGTTGGAAGGTGGGTTGGAATGGATTAAGACGCGGTGCTGCGGCTACTCTTCTGCGGTGTGCAGCGGGTGCACCTGCTAGTAGTCAGGAGGGGGCACGCGCGCGGAGGTGAAAGATTACTCGGCGTTGAAACATGTTCCGACACTGAATGCCGTACTAGTTTGCCGTACTTACGTCACCCGTCAGCCCACATGTGGGCCGGGTTGCTGAGTTGGGTTGGGTGAGATTCCTTTTGATGCCCAACTATCTGGTTACTTGTGTGGTTGTCAAGGACTGCCCCGAAAGACGTCAAAGATGCAAACATGACAATGATCTGGGTTCTACGTGTTCGGAGGTGGGTAGTGTGTCCTGTGCTGGCCTCGGGGCCCCGACGACGCCGTAGCAGGGGACTGGAACACAACCAACACGCCGTGTATGTCCCCTTTACCGAAGAAAAGAACCTTACTTAGCACATGTGCCGGGCCCTCCAGATTAGGGGCGGCCGCGAGCTACGGTTGTGTTTATTAGGATGTCTTGGCGCCGGAGTGGATCAGATATGGGGGGTCGTGCAGTTTTGCTATTACATTATGATTACGTCTTGCGCTGGAAAACAATCCCCTAGGTCTTATCCATTGTCATATCACGGCTTTGCCGCACTTGGTGGCCGCAAGGCTGCATGCAGCAGTGCAGGTGCAGGTGGGGAACGGGGCGGTTGAGGAGTGTAGGGAGCACTGCGTGCGGGACTGCCAGCCGTCGTGAACGCTGCGAGTATTGTGTTCACGTGCTTGGGCTTGGTGGAGAAGCTGTAGAGCCTGTCGGCGATTCCTGTCGGTGGTTGGCTTGGGCTTGCAGCAGGGTGGTGGTTGGGCGGCGTGCTTCCTCCAGTAGGCGGGGGGATGCGCCGGCCGCGCTGGCTGGCCAGCCCGCAGAGGAGCTCGCGGGTGAGATGCGGAAGGAAGGCGGTGGTGGCTGAACGGTGGGCGTTGTGAAACATTGCGCTGTGTGGAAGCGTTGCAACCCTGGCTTTCTTGCGCTCCTGTGCCTCTTCAGGCCGATCGGGAGTAGTCAGCACGACGCAGGATGCCTGTTTGGGGCTCGAGGGGCGGCGTGCTGCTTTGGTCGGTGTGTGCATATCAGTATACTGTCGATCTATCGTTCCTTGGAGCTTGGACCTTTTTAAGCGCCGTGGGACATTATAGGCTGTGCTTTTTCTTTTCCACGCCGCCCGCAAGGATTACGGTATGTACCGGGAACCGACGCACGGTGCTCCCTGCTTCCTGCTGAGACCTAATTAATGCGCTTTCTGCTTTGGCCATGACCCCCATGAGGTATCTAGGGGGATGCACTGTGCTTATCATGCTGAATACGATAGTCAGGCTGAAGACGCACCAGTCGGCGGGTGCCCTACGACGCTCACAAGCAAAGACGCAGACTACTCTCAGCTCCAATATGCACTTCACTTCAACCCCACCTGTCGGCCGAAGTCTCTTGCGCTGTAATCGGGAGTGCGGAACTGATTTGCGGGTTCCTTCAGTTGGCTCCGAGACGGAAGTGCACGTCGCTTGATAAGGTACCGGTAACTGTGAATGTGTCATGGGTGCGACTAAGTTACGCATCAAGGGGTAATTTGGGTTTCGCGAGTCGATGCACGTGTAGTATGGCGCAGTGCGCGCTATGAAATGAAAACCTTACAGGCAAGGGGCCCACCGTGGTAGTTGCCACGTTCTTCGGCGAGAAGCTCGACACCAAGCAAGCCTCTTCCGCATATATCTTACATGGACTTGCGATCGCGACCACGTACACCTGCCAAGATTTGGCCATGCGCTCCTACCGATAAGCCGGTTGTACGGCACGCATCCTCATGAGCGGCAACCTATAGAAAAGTCCACCGCTGTAACAGATGTCCTTGTCCTTTATTGCTCCAGCTGCGTTATTTATTGTATATTATTATAACTCCGTGCTGGTAGTGATATTGGAACAACGACTTAGCAAGCGCCAACGTGCCCTAAGGTCGCTTTGTAGCTCTAACCAACATGACGCCGGAGAAGGGGACTGACTCTATGGCCCACGAGGAGCGTTTCTTGCCTCCGGACGATATCCTGCGGCAGGCTTATGTTCAAGGACTTCCCGCATACCAGCAGCTCTACGAGCGCAGCATTTCCGATCCTGATGCCTTTTGGTCCGAGCAAGCCGAGGCCTTGCATTGGCAGACGAAGTGGACGACGCCGATTTGCAAGTAGGACTGGTTTGCAAGCCTTTGTTCATGTTGCTTTTTGTTTCAAGCCTGCCATGCCCCGCCATACTCCAGGCACAACTTTAACTTGGACAACGGTCCCGTCCAAGTTTCGTGGTTCGAGGGCGCGGAGACTAACCTCGCTTACAATGCCATTGATCGTCACATCGAAGCGGGACTTGGCGAGCGCGTAGCATTCTACTGGGAGGGCAACGATGAAGGCAATGTAAGTATGTGGCGATGCATGACTTTTAGAGTCAAAGAGCTTGCAACACACCACCGGTACCTCTGTGGAGTTGCTGACGCAGCGGGTATCCACCAAGAATTCCGCCGTCCTCTTTGTGTTGCATTGTGTGTTAACCGATGGGCCATGGGCGGAGCTGCATACTAGTTCCTTCCCGTCCTATGCCCTACGTCCATCCCCTTCACCCACACACTGTTCCCTTGCTCCCCTGTGTCCTCTACGTACACTCCATCAGGAGCGCACCGTCACCTACGCGGAGCTCAAGAGCATGGTGTGCCGCATTGCCAACTACATGAAGTCCATCGGCATCAAGCGCGGCGACGACGTCACCATGTACATGCCGCTGGTCCCCGAGCTGCCGGCTGTCATGGTGAGAGATGCTTGGGTGTTGGCGGATCAGAAAAGCGAACATGAAAGGCGGTGCAGTGAGTACGGTGTGCGCACTAACTCTAGAGGCCGAATTCCCCATCTGGGTCGGCTCGACTCGTCCCATAACCTAGCATGCTTCGGTACCACCGCATGTCTTATGCGTTTCGTGCTCCATGCTTGGCACACCTTGCCCCGCCCATTTCGTTAACCCCCCAGCTGGCGTGCGCCCGCATCGGCGCGGTGCACAGCGTTGTGTTCGGCGGCTTCAGCGCGGAGGCCCTGGCGGACCGCGTGCTGGACAGCCGCCCCGCGCTCGTCATCACCTCCAGCGGCACCATGCGCGGTCCCAAGCCCATCCCGCTCAAGGCAAGTGAAGCACATGGGCAGGGCGGATGTGGACGATCTGGGTCAGGCTGGGTGGATGTGGATCGATTTGGGTCAGGCATGGACTGCAGGAGAGTGGAACTCGCAGCTTTGGATTCGTTTGCAACCAGCACCGGTACCAAGCATGAACGACATTGGCTGGCAACTTGTCTGTTGCCGTACCCCGTTAACCGACATATCCCATTAGCCGGGCGCTGGGCTAACGGTTTCGCTGCTGGGTTGGCGCAGGCGGTCGTGGATGACGCCCTGGCGATCAGCGAGGCCAAGGGGCACTCCGTTCAGGTGGGGGTGTTGGGATGATTGCATGCGTTTTGGGTCGCCGGGCAAAGCGGCCTTGGTAGGTGCTGGGTGCGACCCACATGGCGCACATGTTCAGCACTAGCGAGCAGCTTGGTGCAGCGACTCCATTGCCGTTGTTTGCTGATCCTTGGCCCCTTTCCCTCCCTCCTCCAAACCGCTTAACCCGCCGCAGAACGTGCTGATGCTAGAGCAGCTGCCGCTGTCCGAGGTGGGAGGCATCATGAGGCCGGGTCGCGACGTGACGTGGCGCGAGGCAGTGGAGCCGCAGCCGGACGACTGCCCGGTGGAGTGGATGCCGGCGGAGGCGCCACTCTTCAAGCTGTACACCTCGGGATCGACAGGTGCAGCGGGGCTGCGGGGTGACGTACAGTGGCAAGTTGGGCTTCTCGTTAGGTATATGGGGGAGCCAACTACCCGATGTATTCAACCACGTCCCGTAGATTCGCACGGACCGGTTTCACTCCTTGGTTGGGTGTTTGACCCAAATCAGGTATCCCTCGCCTCGGGCATACAATGCACCCTCGTACCACTGTCGACTGCATGTGTCGTACCCACCCCTGCACTCCCCAGGCAAGCCCAAGGGTGTGCTGCACACCACCGGCGGCTACATGGTGGGCGCCCTGGCCACCACCAAGTTCGTGTTCGACATCAAGCCCGCCACGGACGTCTACTGGTGCACCGCCGACTGCGGTTGGATCACGGGCCATACCTACGTCACCTACGGTACGCGCGGCCTGCTGACTAGGACATGGCGGGACACCGGGGGCGGTTCAAGACCCAAATCAGGATGGCGTCCCTATTGTTATGTTTGCGCATGGAATCAGCAGACTGCGCAAGAAATCATCTGATTGCGATTTGGGTCAAACTCAATCCCAACCAACCCTTGTCCCCTTGTAGGGCCCTTGATGCTGGGCGCAACGCAAGTCCTGTTCGAGGGTGTGCCCACCTGGCCGGACGCGGGCCGCTGCTGGGCCATTGTTGACAAGTACAATGTGAGCTCAAGGGGCCTCGAAGCTGGGTGCCGCTCCTAACCGGGGTGCCTTGAGCCATGATAGCGGTCGTGAAGCAAGCAGCGTTTGCGGCGTCCCTCCATAGTCCCTTTCCTAAACACACGTGTTGCTGCCTGCATGGACCGCACAGGTTAGCGTCTTCTACACTGCCCCCACGGCCATCCGCGCGCTGCACGCCAAGGGCGACGCCTACGTGACCCGCCACTCGCGCTCCTCGCTGCGGCTGCTGGGTTCCGTGGGCGAGCCCATCAACCCGGAGGCGTGGCGCTGGTACCACGAGGTGGTCGGCGACAGCAGGTGCGGGGGCGGCAGGGCCTGAGGCCGCATCCTTGCATGACCGGTATTTCAGCGTGCACTTTGGTATGTGAGCGTGCACTTTGCGCCACGCGATCCCAGTTACCAGCATGACTGACCGGCCATCATAACGTCGTTGCCTGGTTGCCACTGTCAACGGCACACGTCAGTAAGCACGGTGCCATTTCCCTTCGCGTCAGGTGCCCCATCATGGACACCTGGTGGCAGACGGAGACGGGTGCGCACATGATCACCCCGCTGCCGGGCGCCACGCCGCTCAAGCCCGGGTGCGCCACGCTGCCCTTCTTTGGCGTGGAGCCGGCGGTGCTGGACGAGAAGGGCAACGAGCTGCAGGTGCGGGAGAGGACTAGCTGAGGGGCGGGGCCGCTTGCCGTGCCGCGTCCTGGTCCTGACGCAGGACCCATGTGTCTTTTGAATGCAGGGCCCATGTGAGGGCATGCTGGTGATCAAGCGGCCGTGGCCGTCCATGATGCGAACCGTGGCGGGCGACCACAACCGTTTCGAGCAGACCTACTTCTCCGCCTTCAAGGGGTACTACTTCACCGGTAAGCGGGCGTTAGCCTACATGCAACGCATCCTGGGCAGCCTTTGGGCCTGAGTAACCTGATGAGCTCTGCGGCTGCATGCATGTAGGTGACGGCTGCCGGCGTGACGCTGACGGCTACTACTGGATCACGGGTCGTGTGGATGACGTGCTGAACGTGTCGGGCCACCGCATCGGCACCGCGGAGGTGGAGTCGGCGCTGGTGGCGCACCCCGCCTGCTCGGAGGCTGCGGTGGTGGGCTACGAGCACGCCATCAAGGGCCAGGGCATCTACGCGTTCGTCACGCTGAAGGCCGGTATGTACATGGGCGGTGCATGGGCCAGAACAGCGGAGTGGAGCTTGGCTAGCTTTCTGTTTTGAGCGTAATATGCAGCACGCGAAGCCATTAGGATCATCCTTCGGTGTTCCTTTCTCATCCTTCGGTGTTGCTTTCTTGGTTGCACGATACTGTGAGTGTAGATGGGCTTCTTTGCTGCCAGCCGTGGTCTCAGCTGCCATGTACTGCTGCCGCCACCCAGGTGCGGAGCCCAGCGACGTGCTGCGCAAGGAGCTCATCGACACCGTGCGCAAGATCATTGGGGCCTTCGCGGCGCCGGACATTATCCACTGGGTAGGTTGGTGGGTGCGCTGGGAGCCCGGGGCTGCATGCTCGGGTGTGCGAATCGCTGTTGATGCAACTATTGATGTAACTTTGTGGGTTGCGAGGGTAGAAAGATTTGCCGCTATTGGCATGTGATTTAGAGCGCTTGCTCACCACCGGTTTCCACCCGCCGCTGTCTTCCATGTATGCCCTCAAAACACCGCTTGCCTGCTTCCTGCTGCTGCTGCGTAGGCCCCCGGTCTGCCCAAGACCCGCAGCGGCAAGATCATGCGGCGAGTGTTGCGCAAGATCGCCGCCAGGGAGGAGGAGCAGCTGGGCGACACCTCCACCCTGGCCGACCCGTCCGTCGTACAGCAGCTGGTGGAGCTGCGCGGAAAGTAGTCGGCAGCAGGAGGTTACTTGTTTATGCAAAACGCAAGATGGAAATGCCGTGTATGTGGAATAATGTTCACAGCTAGCAGCACGCATGCTTTCCGAGCAGGCGCCTCCTGCACATGCGAAGCTGGCCTCGATACTTGTGCTCGAAAACCTCGAGGAGATGTGTGGGGGGCGGGCTCTTCATCCTTACCCATCATGGGCTGGCAAACACATGTGTATGGCACGATGCGTTTGCTCCTATTGATGATTTACAGCTTTGCATAAACAAACCGGCCTGTATCGACTCTCATCAGTATAACCCTTCTCACCCCAGGGCTTGACAGGCGCAAATACGGCCTAAATGCATGGGTCTGTGCGCAATTTGTAGTGGCCATAGCTGTATTCCTCTAGGGGCTTGTGGTGATGTAGCTGGTGCAAGATGTATTTATGGTCCTTGGTGAGTACATTATATGGCTAATTCCGATTGATTCGGGTTGGGTGTAGGTTTGGGCGCTAGAGCGGCTCTGCTGCAGGATGCCGGGGTCCGTACGACCTGAACAAACGGCACCGTGACGGGCATATGTGCATAGAGACATCCAGGATTGGGGCTGTGCATGTACGCTAAGTGCCCTACGACCCGTTGTAGGTACGGACGCACAACATTCCAATCCTGGCTAATACCATAAACACTGCAACCTGGTTCCTTATCACACATATAGTTCGTTGTGCCGTTAGATATTGGCTTCGGCCCCCTTGTCTTGTACAGGTCTGGGCGCACAGCAGCTGCTAAAGCTACCTCCCTACACGATGTGAATTACATCTCGCATAGGACTTCCCTCCAGTCGGCAAATTCCTTCGAACCAGAAACCAAACGAACTGAGATTGGAACTGGATCCGCACTCACCCCAAAACTGACGGAATGTCGGGCCCCCTACTACCCCTCACTCGTAATAGTCCCTCCCTCACATGTTTGTAACCCTCCGCCGCCTCTTCCACCCCCTACAGCCCTTTCCCCCATGTGTCCGCTCTGCCGTCCTCCGCCTGTCCCCTCCGCTGCTCCGCGACCTCACTCGCTGGCGGGGCTGCCCGGCCGCCAAGCAGTACCCTGCCGGGGTGTAGTGGGGGAAGGGAAGGAGGGGGGCTTAGTAGATGTGGGGAAGTAAGAGTCTGTACAGGGAGGGAACAAGACGCGTGGACGCGCAGGTGCGCATCCCCACCCGCCCCCAGCCCCTCCTCCTACCTGCGGCGTATCCAGCAGCAGCACGCCCCGCCCCGCCAGCTCCACCCTGATCGCGTCTGCGGCTGCGAAGTCCCGCGCCAGCCTGGCCTGCTCGCGCCGCCGGATGGCGTCCGCCACCTCCCCCGCGGTGAGGCCCAGCCGCACCAGCGCACTGGCGCGCAGCTCCTGGAGGCAGGGAGGGAGGGGGACGGTGGAGGACAGCCGGGGAGCAGAGGAGTGAGGGAAAGGAAGGGGTGATTGGTTTGTGGGTGGTAACACAGGGGCTAGGAGAAGCTGCCACACCGGCGAAGAGAGGAGGTGCCCCGCAAGGAGGTGTCATCCCGCCCGCCCGGCTGCCCTCCCGCCCAGCCGCACTGCCCCCCATGCCATGCGCACCTCCAGCAGCCGCTCTAGCGCCGCTGCCTCGCCCGCCAGCCCCTCCGCCTCCTCCGCCTGCTGCTGCTGCTCCCCCTCCGCCCCCAGCCCCAGCAGCGCCATCACCCGCCCCAGCGCCACATGCAGCTCAGCCAGCAGCACCAGCCTGGGGGTATGAGGTGAAGGGAGGTTGGGGTGCAGGAGTAGACGGAGAAAAGGACTGGGTGTGAAGGGTGAATGGATTGCCCCCTTGCTATCTCCCCCGACCACCGGCGCATACACTCCCACATCTCCCTTCCTATGGTTTGGGATGGTCTTTGACCCCCACCTGTCCGGCCGCCTCCTGCCCGCCCGAGTGGTAGTGAGTTCGTTGATGGTTCGCAGCGGGCCGCTCAGCGCCGCCAGCACCGCCGGGGTGTTCAGGTCGTCAGCCAGGGCGGACAGCACCTCGCACAGCAGCGCGGCGCCGGGGGAGGGGGAGGCCGGGGAGCCCCTGTGGCCCTTCTTGCCGGTGGTGGGGGAGGTGGGGGCTTGGGAGGAGGGTGCAGGTGAAGATGAGGAGGAGGAGGTTGGCGATGTGGTTGAGGAGGAGGGTGATGGTGAGGGGGCGGATGGCGACCGCAGCAGCGCCCGTGCCTGCTCCACCGCCCGCTCCCCCTCCGCACCTGGGCAGGGGCAGCAGCCGGAGGGAGTGAAGTGGAGGCGCACGGATGGGGCGGGGATCAGCGCACGCGGGAAGCTGGCGGACCGGGTCGCACACACCGAGTCTCCGGCGCACCCCAAGCGCCACCCCTCACCATCTCGCCCTGCCCCAACAACCCCTGCCGCCACCCACCCGCCTCCCTCAACGCCGCCACCACATCCGCCCGCGCCTGCAGCACATAGTAGAGCCGCGAGCTGGCCTCCTGGGGGGGGAGAGGGGTGGGTGGGAGGGAGGGCGGCGTCATGAGATGCTGGGCCGCCACAGTCACGCTTACTGAGAAGCTCCCGCTCCCATCGCGTGTCGTGCCCCGGATACCTCACCCCGTCGCCCCGGCACACCGGCGGAACCCGCCCTCTCTCCCATCCCTCACACCTCCTTCCTCTTCCCCTGCCCACCCCTCTCTTCACCCCACCCCCACCCCGCTCCACACACACATACCTCCAGCCCCTTGTCGCTGTAGTGCAGCGGTGCCCGGTAGTGCGCCGCCAGCAGGAACCAGCGCAGCGCCAGCGGGGGGTAGCGGCACAGCACGTCGCTGGGGGGGGAGAGGGAGGAGGGGAGGGGGGGAGCGGGGGGACATGGGGGAGGTGGCGTTCATCACTGTCGGGGTGATGAAGGGATGACGGGATGAGGCGCGGAAGGGGCCGAACAATGCAGCCACCACCCCCGCACCGTATGGTGAAGAAGTTGCCCAGCGACTTGCTCATCTTCTCGCTGTCCACGTTGACAAAGCCGTTGTGCAGCCAGTAGCGCACGAAGTCGGTGCCGTTGTGCAGCGGGGCGGCCTGGGGGGCGGGGGGCTGCTGCTGCTGCTGCTGCTGGGGAAGCGGGGAGCCCGCCTCCGCTGCTGTCGCTGCTGGCTGCTGCATGTCGGGCAGCCCCGCTACGAGCGGCTGCCCCCCCTGCGGCGGGTGCCGCCTGCCGCAGCCGCATGCCGCCTGGCTCTGCGCCAGCTCGTTCTCGTGGTGCGGGAACACCAGGTCACGACCGCCTGGGGGGGGAGGGGGTGAGGGGAGGAGAGGGGGTAGCAGGCGGCGGTGGAAGGGGTTTGCTTGCCGAGAGCAAGGAGTCCATGTCCTGGTACGTACTAAGCACCAACGAGGCACCCCTCTCCCCCCTTCCAATGCTCCTTCCCCCCATACCCCCCTTTCCCCGCCCTCCCCTCTCACCCCCGTGTATGTCGATCACCGGCCCCAGCAGCTCCCGCACCATGGCGCTGCACTCGATGTGCCACCCCGGCCGCCCCGGACCCCAGGGAGAGGGCCAGGCCGGCTCCCCCGCCTTGGCGCCCTTCCACAGCGCGAAGTCCGCAGCGGAGCGCTTGCGCGGGTCCACCGCCACCCGCTCGCCGGCCCTGGAGGGGGAGGGGCAGCAAGGGGAAGTGTGAAGCGAGGGGGGGGGTTGGGGGTGTTGCGAAAGCATGCCAGGTGTGAACCCCGCTTCCTGGCTGCCTGCCTCCTCCCTTCCTCCCCTTACCCGCCTCCACCCCCTCATTCGCCACACGCCCCCCCGCCCACCTGTTGTCCTCCTGCGCCCTGCCCGACAGCCTGCCGTAGCCCTCCAGCGAGCCCACGTCGAAGAACACGTCGCCCCCCTCCACCACGTAGGCGTGACCGTGCGCCAGGATGTCGGAGATGGCGGCGATCATGGCGGGTATGTGGGCGGTGGCGCGGGGCTCCAGGGAGGGGGGCAGCACGCGCAGGGAGGACATGTCCTGGTGGGGAGGGGGAGGGGGGGGGTGGGTGGGGCATTGGGTGGATGGTGCAGGAGAGCTGGGCGCCCCTCCCGACCCGCACCCGCTGCTCACCCCTGCCGGTGGAGTCCTGTCACGTGCGTTAGGTGCACGACAGTGCTGTTCCTCTTGTCCCCACCCACCCTCCCCACATTCGGGATTGGGACTCCGTTGATGCACTTATCTATATTTTTACCCTCCCCACATCACCCCGCCTTCACCCCTTCACCCCACCCACCTTGTGGAACTCCGCGATGAAGCGCTCCGTGAGCTCCGAGGGAGGCACTCCGGACTGGGGGGGAAAGAAGGGGAGGGGGGCAGAGGGGGGGGAGGGCGGCGGGTTCGTGTCAGCGGGCAGCGCAGGGGTAACGGACGGAGCAGGCTGCTACCTCCCCTACCTCGCGACCGCACCCGTGCTGCTGCCCCCCTCGTGCGCAACCTCACTTCACGTCCCCCCCCCCACCACCTGCTGCGCCCGGGCAATGATCTTGTCGTCGATGTCGGTGAAGTTGCGCACGTAGGTCACCGGGTAGCCGCAGCCGGCGGTGAGGAAGCGGTACAGCGTGTCAAACGCCACATACACACGCGCGTGGCCTGCGGGGTGGGTGGCGGGTTGAGAGTTGGGAGGGAAGGGAGCGGTGAGTAACACGCTCTCGAGGTGGTGGGAGGGCAACGACACGACGATACGACGCGCCTACCTCACCTTGGGGCAACTACCCCTGCGGCCGTATTTCCCTTCACTGCGCCCACGCCTCATAAGGCCCAACGCTCCCATTCCCCTGCGCATGCTACCTTCCCAGCTGCTGTGTACTTATCTTGTCCCCACATCCCAGCCCCTTCCACCTTCCCGTCCCCGCCCCCCCCCCCTGGCACCATTAAACACCATGGGAATCTTCTTTCCTCCCGCCCCCCCCCGGCCGCCCCCTCCCCGGCACGCACCAATGTGCGAGTAGTCGTACACCGTCACTCCGCACACGTACATGCTGACGGGGCCGTCCGGGCGCAGCGGGCGGAAGGGCTCCTTGCCGCGAGCCATGGTGTTGTACAGCACCACCCGCTCCCGCAGCGCGGCTGGGAGGCGGGGGGAGAGAGGGGGCAGCAGAGAAGCACCGTTGGGGGTAGGTTCAGCGACAGGAAGAGAGCGATGTGGGTTTCTAGAGGTCAGCCAAGGGGTTGGAGTTTCTTGAGGCACCAAAGGGTTTGTGGACGTCATCGGGTGCAAGCGTGAAGAGTCAGGTGTCCAGCAAGGTGAATGAAGTGACAAAGGAGTATCCTTACTGCATGTACATAGCTTATATGTTTAAGCTAAGTCGCTTGCCTTGGCTGGGAACTTCACCCGCAGCGGTTGGCGCCCGAACCTCAGTCGCGGCTTGCACGGCCTGGACCGCATGCGCGACCGGCCGCATCACAGCGCTCGTCGGTCGACGACTTGTAAAAGGAATCCATCGCTGTTGGTGTCTATTGGAGAGGCAATTCAGCGACATAGCAACAAGGCCCCTTGGGCCGATAGGCAATGTTGCGTGGTCACAGAGAGGCAGCGTCAAGCCAGTTCTGTTCTAAGTGGGTAAAAAAGGTTAAACATAGCTATTAACACACGTGTTAAACGGTTAGCAAAGCACGATCCGCCGATAATCCATTCATCATCGGTCCATTCGCCAATGGCTGAAGGAAGTGATGCAGGTGCACTGCGCAGCCCTGGTATTTTACAGTAATACAATCCTTATGATTTCTTATTGATAGCGCTGCAGACGTCAAAGAATAGCTTTTTGCTAGCAAGTCGGTTAAATCTAGACCAACGTCAGGAAGCTTCAGCCCTGTAGAAACAATTTCTACTGCACAAAGAAGCATACCTCAGAGCTTGTGCGCGCAGCGTAGTGTTCTGTTGGCCGTCGGCTATTGGCAGGAATGTCGACATCTTGCAAGGGCCTGCTGGCCAAGTACGCCAGCTGCTTGCGGGAAACCGAGTGCATGAAGGTGATATCGATACCTGGACTGCCATAACACTCGGGATCGGTGGCCATGCTAGAGGGACCCCCTTTTTAGCCCTCTTGCGCCGCGTCATACCACACGCTTTCCCTGACATGCTGGCAATCTCTACAGCCCTGATGAGAGTAATCCACCTTGGCCAGCGACAACCTACGAGTACACACATTGGCTACGCCTCACGCACCCAACTTAACTTCCTCCTTCCACACCCCTTGGCCCCTCCCTCTGGGCCCTGTCCCTCATGCAGACCGGGAAGAAGGACGTGAAGGAGTGCATGGCTGAGAAGATTCCCGAGTGCGAGAACTACCGCTACGCGCTCTTCCAGTGCCGGAAGGGGCAGGTGGACGCGCGCACCCGCATCCAGGGTAACAAGGGCTACTGAGGGCGGGGCGGCAGGGGCAGCTGGAGGCGCGGCAAGTCGCAGCTCTATAGCAGCAGCGCGGCGACGCTGTCCCGGTGGTAATGATGGTGGTGGTGTTGGTCCCGGCGGTGTATTCGGGGAGGTGGCGCCAGGGAGGAGTGTGACCTGCTGGAGTGGGGTGGAGCCCTCGTTGGGGCTGGAGAGGGCAAGGGGCTCCCTGTCCGGGTGCTCTCAGATGGAGGGTGCAGGTGTACCGCGGACAAGCTGTCGTAGCCGTGTGTGCTCGGTGAATCTTGCGCCGGGGGCGGGAGGGAGGGAGCAGCGGGTTCCGCTGCTAAGTGGCAGCTGTAGCGGCCCCTGGGTCCATGAGGCCTAGAACGCCAGTGGGGCCTAGGGCGCTGGGGCTGCACAGCAGCAGCAGCAGCGACAGCCACCAGCCCTTCCGCGGTTGCCGTGCGTACAGTCCGGGCCATGGGACTACAAGGGGCAGTTGACGGAGTACGACAATTGACAGAGACGCTGACAGTACGGCTTTAGACGTCCTGTCGCACTGGAGTCCGTGATGATGGAAGGGAAACATGCGGCTTTGTGTGGGCACGCTGTGGACAGCTGTGAAACCACTAGGTGAAGTTTAATACCGCCATTGATAGTCTATTAGCCCTGTTGTCGGCAACCATATGCGCGACATGGAGTGTGATGCGGCCACATGCAACGAGTGATGGGTTGTTTCATGTTGCTCCTTTCATCTCCATGTAACAGCGAACGGGGGCGAGATTGTCACTCCTCAGCTGCTGAGGGACACTGACGTACTTACGGTGAGGAGCGCAGTCCGCTACAGACAGTCTGCGGCACAACTCAGGCGCCAGTTAAGCCGCCCCACACTCCGACAGCTCAGCTAACAGGAACATGTGCGGCCCGCTGACAGGCAGCCGGTTGGCGAGCTTGTCGTCATGGGATATTACAGCGCAAGAGCGCAACCAGGCCTCGGAGGGAGGGGCAGCTGAAACAGGTTCCAAGACCGAAACATGCGACATCCAACTGGCACCGATGACAGCTGTGGCAACACGGGCAGCATGCAACTGTGACGCTCTGACAGGCCCTCCGCGCTCCTCGTGACCGCATACCCTGCCCTCCCTTCATGCGTAGTTTCCTGCACTGCTCCCTCACTCCTACAAGCAACTCCGCGACACAACGTCCTTAGCAGGACGCAGCAGGAACGCCCGCCGCACCCCTCGAGAACCGCACCGGAGGTCGCAGCGTGCGTATGAATTAAGTACATGGGCAATAGCTCTGTGGTTGCAGCAACCGCCGCCCTTCTCCATCATTAGCGCCGCTCCAGACATCACCCCTCTCACCCTGGCTTTCACTCCCCCCAAGCCCCATGTCGTCGCCATGATGGCCCCCAGCTGCCCACTCCTACCCAGCCGTGTCGTGGCTCACGTCACCCCATGCGCACATGCACCACTCGTCCCGCGCTCCGCAGCGCAACCCGGGCACCCGCGGCCGTGACTCGAGCCACTCGGGCACGCAGCCCGCCCCCAGGCTCAGCCCGGATTGCCAGCTGCTCCGCTCCAAATGGCCCTCTGTACTCGCCATGCATTTATTGTACGACAAGCGCACGTGGCTTCAACGTATTCCGCATGCTGAGCGGCCAGGCCCCTCTCTCTTTCCGCAACTCCACACTCCAAATCAAACCAAGTACCCTAATCCGCCTTATCGTATCCCTTCTGAAGCAAGTTATTGTCCGCCGGCACCGCAAGCATCTTCTGAAGCGGCATCCGAGCTTACGTATCGCGCCAGGCCTCCGCCCCATCAGCCGCTGCGACGGCTCCCTTCAGTTTGCCAGCGGCCCCGCCTGCTTCCCGAGCTGCCCTCCCTCAGCCAGGCAGCTCCCTTCGCATCCCTACTGCCTCTACCCAAGCCAGGCCTACCCCACTAGTGCTCCAGAGACCGACTGCTTTGCGCCTCTCAGAAAGAATAAATGGGTGAGACAAGCACACAGCTACGTCGTCTACAGGATGCGCACCCGCATGCGGCCTCCCTCCACCGGGACCCGACCCCGAATCCTACGCTAGCCAAGTAACGCTGCGAGATCCTCCTCAACCTAAGTACTCCAGCCCATAAACGCCTCTACCCCCTAACCTCGAACTGACGATCCCTGAACACAACCCCCTTCGCCCCGCGCTACTCCTATAACCGCCGCATCTCGCCCCACCGTACACGATACCGCACATCGAAGCCCTTCTTCCGCGGTAACGCTAATCCCAGCCCTCCAACACGGCTACCCAGCTTCAACCGCTCGCCGCGCTCTCCCCACCCTGCCAAGCTCCTCCAACCTCGCAACTGCTCGCCCCCACCGACGCAGCCACCGCCTCAAACCATGTCCGCCACAACAAAGCCTCCTTCTCCGGCCCCCGCCGCCCTCCTCAACAAGTCGCTGCACGCCGGCCCCGGCGCGGGTGCCAATGTAGCACCTAACGACGCCCAAGACCCCGCCAAAGGAACAATAAGCCCCCCCGCGGGCCCCACCGCCCTCCGGCCACCTTCACTGTTGCACCTCCGCACGCCGCCCCACGGCCCCGCCCCGCGACGTGTCCTCTCTCGCCCCGCCCCGCAGCGGCTGTGTTGGGGATGCGAAGGCTGCTGCGGCAGGCGGCGAGAATCGTCGCTGCCTGCCGCTCCTCCTCCGCGCGCCTCCGCCAACACCAGCTCCGCCGCGCTCCCAACACTCCGCATGTATGTACCACCCTCTCCACCAGCCTCCACAGAAATTGAGGGCGCTCCGCTGACCAGTACCAGCGCGGAGGGGCGCTGCCCCACCACCACCGCACACGCAACGGCGACCCACCCGCCACAAGTTGAAGCATGTAGGGTCGCCGCTACTGCCCTATGCAGCCCAATCGTTCGAATCCTTGTAGTGAAGATCTTAGTCTTCAAAGCCTTCTGCAGGTTGCTCCAACAGACACACAAACACCTCTCCGCTGGCCGGCGGTGCTCCCAGTCCGGCAGGGCGGCGGGCAGCTCAACAGCTCACCCGCCCCCAGGCCGCAGCCAGGTAGGCAGCCGCTGCCCCGGCGGCCGCGCGAGCACGCCGCCAGGACAGCCGCCCCCAGAGGGCCCTCGCAGCCGCCGCGGAAGGAGCCCCGCTAAGCAGTGTCTATAAAAGATATATGCTCGGATTGGTTACAAAAATGTAAGGAGACCTTCATAGTCGTCAAAATGCCCCTGGATCGGAGCAGCGAAGAATAGACTTAAGCCCACGCCTGAAGAAGCCTCTCGCATGCCTCCCCGCCGGCCCCGCGGGGCCGACTAGGTGGTGCTGCAATCCAATTATGCCAGGAAACACTGGCAAGCGTGTGCAGGGATCGTGCCTCCATCATCCCTGCAACGCTGAAGCGTCAAGCCAAGGCCCCCTACTGCTTTGCATCAGCGGCAGCGCCGCTTGCAGCAGCGCCGGCCCCCTCGCGCTCCGTCTCACGGCTCCGACCGCCGCCGTGCTGCTGTGAGTGGTGGTTGTTGTGGCTGCTGCTGTGGCTCTGGTGCTGCTGCTGCTGGTGGTGGTGCGCATGGCCACCGTAGGACCGACCTTCGCCCTGGCCGCCGCCCTGTCCCTGCATGCCAGGTCCCGCGCCGTACTGGGCCGGGTCGTACGACTGGTAGAACGCCGGGACGCCGTACATCGGCCGCATGGGGATGGCGGCACCTCCGGCGGAGTGCGCCTGCGCCGCCTGCTGCAGCTGCGCCCCGGCGGCCGCACCCGCGGGGTACATGGCGGCCCCGGCGGGGTAGCTGTATACCGGGTAGGCGCCCTGCGGGGCAATGGCAATGGCCTCCCCCTGCGACCCCATGCCCACACCCGGCGCAGTCACGTAGCCGTACGCGCCCGTGGCCGGCACCGCCATGCCCATCGCGTGACCCATGCCCATGCCCGGGTAGAAGGCGCCGCCCATCCCGGGAGCGGCCGCCGCGTACATGGCTCCCGCGGGAATGGCCCCACCCGCAGCAGCCATGCCGAACACCGGCTGACCCGGCGGCATGAAGCCAGCCGCACCCATCGCCACCGGGACGGGGTACTGCGCTCCCATGCCCGGGTAGGGCGCCGCCACCGCCTGGCCGTACGCCGCCGCCTGCTGCTGCGGCTGCTGCTGGCGGCCAGCCATGCCCCCGCTGCCGCTGCGGTCGGGGCCGCCAGCGGCTGCTGCGCCGCCCTGGTGGGCCTTACCGCCCTGGTTGCTGCCCCCGTGACCCCCTACGTGGTGGTGCGGGGGAGGGGGCGGTGGCGGCGGGCGCACGCCGCCGGGGCCTGCATGGGCCGGCGACTGGCCCCACGAACCCATGGGTCCCGCGGGCTGGTGCGCCGCCATGGGGTGCGGCTGCATGGCACCTGCGGCGCCCAGCGGCACCTGCGAGTGGTCGGCGTGGTGCTGCGGCGCCATGTGCGGCCGACCGGGAGCGCCAGCTGGGCCCGCGGGCATGCGGTTCAGGGCCGGGAACTGCAGCAGGGCATGGGCGGGGCGGGGCCGCTTCAGCATTGTGGGGTTAACAGCGCAGTTGGCAGAAGCGTAGTGCCAGGAGTCAAGACTTCGAGCGCTACCATGAGTCAGGAAGGCTATGTCCCATGCACCATCCCGCATCGCCGCAGCCCTACCTCAGACGAGTAGGTGGGCACCTGGTAGATGCCGCCACCCGGCATCGCCGCGTACGTAGGGTCGAAGCGTGCAACGGGAGTGAACCTACATCAGGGGACAAAAGATTGCCGTTAGAGGAGTACATGTCAGACGAAGATCCACCGACGGCCAGCGTTGGGAAGTCGAACAGAGCTTGATCTGGGTCCCCACGTCAGCGCTTACCTGTTCATGCCGCGGCGGTAGTCGGGGTCCGACAAGTCCTTGTCCTTGTCTCGGAACATCGCCTTGCGGCCCCGCCCGCCGTCCATGCGGCCGCCGAGGCTGCCGAAGCGACCACCAGGCCCGCCCCGGCCGCCCCGACCCATGCCCATGCCCTCCTGCGGGGCGCTCCCGAGGCCCAGCTCCTCGCGCGCCTTCATGTAGTTCTCATGCCTTTCCTTTATTGTCCTCGATGGGGACTGGTTGAGTGAAAGCTCCGAGCTGCTGTGCTGAATGCGCTCATCTTCCTGGCGTCGAAGAAGGCGCGGTTTGTCCGAGACGGGTCCTCCCGCGCCGTTTACGCTGCTGGTGCGCTGAGCGATTGGATCTGAGCGAACGTCGAGATTGCGAAGGCGAGGCTGCATGACAATGGAAGGTATAGGCGTCAATCTTTTAATACTTGGGAGTTGCACAGCAGCATGCCCGTGTAACGACCTCCTACCAAGCAGCAGATCAATCTCCAGAGTTCATACCTTCGGTACTGTGCAGTGCATTGTGCGAATGGCAAGAACTCGGCCCTGAGACTCCTCGTAGTCGACAGTGCTCGTCTGAAGACCGTAGTACTGACCCACTCGGTGCGCCAGCATCCGCTGCATAGATCATGAAATGGCTATCTTCAAGTGTTCATCCTGTACCTTGGGGACGGGGCAGACGACCCACCTGGTAGCTGGAAAAGGACGCAGGGAATTGCAAGGCTTCCTGGCATGGGTCCGCAAGAAACTTCTCCACAAGCTCCTCGCATTTCAGAACTGCAAATCCAAATAATAGAAATTAATATAAGTGAAAAGTTGCAGCGATATAGCAGTCATGGAAAAACGCTAACAAACCTGTGATACGCTGGGTAGGGTCGGCGAGCGCTTGCCTGATGGCAGCGTCTACAGCTTCATAGTCAGATGCAGGGCCCGACGCCTGCTGCTGCTGAGCCTGGTACTGCGGTTGAGCCGAAGTACTTTCAGCTGGTGGTGGAGTGGGCGGCTTGGCCCTGCGAAACCTTGAAGTCAGCAAGGCGTGTCGCAAGGGCGTCCTATACCGGCAGGCCAGTTTTGCAAACTCACACATCGCCAGCTTGGGCTGCAGTATCAACGGAAACAGAGTTTGGTACCGGGCGCTCTGATAAGCTCAGACCCGGGAGCGCCCCAGCGAGATTCTCCCAACTATCTTCCATATTGGACCTCGGCTTAGGAATTGCCTTTTCAGTTTTCTTAAACTATCTACGAAGATGTTACTCGGCGATCGGAGCGGGTCACAGGGTTGGCAAGACCCAAAGCAAGATTGATGAAGCGGGAATAAAGCAACAAATAAAGCAATCCTACCCCGCCCGTGCCTTTTTAAGCCTTCACGCTATGTGGTGGGCTAGCAATAAAACAGGCCCGACGATGCACGGGCCAGAGGTCATCGCATCCGTACAACCCCAGATTGCCCCTCCCGGCTCTCCGACAGCGCTGGGCTAGCAGCGATGCACAACATAAAGGATCAGAGAAAATTAATGCTAGCAAACCATTGCTAAAATAACTCGTCCTTTGGCACTCCCAGTACGTTGCCAACCCTATAATCCACAGTCTGCGCCGCATCAAAGTGCACAACTTCACACCCTTCAGATTAAACCTATGCCTTTGATCCAAAAGCCCAACCACCCCAGTCCTCAGCATCGCCGCTGGGGTCAAAGAGCGAGACTGGGGGTTGCGCGTAGAAGGCGACCGGAGCCTTGCGAAGCTTGCGTGACAGCTCGCCGCGGATCAGCGCGTTGTAGCTCCCAGCGCCGCTAGCCTGCTGTCCGTCCGCCTGGCCGCCGGCGCCCAGCAAGTCCTCCAGGTTGACTTCAGCGGTTTTGGTGCGGTCCGTGAGGTCCTTGTCCAGCACCGCACAGAAAGTTGAAACCTACAGGAAGAGCACACAGCGCGAAAGAGATCTGAACTTCAGCAGCACGGAAACCAAGGGGGAACAAGTTCGACAGTGTAGCGCGGACGCGTCGACTGCGGTTGATCTCGGAGATTTCCCTTCCTAGCCTTTTGTGCGTGTGTCGCAGCCACGAAACTGGCTACTCATGCCAACACCACCCAGCTAAGCGCGTCCCCAACCCACCAGACATAGCTCCCATCACACTAGCCTCCTCACCCACTCTCAAAACAGCGCACAGAGCGGCAACAAAACACAACACGTCCCACCTCGCTCAGCATCCATAACCCGGCCCGCACCCAGCGCACCACCTCCCCTCCCTCCCCGCCCCCCCTTCCCCTCCCTGCACTTCACCCCTCATTTCCCCCCTTTCTCCCCCCCCCCCCGCACCCACCTGCGGGCAGTAGTGGTTCCTCAGCGCCTCCACCTCCCACAGCGAGCTCTCCACCGCCCGGCTCTTGGCGGGGTCCGGCTCCGCCTCGTCGTACACGTCCGCACCCGCCCCCCTGCCCGCAGCGGGGTTGTGCAGCAGGGTGGCGAGGGCGGGGTGGCGGCGGATGAGGTTGTGGATGAAGGCGATTGCGAGCAGGGCGCCCGCGGGCGGCGCGGAGAGGGCCAGGCGGGCGAAGCGCTTCACGAAGGCCGCCACGGTGTATGCGGGCACCAGGGAGGAGGAGAGGAACAGGTCGGCGAGCCGGAAGAACTGGGCGCGGGTGCGGGCGGCGAAGGCCTGCAGGGCGGGGGGGGGAGGGAGCGGGGGATGAGACAAACTGAGCCGCGGGGAAACACTGGCCGTGGGAGGAGGTGGCGGGAGGGGCAGACAGGGATACCGAACGGAGCGGCGGTGTGTGGCAGTGGGGGCGCACTGCCGCGCAGTGGGGCCGGGAGCTGCAGCTCTCCTCCGTATAGCAGCGGCGCCCGCCACATGTGGTCCGCACAGGAGGGTGGGGGCGGCAGGGGGAGCTGCCCAGCGGCCCCCGCTGCGCCCCCAACTGACGTCCGAGGACCTCCCTCCCCCCCCCCCCAGCTCACCTCGGGCGCCAGCAGCTGGTAGAGGCGCGCGAAGAACTGCGGGTACTCCAGACCGTGGCGGGTGACCTGCGGAGGGGGAGGAGGGATGGGAGCGGGGATGCGGGAGCAGATAAGGGTAGTACAAGGACAGGGGCGAATTCAACCAGGGAAATGGAAGGCAGGTCCGCGGGAAAGGATGAAGGCTGACAGCACCGGCTCAGCTCAGCGGCAAACCTCCCTAGCACTGCTTCACTTACTGTTTCCCTAGCACTGCCCCCCCGCCCCCTTCTCCTCCCCCGCCCCCCGCCCTCCCCCCCCACCAGCAGGAACAGTCCGTTGAGCGCCAGCATGCCCGTCAGCCCGCCCCGCCCCAGGCAGTGCGTCAGGAAGTCCGACAGCAGGTGCGGACCCGGCACGTGCGGCAGCACAGACACGGGCAGCGCCAGCAGCACGCGACGCAGCGTGTCGGGCGGCAGCGGCAGCGACAGCAGCGCCAACCAGGCGTCACTGGGGGCGGGGAGGGAGTGAAGGGTGAGGGGGAGGTGGGAGAGAAGGGAAGCGGCGGCAGAGCCTGTTCATGGAACCAACAACAGGCTTCTCACGTACGGCAAGACCCTCGTACGACGTACCCGTACAGTCGCTTCTGCGTCTTGGGGTTGGCCCACTGCACTTTCCGCTGCTGCGCCTGCTGGACCGCCTGCTGCTGCTGCTGCTGCCCGCCCGCCTGCTGCTGCTCCTGCTGCTTGCGCTTCCGGCGGGAGCGGCCCGACTCGTTCTTGTCCGAGGCGGCCGCAACCAGGTTGAACTGGGGGGGGCCGGAGCGGGGGGCCGCGTGTGAGGGGTGCAGCGCGGGAAACGCGGTAGTGCAGCCCTCTTCCGCTGTACACGGAGACACACCTGCCCGCCTCCGCCCTCCCCTTCTGACTGCCAAGGCACACGGCCTACCACGCAGGACATCCTCTTCCCCGGCTGCTGCTCTGCTGCCCCTCCCCCCCCGCCCCCTCCCTCCCCCGCCCCCTCACCTCTGCCGCCCCGCACCAGGAGCGCCACTCGCTGCAGTCCTCCGGCAGCGCCGCCTCCACGCGGCTCAGCACGTCGAACAGGCTGCGGGCCAGGTCGGGCAGCCGCACGCAGCTGCTGCTGGGGGCCGCGGCAACCGCTGCAGCGGCGCCGGCAGCTGCTGAGCCCGAGGGACCTGGCGGGGCGGGTGAGGGTGCGGTTGTGGGTTCGGATGGTCAGAGGCACATGCGTGTATGGGACCCCAGCACACAGCACACGACCAGCCCCGTCATGACACAACATGAGTCGCATCCGGACACGCCCGCATCCCATACGCCTCCACGTCGCCAACACCTCCGCCTCCCCTCCTCTACCCACCCGCCTCCTCGTCCTCCTCCTCCTCCTCCTCTGCCGCCTGCGCCGCCGCCGCCCCCTTGCCGCTGCCGTACCGCCCTGCCAGCGCCCGCACCGTCGCCAGCGTGTGGTACCTCACGTCCGCCGCGCCCAGGTAGCGGCTGAACAGCAGCGCAAACACCTCGGGGCGCACCGCGGGGCTCAGCAGCACTCCGCTCAGCAGCCTGCCGTACAGCGACCCCGAGAACACCCCCGGGCCCAGCTCGCTGCGCACACACTCCATGAGCGCGGCGGCAGCCACCACCTGCACACCCGCGCTCAGGGTGCGGGCGGGGGCGGGGGGCTGCTGTGGTGGGGGCGGTTGTTGTTGCTGGGCGGGCTGCGGTGCGGGGCCCGCGGGCGCCCAGCCGGTGATGAGGGCCAGCAGCTGGCTGACGAAGCTGCCGTACTGCCGACCCAGCCACTCGCGGTACTGCGACTCGGGGTCGGAGGGTGCTGCGGAGGAGGGGGTGGGGGCGGGGGCCGCGGCAGCTGCTTCAGAGCCGGCAGCAGCGGCGACCTGCAGGGAAGGAGGGCAGCTGGCGGGAGTGAGAGATAGGTGCGTCTGGGGCTGAGAGAGCTAAGTAGCACGTGGGCCGGTGCGAGAAGGGCTCTGCCATGGCCACACGGTCGCAGGGAGCATCCAGACGCGCGGGCTCCCGGTAGGAACCGCAGCGGCAGCCAACACACCTTTTGTCGCTTTGCGGGCCGGCTGGCGCCGCTGGCTGCGGCCTCCGCAAGCAGTCCATCCTGCCCAGCAGCCACAAAGAATTGCTTCAGGCCCTGTATCGCTGATTTGAGGGCGGCCTGAGGAAGGGAGGGAGGGGCGGTGCAGTTGCGTTGGGCAAGCAATTGCTTGTGCCATCGACTCAGCGGCGAGGCCTCACACAGAATAGTTCGCGCTCCGTTCCTTGCAAAGTTTTCGACCGGTATAGTATGCGCACCTATTTGCTTTAGGACAATCTACACAGATCGCCACGGTAACTATTAGCAGCGCAAAATGCCCAGGCCCAAATGCGGCGGATGTTCGAACGGCGGCGATTTAAACGTTGGTTTCTTAAGCGTCTAGGAATGTTTAGTCATTTAAAGAAACACAGAGCGTACCTCTTGTTTACAGGAACCCATAAGCGACAATAGCTTGACGACATTGTTCGCCTTTGCGCGGCCGCCTGCGAGGAGCTCCGCTACCAAGCTGTTCGCTGTGCCTATTTCTGCCATTTGTACGTCGGCAGGATACGTTAAGCTGTATGAACGCCTACTAGCAGCTCATTAGGGCCTCGTTAACGCGTTGCAACTTGCATACCGTATGTTAATACGTAACTGGTAGGATTTGAGAAGCAGCAACACTAAAAGCATACAGGATGAGACATCAAGGCCCTTGCGGCAGTCCTGCCGTACAAAACCCAATTACTAAGCCAGGGATTTTTGTAGCACCCCGTGTACGATGGCCGCACAGTTGCAGCCAGCTACCATGAAAGGTCCTTAGACAACAACCCAGCAAGCTCGTCAAACGCTTTTCGCGCCTTTCTATCCAGGCCTTGCGGTCGTTCTCACCTCGCCTCCGCCTGTGCCTCTAGCCAGCAACAAACAAACCGCCGCCTTCCAAAGCATTTCTAGCCTCATACCTTCGCGGGTGGGTTATCCCAGCCCTGCCCCATTCGGACACAACGCTTGCACCCCGCTCGTTGCCCCACTGCCGCACATGCAGGTTGCAACCAATCACACATCCCTGGTGAAGCCCGTCAGTCATCCCGCCCTACGTCCAAAGCAGAGCCAGGCCCGGATGGCCCCCACGCAGGTCATTTAGTCAGCCAATCATACGAGCAGTCCCAAGTATCAGGTGCATGGGGTGTACGTCGGGGACCAGTCAGCGTCGCAACCCATCACCGTCAGTCAGTTCAAAACAAGCGAGAGCATACCTCATGGCATCGAATTAATGAATCCACAACAACCGCACACCTTCCTGGCCAGGCACATCGCTACCAGCCCTGCGCGCCCGCCCAACACGCCAACCACCAGGGTCCCCATCCAACGCTGTGCACGCGTGCAGAGCAGCAACTTCCCTAACCGCCGCTGCCGCCGCCAACCACTGATCCCACCTTCACCCTCCTCACAGCCCGCTAGCGCCCCTCCCCTCCCCTCACGCCGCCTTCCCCACCGTCTGCGGCCGCGAGAAGCGCCGTGACAGCGCCAGCGGCGACTGCGACTGCGTCATCATCGGCAGCGGACTGGGCACGAACTCCCCTCCATCCAGCCCCCCCAGCCCTCCCAGCCCGCCCGACCCCGGCCCGCCGCCGCTGCTCAGCGCCATGCGGCCCCCCACCCCGCTGCTGCGGCCCACCCCGCTGCCGCGCTGACGACTGGGCTGCAGCGCGCCGCCGCTGCTGCTGCCGCCGCTGCTGTACCCCCCGCCCGCGGACACCCCAGCAGGGCCCCGGGGGCTGTTCAGCGGCGAGCCCACCCCACCTGCCCCGGGCGGCGTGCCCGGCAGCCCCGAGCCCAGCGGGTCCGCCAGGGGCGGCAGGCTGCTCTGGGAGCCGGAGGCAGCGGAAGCCGCAGCGCCCGCCGCCGCCACCGCCCGCAAGCCCCCACCTCCTCCGCCACCACCGCCCGAGCTGACCACACCCCGCGACGCCGCGCGGCCCAGCCCCACCCCAACCCCCGTCCCAATGCCCACCCCCAGCCCGGTCCCCACGCCTATCCCGCACAGCGAGCTGGAGCCCGCGGAGGCCAGTCCGCGCGGGCTGGAGGGCTCCGCGGCCACCGAGCCGGGGGCCGGCAGGTACGGCACAGCACCGCCCTCACCCGCCCCGCCGCCGTCCATGCCTACGCTGCGCGGACTGAGGGGGTTGCCTGGCGGCCCCGCCTGGCTAGCGTCCGGCAGCGAGGAGGAGGAGGAGGTGGTGCCGGCGGTGGCCGGGGGCGACCTGAAGGACACCGACCCCGACCCCCCGGCACTGCTGCCGCCGCCACCGCCGCTCACCAGCAGTGGCAGCGGCCGCGGCCGTGCCGATGCGCCCCGACTGGCGCCCGCCGCCGGAGTGCCGCCCCCGCCTGACGCCGATACCGCCGACACGTCACTCCGCTCAGACGCCAGCGGAGCCCCCCCGAGCCCCCCGGCCCCGCCCGCCGCCCCTCCCGACAGGTTGGAGGCGGTGGAGGTGGCGATGGAGGCGCGCATGGCCGCCGCCAGCTCCCGCGCCGAGTGGTGCGGGGCGGCCAGGCTCAGCTGCGCCAGGTTGAGCGGGAGGGGGTGCGGCGGGCCGCCACCGCCCGCACTGGCAGGCGGGGAGCCCGCTGCCGCTGCATGCAGGGCCGGCAGGGAGGGCTCGGAGTCCAGGCCAAAGCCCCCTCCCGCCGCTCCGCCTCCCCCCACTCCCCCCATGCTGAGCGAGTTGGGCGTCCTCGCCCTGGACACCGCCCCGCTGCTGGGCGCCGTGCTAGCGCGGGTAGGACTGGGTGACCCCGCCCAGCTGCCCTCCGGCCCCATGCCCCCTCCGCCGGCCCCTCCCAGCCCCTCCCCCATGCTGCCCCGCGTGAGCGACCTGGGCGCCCAGCTGCCGCCCGGCCCCAGCTTCTCCGCCGCCAGCGCCTCCTCCTCCTGCAGCGCCCCCAGGTGGTCCAGGTACATGACGCGCATGGCGTCGTAGGGCGCGGGGCGCAGGTGGCGGGGCAGCACCGCGGAGTGGCGCTGGAGGGCCTGGGGGGGAGGGAGGGGGGGAAGGAGGGGGGAGAGAAGGAAAGGAGTGTGAGACGGGCCACTGCATGGGATGTGTGGTACGGTGACCCCGAGGTGAGGCGCATGTTGGCTCTCCCGGCGTTCCTCCACCTCCTCCGCCCGCCCGCCCCGCACCTGCTTGATTGCCTTGTCGTCCCACAGCTGCACCACATCAATGGTGGCCATCAGCTCGCCGTACGTCTCGTCATCGAACGCCACCCCGGTGTTCTGAACCCAGGAAGCGATCTCAAGAGCTTTCTCCAGCATGCCGGCCTGCAGCAGCGACGGGCGGGGAGGGGCGCGGAGAGGGGTAAGCAGGCAACCCTCCACCCTCACATGACCCCCGTCCGCATCCGGAGTCCCGGACTCACATCACTCTGAGCTCCAGGCTTGAGTGCCAGCCACCAGACACCTCACCCCGCTGGCGCCCTCCCCACTACCGTACCATCCAGCGGCCCACCTCCCTTGCCCCACCCCCACCTGGTGGCACGCGTGTATGAGGTGGTTGTAGGTGGCGATGGAGGCCGGCACCGCCTCGTGCGCCGCCCGCCCCGCCACCAGGTGCTCGAAGATGTCCAGCGCGCGGTCCAGGGCGCGACCCACAACACACGCCTGGGGGGAGGGGGGAGGGGGAAGAGCAGCGGGCGGACCGGCTGGGTTCACTACGCCGTACAACCCAGTGGTGTATGAACGCGTTCGAGGGGGGCGCTCCATCCCGATTGTAGTCTCCTGTCAACCTCCCAACCCCACTCCCCCCCCCGCCCCACCTGTATGAGCGCCGTGTGCGTGTCCAGGCTGGCCGGCACCTCGTCCGCCTGCATCTGCGCGTACAGCGCCTGCGCCTCCCGCCACCGGCCCGCCCGCCCCGCCGCGCCCAGCAGCCCGTTGTACACCCGCGTGCAGTCCGCCAGCTGCAGCTCCGCCAGCGCCTCGAACACCGCCACAGCCGCCTCGAAGGAGGGCGCCGCGTGCATGGCGGCCTCGCACACCTGCAGCAGCGCCTCCACTACCTCCTCGCTGGCGGGGCGCCCGCAGGACTCCAGGGCCTGGGGGGTGCGGGAGATGGGTGGGGGTGATTGAGGTGTGGGGGCTTAGGGAGGGGTAGGGGTAGGCGCTTCCAGGCTTCTGCAGCCCCATCACCTGCCTTACCGTGCCCCGCAGCCCGCTCCTCCACCCACCCCCACCTGCACTGCGTCGATGGCTTCCCGGTACGCCCCTCGCCGCTTGTAGTTGCAGGCCTGCGCGGGAGGGCAGGTGAAGAAAAGCATGAACGGAATTGGGTCAGGAGGCTGACTGGAGCAGTACCAAGCACCCCGCCTTCCGCCCCCTCATCCCATCCCAGCACCCACCCTCACACGCACCACCCCCCCCACCCCCTCCCTTCACCCCCTCCCCCACCCCCCCACCTGCAGCACCATGAGCACCGTGTAGCTGTTAGGCCGCAGCCCCAGCTCCCCCGTCATGCTGCGCACCAGCTCCACCGCCCGCCCCAGCCGACCCCGCACGCACAGCCCCGACAGCACCAGGTTGGCGGTGCCCAGGTCCGGCACCAGCCCCGCGACCCGCATGCGACCCAGCAGCGCCAGGCAGCGCTCGTCCTGGTACTCGGTGGCGCACACCAGGATGGCCGAGTCGAAGAGCGCCTTGCTGGGCGGCAGCGACCCGCGGGTCAGCACCAGGTCCATGGCGGCCAGCGCCACCTCGGAGCAGCCTGGCGGGGGACGAGGGAGAGGAGGAGGAGGGGTGAAGGGCAGGAGGAGGAGGATGCGGTTGCATAAGGACCGGTAGGGCTTTTGGACTGGTAAGCGAAAGGAGGCAAGACAAGGAGGCAAGACAAGGAGGCAAGGAGGAGGCGCGCATGGGCAGCTACATAGACGTCCCTTCCCTTCCCCTCCTTCCCTCCTTCCCGCCCCGCCCATGCCTCACCCTGCCTGCCCAGCTCCCTTATGAGCGCCACCAGCGTGTCCTCGTCCTCCACCGCCTCATCGCTCAGCACCGCGGCGGCCGCATCAGCCCAGGGGAAGGGCGTGAAGCGCCGACCGAAGCGCTCGCGGGAGCGCCGCTCAGCCTCACGAACACGGTGGTAGTCCTGGGAGGAGGGGAGGCGGGAAGGAGGTGGGGATGGGTGAGACCACCGGGTCTGGGAGGACGGGGAGCGGGTGTGGCTGCCCCAAAGAGGCAGCCGGCAAGCGACCCATGGGCCATGCCGCCAGCCACTACCTCCCCGTCCGGACATGTTCGCCGCCTCGCTGCATCCTTCCTAAGAATCTAACTCAGGGGCTAGCAGGGGCCAAGGTTGGAAGCGCTCCCAGGAGCGGCACGGTGCTTGGCTGCCAGCCTAGCACTGGCAGTCAGAGCGGTGGTGCTGAGAGGCGCGGTATGGCGGGGAGGTTGTACGACACCACGTCCCTGGCCCAGCGGCGCCGTGCAACGTCATGTCGGCAACCGGCAGACATGAAGCTGGGCAGTTTGCCAAGCGCAATACAGCTTTCGCACTTGGAAAGGTACGCGACAGGCAGCAAGGTCAACTGGTCAGCAGCCCGCACGTCCAGGCGCGTCACATGTCGATAGCCCCCTTTAATTCCCTCCCGGCCACGCCCTAGCACCGGTAACTTTGTTGCTGAGGCCGTTCAAAGAGCGTTTGCCATGCAAACAAGAGCAGCATTGCAGCTATAGCCTAGGAGGCGCGGAGCCTGCTTGTTCACCCCCCTTTCAACGCTTACCACTGTGCGTCGTGCTAGATCCTCTGCCCGGAAACGGATGGCAGCCATCTCATCCGCAGTAAGCTGCGTGTCCTCCATGTCAAGCCAAAACCGCAGCCGAAGCGCCGATGAGGCTCAAATGCCTCCGTATGATTCGAGCTAGCATACTCTAATTTTTTGGGCGCGAGCTCGCGCATTTGTCGCGCCCATTTCCTGTTCCTCACGTCCTCATGTTGGGACAGTTGCGACGTCCCTTGATAAAAGTGAGTGTTTATATTATCAGAGTACACGTAGCACTTAACGTTAACCGTAAACGTAACAGCTATTGATTCACAGCACTTCTTTTTGTGAAGTATTGCTGGTGCTGCTTCCACAACATACCCAAACTATGGTCGGTGAAACGTAAGCTAAAGATCATTATGGATAGTTGAAGGAGCTTTGCCCAACAGTTTCGAAGACTTCAGCTAGTTCATGCCGTACAAAGGCCTTCCTACAGCTATTAACTGTGCCCCGTAAGCGCAGTTAAAGGGACATACGAAGCGATACTGGATGGGCTTGAAAACCTGGAACTTATCACCTTGCCTCCAACTTTGCCTACCCAAACCCTTGTCACAATAGTCCCGGCACGTGGTCCCGGCTGACCACTGCATAAGGGAGTGATGGCGGTCACAGACCCGCACCACAACTGATGCATGCTGTTACCCATACTAAGATACTATGCAAGCGTTGGCGAATGTAACATCCTTTAGCCTTAACGCGCACTCCTCCCACACGATACCCGGCAGCAAGTTCATGCAACTGCGTGGAGCAGCCCTGGTGACAGGTAGCGATAACAGTCATCCGTACGTCTACAGGCATAGCGCTGATGGGCCCAGCAGACCCAAAGGAATGCTTCAGCAGGCATCGGCAAACTGCCCTGCTGCAGGAATTCCCCATACAGCTCAGTGCCCGTGACCTGGGACCATCAGATGGGTGGACATGGAAGTCTACCACCGATGGTGCCAGCTCGCTATGGGTCGAAGCACAGCGGCAACGCGGTGACAGGGCGGGTTGTTGGCAACGTCAGGAGCGGTGGGAGACTGGCTGAGACAGCCAATGACCTTGACCGCTTGCATAGGGGGTAGGAGCTGCAGCCCTGTACATGGGATGCAGGTGATGGTATACACTCTGGGGTTGCAGCTCTTGCTTTGTTGTAGGTTGCTGCAATAACCGCGGAATACCCTGATCGAGGAGGGGGTGCAACACAGGTCAAGGTACTGGGTGCAGATGTAACCTGCCAACAGTCCACTGTGTTTCGAGGCAAGCCCATACGGCCACTGTAGATGGCGGAGGGGCGAACAGCTGGGGTATGCATGCCCCAAGCTTGCCAGCGAGAGACATCCATTCCACGCCCGCTTACAGGGCCGCGCTGGCGCCCTGCTGCTTCACCTAGTCGCTCAGTGCCGTTCGCTGCAACAATACTTGGCCGGAATTGTTAACCTACGCCAGCATGCCGATAACTTTCGCGTCTTTCGCTAGGTGCATCGCGGCTCTTATCAGACTGCGTTCGGAATAATCGGCGACGACCCAACGCCAGGCTAGGAGCTAGAGCAGAGAAACAGCAGAGAGCACGAAGCAATGAAGAAACGTTGGACACGGCATCTTCATGTAGTACTTTCGCGGCCATTACAGTATTGTGAACCGCTCGTCCTTTCAGGCAAGCGCATGCAGCATGCTTGCATGCCACTGAGGACGAAAGCCCGTCAACGACAGGATAGCCGTTAACGCCTGCCCAGGCTCCGTGAGTTATATATAACTATTGGGCTATCTGACTGATGAAAATCAGTGAGACAGGAAGGGCTTCCCAGCAGCGTCAACGGACAGTCACGCCAGCGAGCAAAGAATGAAAAGACAAAAACGTTTAATTGAATCAACATATAGCCATGGAGTCCTCTGGAGAATACCGCGCTTCAGCGCCGAAGCCGAAATCTCATCTCCGGTACGACAATCGACTAGAAAATGGTACTTATGGGGCAGCATGCTCACGCCAAGACAGTTCTACAGTCCCACTTTACAGTGAGTTGTAAGAACCCACCGTGCAAAATGGCTTTCACCCTCGCTAAGTCCGCCGCTAAGGCCGCTGTCTCCCGCCGGACCTCGGTCCGCGTTGAGGCTCGCCGCACGGTGAAGCCCGCTGCCAAGTCGTCCACCCCGGACAGGTGACTATCTATCGCGACTAGAGCTTTACCTTTGTGGCTGGAGCGCGCGCCCTTACTCCTCGTCCGGTACAGTAGTCGATGCTGACTTCGAACCGCTTTTCTCCACAGCTACTGGTATGGCCCTGACCGGCCCCTGTTCCTGGGCGCCTTCACCGGCCAGCCCCCGAGCTACCTGACCGGCGAGTTCCCCGGTAAGTTGTTGGCCGCGAGTGAATAGCATCAGAACGACTACTCTCGCTGGAACTGATCATCCGACTAGATGGTCAACTGCAACATGCCATTGTATTAACATCTGTTAGATGACTAGCAATGCTGATCAGATTCGGCGATCACTTGGAATTGGCTTGCAATCGCATTGCTTCCTCCGATGCCTATCAGCTCGCCCTTTATCAACTCCTACCCTTCTTGCATCGCCTCTTCTCCTCCAGGCGACTACGGCTGGGACACCGCCGGCCTGTCGGCTGATCCCGAGACCTTCAAGCGCTACCGCGAGCTGGAGCTGATCCACGCCCGCTGGGCTATGCTCGGCGCTCTGGGCTGCGTGTTCCCCGAGCTGCTGGGCTCCTACGGCGTGCCCTTCGGCGAGTCCGTGTGGTTCAAGGCCGGTGCTCAGATCTTCCAGGAGGGCGGCCTGGACTACCTGGGCAACTCCTCGCTGGTGCACGCGCAGTCCATCCTGGCCATCCTGGGCTGCCAGGTGCTGCTGATGGGCGCCGTGGAGGGCTACCGCGTCAACGGCGGCCCCCTGGGCGAGGGCCTGGTGAGTGCGGGGCCGGGGCGGGCGGGTGGGACGGAGGCAGCAGGGCGGGTTTGGGATGAGATGCAACGCGGCGGAATGCAGCCGTGCATGTATCCCTTGGGTGGTTAACGCAATGATTCCGGCTCCCTACTGGGAAACTGGCTTAGCATCCCCTGTTTTTGGTGTTGTCTTGTCCTAATGCACATCCTTCTCACGCCCTCCTTGCCTCTTCGTCTTCACGTCCTCACCTCAGGACAAGCTGTACCCCGGCGGCTCCTTCGACCCCCTCGGCCTGGCTGACGACCCCGACACCTTCGCCGAGCTGAAGGTCAAGGAGATCAAGAACGGCCGCCTGGCCATGTTCTCCATGTTCGGCTTCTTCGTGCAGGCCATCGTGACCGGCAAGGGCCCCCTCCAGAACCTGTCTGACCACCTGGCCAACCCCGGCGTGAACAACGCCTTCGCGTAAGTGTGGTTGCTGCACCGCCTTTCGTGCATGTACGTGGCGTCTCCTGCATCTCACTGCTCGTTTAATTCCAACGCCTTTGCCTTGCAATCACTATTCTTTACGGCCCTAATCTTACCAATCTGCCTCTCCCTCTTCCTTTCCCTTGGCTGGACCGATGCTGATGCTTCACGCCTGGCGTTTCCCCACAGCGTGAGTCTGGGCTAGGAAAGGGTGGTTAGCTGCTCCAGCAGATGGGGTTGTAAACGGGGTTGTAACTGTTGCTTTTGCAAACGCCTCTGTTGCGGTTTCCACATCAATGCTTCCTCGCCTTGCATGCACACCCTACACCAGCTACTCTTCTCACCTGCACTACCGCCTCACTCTGCCTCCCCCGCAGTACGCCACCAAGTTCACCCCCTCCCCGTAAATGCCTGGAGACGAGCCTGGTGCCGGCCGACTGGGCGGGGTGACATCTGGCGGAGCGCTGTTGTGCTGCTGGCAGTTTTGATCGTTTTGTTGCGGCATGAGTTTTGGGCTGGCTGTCCCGGCGCTTGCGCGAGCAGGGGCTGGGTGGCGAGCCGGTGCTCCTAGGACTAGTTCCCCTGGTTGGTTGCGTTTTTAGCTGCTGCGGTGCGGTGGGCGTCGAGCACCTTTGTGGTTTACGCTGCTGGGTGCGAAGGCTTAACACTTGTAACGGTAACAGCGCAAGTTGAATTGTCCGCAACAAGGCAATGCATGCGTGCACATCCACACATGCATACCAGTAGTCAACGCAACATACATGCGTGCATTCCAATAATCGACCGACAGCCTGAATTACCGCAAAGCATTCAGTCGTGATCCAAAAGTCATCATGGTATCGGAAATGGAAAAAGATGGTTGACATGGAAGGTATCTAAACAGGCTTCGGTTGCAACCAGCTGTCACAAGCTAACCTTCAACAAGATAACTCCTACACAACGTGCTAGTGCGCATATGTATCTGTATCTGGTTGAATGTCCCTGAGCACGACATAGGTATTGCTGGACGCTGGTCGCTGCCGGTACACTCCAATTGTACGGCCAATGCGATGTTGCCAACTCACGCATCCTTTCCACTTATTGCACTTTTGTTATAATAGAAGCTCAACTGTGTTAGTAAGTAGTGCTGCTATAATCTGCGTCCAGCCGTGGTTATTGAACTTCAGGAAGCATGAACACCTTGCACCGCCATTCTCAGTCGCCGGCCACAGGAGCTCTCCGAAGTGGTAAGGCTTGCTAGGGTATTTCTTTTGATAGCGTCAGGTGGCTAGTTGTATCCTTGTACCTCCGACGCGACCAAGGCGCTCCGTTGTAGTCGACGTCATTTCAGGATCATGTTAGGAAGTAGGCGTGTGTTGTAAGCGCTGTTTAATCTTCTTGCTCTAAGTCATTCGAACTCCTCCCGTCTGTCCGCAACCCTGTACCGGCCAGCAGGCCATGCACAGCGTGTTAGCCTGACGGTCGCTGCCCCGCGCAAGTCTGTCCAGACCCCGCCGCTTGCTCGGACGGGAAAGACACTTCTATCGGCTACAGCGGTAGCGGCGGATGGAGTGGCCGCGCCAACAAAGGTTGTGCATCCCGTCACCGCCGAGAGCTATCGCGACTTCCTGGCCGAGAACGCGGAGAAGCTGGTGATGATGGATTTTTACGCCGTCTGGTAAGCAAGTCTGTTATAACAGCTAATGCATTTCCGGGGGTTGCGCCGGCCATCCATCAATCCATCACCTCGCCCATCCGTCGCATAGCCAGCTGAAACAAAGCCTGGGCCCCATTCTGCTGCGCCCTACACAGGTGCGGGCCCTGCAAGGTGATCGCACCCGAGATTGAGCGCATGGCTGCCGAAAGCGACCCGGAGAAGCTCGTGTTTGCCAAGTTTGACTGCGGTAAGCAAGGCACTTGCCTGCCTGAGTCTGCCTCAGTCATTGCTCCTCCGCCTCCAACACACCATCCAGCTCACCTCCCGCTCTCCTGAGTTTCCCCACCTGCCCTCTCCCTCACCCTTTTCCCCACTCAGGCGCCACCGACGCCTCCAAGCGGCTGGCCATGTCCCTGGGCATCAAGGCGCTGCCCACCTTCCACCTCTACCGCAACTGCCAGATGGTGGACTCCATGACGGGGGCCAAGGTGGGTGCAGACAAGCGAGCCGCAGTTACGCGGACACGAGGGGACAGGGAGACAGGGGCAGCGTGGGAGGGGGGAGCATTACGCTTAACGGGCAGTTTGGACGCGTAGCTGTGCCGGCTTTTAGTGACATCTGTACTAGCCCCGCTGCCCTCACGGGTTGCCTCCCTCCCTCCCTGCCCGCCCGCCCGCCCGCCCGCCCGCAGCTGAAGAGCCTGCAGGAGATGCTCGCCAAGCACACTTAAGGGCAGCCTGTAGAGCCTGTGGTGAGCGACATCAGGGGTAAAGGAGAGGGAGAGAGACACGTGCTTTATGTATGGAGTGTGCCCGGATTTTGTCATTTGAAGAGTGTAGCACGTGAGGAGCACATTTGTTTGGGTTCACCAGTATCAACGCGGAGGCGTGTGCTGTGAGCCGTACCGCACGAGAAGAAGACCGAGGAGGAGAGGAGTCTTTCCCGCTTGACCGTTTGCCTAACTAACCGACATGCCGTATGCATGGAGCACATCCCCAATAATTCCCTCGGCGGCGCGAGCTGGCGCCGCGCGTGAGGGCCTTCGCCGTCTTGCTTTGCTATGGCAAGATGCGGGAAGAGCAGCTTATCCTTTCCCAGCAGGGGCGAGTTGAGACAAGCAGTCCGTCCATAACTTTATTGCATGCTGTACTTGAGACGGAAAGAGAGCCAAAAGGTAGAAGAATTTCGAGTTGTTATGTTGCGCTTCTGGGTCCTTGACATGCTTGGGTCGCGAGGCACGTGGGGACGGTGGGCCGCTCACGACGATTGCCTGGCTGGATGGCAGACGGACGGGCGGCTGCACCCGTCGCTCGTCCCATGGCCCCTGAGCGCTGGCTGCATGGTGTTGGTCACACTCCGCCATGTGCGCCTGTTTAAAAACAGTTGGAAGGTGCACCCGTTTCGTGCACTTGGTTGCTCCCCAGGAGTGGCTCATACAGAGAAGAAAGAAACAAGCTGTGTTGTGTGCTGTGCGTGTAGTGCTGTACTTGTACCCAGTTTAGGGAACTTATCGCGCCCGTTTTTTCATGGCAAGGCACGCAACACTCCAGGTTTGCGTCTGCCTTGCCTGCTTGCTGCGGTGCGGGCCATGCATGTGGGTGTGAGTGAGCATGGCACATTATTCGCCGTACGGAAATCCGCCAATCCTGTGTGATGTTAGGGTGTGAAGCTCTGGTGTGTGGTTTGTCTCCCTTGGAGGCACCCCAGAGGTGTGTGCGCCGCCAGAGAGGTCCTGATGAGTGTTTAAGTATGTCAAATGGTATATGCTCCTTACAATGTAGAAGGTTATATTTACCTGGAGAGGGACGTGGCAAAAGCGCATACCATGCGACTCATTTGCTATTTGGTGTTGGTGGCCGTCATTTGTATCGCGGTAGCAGTTGTGATGATAGGGGCGGTGTTGTGACAGACGTACGGCTTAGGGAGTCGTACGGCTTTCGTGTGAGCGAAGCCAAGTAGTTGTACGAGAGGGCTATGACAATTGCTGTACTCTTACAAGCCAGCCCTTGAACGTTTGATGCCTCCAAATGCGTTTGAATTTCGTACGACTGCCCATTGCCCTTGAACACGGATGCCTTCCCTTGTAGGAAGGGGGTGCAGCAGTAGCATTGCAAGAAGTCACCAAGATAGGGCTTTGCCACTGTTGATTCTGTGCGTGCTTGGTGCTAAGTCTTCTCAGTGTTATTTACTTGTCCTTCCGGCATGCCGGGTGGTGAATAACACGTAGGTACTTGTTGGTGTGCTGTTGGTGCTCCAGCCAGTTGACAAGCTCCCAGTACAGCTGCTGTAAGTAGTGAGTTCGCCCTTCCTCGTCCTCCCACCCTCCCTAGTCCTCCCACCCTCCCTAGTCCCTAGCCCTCTCGGTGGCTGGCGCCGGTGTGACGGATGTCACCACTGGCCAAGAGACAACAACTGCATCAATGACAGTGGTTACATTGCGGGAGAGACCCGCCACTGTTCCTAGCTAGAGGCAGCCGCATGCGCCCCGCACATGCTGAATGCCGCCTGGAGAACACGGCACCCCATGGATAGTACATGAATGCAAGGCCAGCACGAGATAGCTACATATGCTTCAGGTATCCGCCCTTTTTGGCTCGTCCCCCACGTGCTCCATAGCGATACTTGGGAAGCTAACGGCAATCCGCATGTGCCATGCATAGAGCATGGCACAAAAACCACAAGGCACGCACCCAATCACCACTGCAACACTGCTCAACTAGACACCCATTACGGGCGACAAAGTATCATTTTGAGTGTCAACTCACCTAGGCCGGTCAAATGTCGTCCACACTTGGCGTGGAACTCGTCATCCACGAAAGGCGTGGAAAGTGTTCTTCCACACCATCCGTGGAAATGTGACTTCCACGAAGGGCGTGGAATTCTTGCTTCCACGACAACCGTGGAATTCGCATATCCACAGCTGCCGAGGCAACCCTTCAACTTCACTTGCCGTGGAAGTTTAGCTTACCTGACAAAACGCATTTTTTACAATCGCCTTAACATCTTTAATCGCTTTAATGCTTAATGTTGTCATGCCTGACCCAAAAGGCAAAGCTGAGACTAACGTCGCAAAATTTCCCTTTTCCCTTTTGCATTGCGGTCCACAGCGCCATAGGGAGTTATAACCTATAATTGAACCTGCATATAGACTTATGTAGGCTTGCTTGCATGCCTTTGGTTGGAGCGAGATCGCTTGGCTTAGCTATGTGGCACGGAATCGCGGCCGCTGAAGCTGAGGATGTTACGTACCGCAAACACGGCGGACAGGACATGATAGCCAATCCTTTCCTTCCTAATTTATGGGCCCCAAAGTGTAATTACTCCATGGGCAACCTCGCAGTTGAGGCCGTAACGCTCTGTTAGCAACGCGGTTACATAGGTGTTTACTTCTGGCATATACAGAAAGGGACTAAACCGCTTCACCCGCCTGGACATCTTCAACGCAGCAACCCGGGCTCAGTGCACCAATGCCCCCACAGCTCTTACTGTGCTTCTCGACCAACACCTACCACGCACGTACCAGTCCCAGGCCCCACGCTTTCCGAGCTCCACTCCGGTGCGGCTGCGGAAGGGCTTGGCAGTCCATGATATCCCCACCATGAGATGCCGCTCCCCCCATTCCATGACATCCGCTCACCCCATTCCATGACATCCCGCTCACCCCACCACCTCCTAACCATCGGACAGCTGGCCGCGGCCATGCGCGTTATGCCCGGGACGCTAAACTCCGGCAGCATCATGGTCAACTGACCCCATTTCGGCTGCCGCTGCTGACCGCTGCAGCGCTGTGTCCATCCCATGGAGGTTGGCTGCTTTCCCAGCACCCCGTACCTCCCATGCGCTTTGTTTGCTTTGGAGCTCATGCGCTTGACCAACAGGATGCGCATGGCGGCGCCATACTCTGGAGCAGCTTGGGACGAGACGCTGGCGCACATGCATGGCGCAGCTGGCCTGCCAACATCGCCTGCTGTTCTGGGGCACGTTTGCGCGGCAGCAGGCTCTGCTGTACCTCAGCAGGGCTGCTCGTGGGCTGGATGCCCCTCCGGCGGTTTAGGAACACAGCAGCCAGTTCCCTCTATCCCCTTTGGCGTCGACGGCTGTCGACGGCGCTCCTCACCCCCCAGCCTGCCGTACGGAAGCGACTAGAGGAGCACGGCAAGCTACCTCCAAGCGAGCTGGAGCCATCATCCTGTGCAGAGTTCAAGGCAGCCACCATGGTTGGCCGACGCATCAGCAACCACAATCGCGTCGGCGTTGCAGCATTTGTCGCAGCCCCACGCCAAAGCCGCAGCGGGGCTGGAGTTGTTACGGGGGAAGCTGGCGGTTGCAGAACAGGATCTGCAGCGCGCGCAGTTGCTTTTGTCTAAGTCGCGTGACCTAGACGACCTCTTTGCAATAGACACCTAACGGTATTGCGGATCCAGGACGATGTGCATTGTTGCGAAAACGTGGCACGGCCGGCACCCACCCCGTTAGACTTACCGCACTGGAGTCATATTTTTACCATGGAATAGTCGCCACTCGTCAATTGCTTTGCATTTGTTCATTGACTTGGCCGCCAGTCGGGACGATACAGTCGGGACGATGTTGGTTGACCGTGGTTGTTGACATTGTAAACTTTCCGCGCACCTTTGCCTACACGGAGGCCCGAGTGCACACGATTAGCCCGTCATCTGTTTGGTATGGTTGCTAGAAAAGGAAACGGTATTGTAACGACGTTACTCCCAGGTGTTTCCGTTGACCGCGTATAAGCAAGCTTGTAACAAGCGTTTTCTGTCATCTTTGTGGTTTTTAGGTACGCATTCAGTCAATTATGTAAGCTGCTAAAGCGAAAGCTTTGGTCGGCATAAGCTGTCCCCAAAACGTTACGATGAGTACGGCGATTGCGGTCCACGCGAGGCTAGTGCGCTAGTCACCTCAGACATTAGCGCGCGGCCCTCTACGCGCCGCATCAGGGCAATACATATCAGTATAAACGGGTGGCTGATCTGTGGGCTTGCGTAGGATCCCTAGACGCTGCTGATTCTAGGCGGTGCTCCTTCTGAAACGAACATCCGCCCCAGCGGCATGCTCACATGCACGCGCATGGGCCCCAGCTCTTGCCCAGCCCTAGGCCTCACTATAAGGGACCTATTGGTACGCTTTTAGGGCCAGCCGCACTCGGGTCGGCATGAACGGGCGGCTAGTGTGTGGGTTTACATAGGATCCCTAGCCGGTGCTCCTTCTGAAACGAACATCCGCCCCAGCGGCATGCTCACATGCACGCGCATGGGCCCCAGCTCTTGCCCAGCCCTAGGCCTCACTATAAGGGACCTATTGGTACGCTTTTAGGGCCAGCCGCACTCGGGTCGGCATGAACGGGCGGCTAGTGTGTGGGTTTACATAGGATCCCTAGCCGGTGCTCCTTCTGAAACGAACATCCGCCCCAGCGGCATGCTCACATGCACGCGCATGGGCCCCAGCTCTTGCCCAGCCCTAGGCCTCACTATAAGGGACCTATTGGTACGCTTTTAGGGACAGCCGCACTCGGGTCGGCATGAACGGGCGGCTAGTGTGTGGGTTTACATAGGATCCCTAGCCGGTGCTCCTTCTGAAACGAACATCCGCCCCAGCGGCATGCTCACATGCACGCGCATGGGCCCCAGCTCTTGCCCAGCCCTAGGCCTCACTATAAGGGACCTATTGGTACGCTTTTAGGGACAGCCGCACTCGGGTCGGCATGAACGGGCGGCTAGTGTGTGGGTTTACATAGGATCCCTAGCCGGTGCTCCTTCTGAAACGAACATCCGCCCCAGCGGCATGCTCACATGCACGCGCATGGGCCCCAGCTCTTGCCCAGCCCTAGGCCTCACTATAAGGGACCTATTGGTACGCTTTTAGGGACAGCCGCACTCGGGTCGGCATGAACGGGCGGCTAGTGTGTGGGTTTACATAGGATCCCTAGCCGGTGCTCCTTCTGAAACGAACATCCGCCCCAGCGGCATGCTCACATGCACGCGCATGGGCCCCAGCTCTTGCCCAGCCCTAGGCCTCACTATAAGGGACCTATTGGTACGCTTTTAGGGACAGCCGCACTCGGGTCGGCATGAACGGGCGGCTAGTGTGTGGGTTTACATAGGATCCCTAGCCGGTGCTCCTTCTGAAACGAACATCCGCCCCAGCGGCATGCTCACATGCACGCGCATGGGCCCCAGCTCTTGCCCAGCCCTAGGCCTCACTATAAGGGACCTATTGGTACGCTTTGTGGGTTTGCTCACGTGCAAGCCACAGGTAAGAACATCACAACTGTACCTCTTCGTCCATGTGGAGGGCAGGATCCTTTGCGAAATCCAGAAACAGCCTCTCATACCCCTTCCAACTGACCGTCCCAAATACCTTGGCGGTGCAGGTAGGTGGTATGGGGGATCATTGTCATCGAAACCTTGGAGGGGTAAATTTCACGGAGCTTTACCGTACGGTAGTAGGTGGAAGGGGTAATGGCTGCAAAAGAAGGAGCCCAGGCACCCGCCTTGTTGGCGCCAGCGCGCAGTCGTTTCAGTGTACGACGGCCTAAGGTTACAGGAATGTCGCATACGTTCGGCGTGTTGGGTGGCTTCAGGGGTCTGGGGTTTTGAGCCGAGCGGGCGTTTGCATGGTTTGAGCGGGGGTGAGCGGCTAAGGATGTCGTGTCAATGTCTCTAGGACGGTGCGTTGGGTCATGGTGGGGAGGGCTTTCGAGGAGGGCACGCTGACAATCAGGGGTGCAAGACAGCCGCCACTGCCGCTGCCGCCTCCGCTGACACCCAGCGGAGTAAAGGGCCACCGCTGCCACCGCCGCCGACAGGTGCAAAAGGGCCGCCACTGCCGCCTCCATCGCCGCCCGATTCTTTGACATCCCGGCGGTGCAACAGGGCCGCTGCTGCCGCCGGCGCCTCCTCCTCCGCTGACATCCGGCAGAGCAAAAGGGTCGCCGCCTCCGCTGACGCTCAGCGGGCAACAGAGCCGCCACTGTCGCTGTCGCCGCCTCCGCTGACTCCTAACGGTGAAACAGGGCCGCCTCCGCCGCTTGACACCCCGCGGAGCAAAAGGGCCGCCGCTGCCGCTGACACCCGGCGGGAGAGAAGGGCTGCCACTGCCGCTGCCGCTGTAGGCACCCGGCGGTGCAACAAGGCCGCCGCTACCACAGCCGCCTCCACCTCCGCTGGCATCCGGCAGAGCAAAAGGGCCGCCGCTGCCGCCCCCTCCCAGCGCTGGACGTCCTTCGCGGCAGTGGAGTTAACCCGTAACGTCGTTCCGCAAGACTTTCCAGCTGCTATCCCGGCTAATCCCGGAATCCCTGCCGTAGCAGTCTTGTAGGAAGCAGAGACCGGACCGGACAGGCAATCGTTGGCTGCTCGCTTAAAATCCTTGTCATTTCTTTGCCGCAACTTTGCATCGATCTCCTCCGGATTTTCATAAATCATATAACTGTCCAAAGATCGACTTGCCGATGCAGGCCTTGCCCGCCGGCTTCTCTCGTGGGGCGTGTCATAAATCATGCTTGCAGGGCACAACACCGCACTTGGCTGAAAATGTTAAAGATTGCTTTTCACATAGAAACTTTGTATACAGCAAGCGTTGCCGTAGCCCTGTTTAAGCATGAAGCATCGATGAAGTTATGAGTACCGATTACACCGGTAAGGGTGATCGACACCGCAAATGCATTTAGTTTTAAAAGATATATAATTCTATAGCTTCTTAGTGAAGGAAACGAGCCAGCCGGACGATTTCGGGGGTCTTCCACGCCATCCGTGGATGACGAGTTCCACGCCAGGTGTGGACGAAAGTTGTACAGCTTAGCTCGTCAACTAAAAATGGGGTTTTGGAGCGCATGTACGACAGGGAGCAGAGCAGTCGCCACCAGGCTTGCGAGTGGACGGTGCTAGACGTTTTGACCTTGGTTAAACAGTTTGCCCTCAGCTGGCCTTTCAGGTCTTTGCCGCTGAGTTTCCGTGCGCAGTTAGGAAGGCGCTGACTTTTGCGTAGTTGCAGACAGTTCTTAAGTATGGCTGCAGCTGTAGGTAGGCGAGCCTTTTTGGAGGCTAAATTAGCAGATATTAACCAAGAGCTAGCAGAGCTAGGTTTGACCGAAGCAGACCGAGCTCAGGTCCGCGAGTACAATTGGGCGGTAGAGCAAGCCGAACAAGCGTATCAGGCAGCCATGGCTCCAGTGGGACTTACCAGGCCTAGCCGTGGCAGCGCGGTAGCAGTTAGCACCTGGCAGGAAGCCCATCAGCGGGCCAATTCAAACAGAAACGCTAAACGGAGGCAGGCTCGCGAGACGCACAGGCGCGGTTATGAGTTGCTATCACGTTACCAGTCTTGGGAACAGCTTCGCAATCAGGGGACAGCTCTGCAAGAAGAATTGGCCGCGCTCCCAGGGCCCAGCAACGCAGCGGCCGGAGCAGCGCCGGCTCACATCCACAACGCCGAAGCAGAGGCACCGGAGGAAATTGACAATGGTGAGAACGGGGCGGAGCAACGGCCAGGAGGGTCCAGGGGCCGGCGGGCAACAGCGGCTCGCGTTCGGGCAGACAGGGGACGGGGGGGCACTCGTGCAGTCCGGGAGGCTTTCCAGGCGACCCCCGGCCGTCAGATAAGCCACCGGCACGCCACCACTGCTTCACCTAACGCGCCTGACCCCGAGACCTTGGGCGTAACTGGTCACCTAGATGCTCTTGCTGAAGATTTCCTTGCCACCCAAGCAACGCCACTGCAGCACACCGGCCCTCCCGCCATGCCCGGTACGGGGTCGCCGGCAATCGCAAGGGCAGCGCCGGCGAGGGACGTGGGTGTGGCACCCAGCGCCGTATCCGTCCCACCGACAGCGGTTGTACGGGCTCTCGATCGCCTTGAGAACGCGGGCTTGAGCGATGCAGCTCGCAAAGTACGGCGCCTCGCGAGCCTGGAGCTGGCAAGACGGGAAATCAGGGAGCCTGTATCCGCTGACGAGGCAGCGGAAGTCTGGAGGACGGTGCTAGAGCGGCAGCTGGCGGCTCTGCAGGACGAAGAAGACAGCGAACAGCACCAGCCTCAGCGCCAGCAACGGCAGCAGCAGCAATTGCCGCAAGACCGGCGGCCGGCAGTCGCCACCCTGCAGAACGACCAACGGCACCCTGCCATAGGGAACGCACGCTGGAGTGCCGGCCTGAACCTACAGGGCCTTCCCGGCAGCAGCAGGCTGCAAGCATTTGGGGCAGCGTCAGCAGGCCTGGGAGGCCTAGGGGGACTGGGCCTCACGCTGGGGGGCAGTGGCGGGGACTTAAACAGCAACTCTTCAGTGCTGGGCCTCGGCCACCTACCCCTCGGCTCAGCACCGCCGTCCGCTCTGGGCCCCCTGGCGGCAACCGTTCAGCGTGAAGGGGCCTGGGCAGACGTGTTCGACCGCATCCCAGGCCTCAGCAGCCTGGTCTCGCTGGCGGACGTCAGCTTCGCATCCCGGGACCAGGCGACCTTCACGCACAAGGCAGACAGTCATCTCCGCTCCCTGCAGCATCTCGCGTCCCAGCTGGAAGCGGCCAAACACTGCGCATCCTCTTCGGAGGAGCTCTCGCTGCTCTTGGCCAAGGCCGCGCAGGTGTGGGAGGAGGCTTTTCGTACACAAGAGGTCCTCCGGCAGGTGCAGAATGCAGCCCGTGTCCTGCCCTTCAAGGACGTCATGGACGTATTCAGCAAGGGCTCTCCCCTCACACAGCAGTTCCTAGCCGCCCTGTCGCAATTTACGGACAGCCAGCGCCAGCACCTCTTCGGGAAGTTCGCCTCAGCCGCCGCTCCCGCGGCGGCTTACCCGCCGCCCCCGCCTCTTCCACTCCCGCCGGCCCCGGCACAGCCCCGTGCCCCACGCGACAACGGCTGTTTCTACTGCAAGAGGCCCGGACACAGCTACCGCGGCTGCCGAGAGTTGCGGTCGCTGGAACCTGGGGCCCAAACGGCAGCATTCGCAGAATGCGCCAAGCAGGAGCAGGCAGCCCGCCGGCCGGCTTAGGACGCGGCAGCGTCAGCTGGGGGCGAGGTCGCCCCGGCGCCAACGGCGCCCCCCCTCCATCCAGCCGCCGGCAGTACGGCCGGCGGTGGGGCAGCTGACGCAAATACGGCAGGGATGGAGACACCAGAAGGTAAGCGTGTACGCGACCTACGGCGGACTGGGGCCCTGCGCGGGTGACAAGCAATGTGCTGTTGCGTGTGTCCATGTGGCGCGACCCTGCCCGAGGGGAGAAGGGCCTGCCTGCGTCTACCTGCTGTCTAGTCTGTGGTGTACGCGACCTACGGCGGACTGGGGCCCTGCGCGGGTGACAAGCAATGTGCTGTTGCGTGTGTCCATGTGGCGCGACCCTGCCCGAGGGGAGAAGGGCCTGCCTGCGTCTACCTGCCGTCTAGTCTGTGGTGTACGCGACCTACGGCGGACTGGGGCCCTGCGCGGGTGACAAGCAATGTGCTGTTGCGTGTGTCCATGTGGCGTGACCCTACCCGAGGGGAGAAGGGCCTGCCTGCGTCCACCTGCTGTCTAGTCTGTGGTGTACGCGACCTACGGCGGACTGGGGCCTTGCGCGGGTGACAAGCAATATGCCGTGGCATGCACCGGGGTCGTGTGGCTCTGCCTGAAGGAAGAAGGGCCTGACGGTGTTCGCATGTGGTTCAATCGGTGGTGTACGCGACCTACGGCGAACGGGGGCCCTGCGAGGGTGAACACCCAAAGCGTAACCTTGACCTGTGCCTCATGCAGTTTTGTGGATGCCTGACTCGGCGGCGGAAACGCCGTCGGCCGGCCGCTGGTTCGGCCCAGGGGGCGTGAAGCTTAATACGGCCGCGTGGCAGCGTCACGGCATCGACACGCCTGCGTCCCGTAACGAAGCCAGCTGGACCTTCCACACCACGCCGCCAACCTCGCACCACTTGCGCAACTACCCATCCGTGCGCGAACACAGCGAATGGTACGCCAGCCACATTGACGAGTTACTGCGCCAGGGCCTGGTGGAGGCGTACGACAGCAAGCAGCATGGCCCCCTGCGCAACTTTGCAGCCACTATCAACCCACTGCATGTTGTCAGCAAGGCGGATGGCAACCTGCGCCCGATCATCGACCCTACCGCTTCGGGGGTGAACGACTGCATGACCAAGCTCCCCTGCCCGCTGCCCGACCTCGCCTCAATTCTGGAGCATTTGCCGTTCCAAGGGGCGCTAGGCAAACGGGACCTCGCATCTGGTTTCCACCACATCAAGTGCAGCCCGGAAGCACGCCGGTACATGGCCTTTAGGCATCCCACCACGGAGGCAGTCCTGCGTTGGGTGGTGCTGCCCTTCGGCGCCAGCCAATCGCCCCCAATCTTTGTGGAGTTAACCAACGCCGCGTGTGCCATCTTCCAAGCGGAGTGCGACCGGCGGGGGCTACGGGTCAAGCTCTTCTCCTTCGTCGACGACTACATCATCCTAGGGGTGACCCATGCAGACGTCGTTGGCGCCTTCGCGGTCATGGACGAAATAGGTGGCGAGCTGGGGCTGGAGTGGAAGACCAGCAAGGACCGCGGACGAAACGAGCACCTGCGGCAGCTCGACTTCCTGGGTATGCTGTTCGACACCGAGAAGATGGAGATGCGCATCTCGCCGGACAAGCGGCAGCGCTACGCGGCGGACGTGCGCGCCCTCCTGGACGCGGCAGCTACCGGACCAGTGCAGCGGCACCTCCTGGAGTCCACCGTCGGCCGCTTAACGTTCATAGCCCGGGCATGCCGCTGGGGTTTCACGTTCATGCAGGGCCTCTACGACAGCCTCTTCTGCCCCACCCGCCCGCCGGCCACTGTCGGCCTGGCGGCGGACGCAGTAGAAGACCTGGCTTTCTGGTGGCAGGTGCTACGGGCGGATTCCTCTGTCTGGGACGGGGTAAAGCGCTCAGCGGGCATCGGTTTGGACCTAGTGAGGGGGGAGTTTATCGGCCAGGATGGGGCCGTCCTCTTCACGGACGCTAGTGGGCGTGGGTTTGGCGCAGTCTGGGGGGAGGCGGAGGTGCAAGGGGCATGGTCAGAGGAGGAGCGTCAGCTGCACATCTCGTGGCTGGAGCTCAAGGCGGTCCTCAGAGCGCTGCAGTCATGGGCCGCCAGCCTTGCCGGGCGCCGGGTGCTGGTGCGTTGTGACAACACCCAAGCCGTAGCAGCCATCAACCACGGCTCCACCCGCATCCCAGAGGGCCGCAGCCTTAGCCGCCAAATTGCAGAGCTTGCGATTAGCTCAGGGTTCGAGGTCCGGGCTGAGCACATTCCCGGCGTGGACAACGGCCAGGCCGACCGCCTCAGCCGCCGCCTTGACAGCGCCCAGGATCAGAACCTGCGGCTGAAGGCCAGCATCTTCAGGGAGCTATGCCGCAAGTTCTCTCTCCGGCCCACCGTCGACTGCTGCTGCGACGCCCATGGCTCCAACCGGCAGCCCGGCTGTGAGGTGTTCTACAGCGCGGGGCGGTCGGTGCTTGGCCAGGAGGCCGAGCTGGCGGGCAAGGCGCTGTGGGCCTTCCCACCCCAGGCCCTGGTGGGGGAGGTGCTAGCGACCCTCGTGGCAGCGGCACGGCGTGACTCGCGGACGCGGGCGGTTGTGGTGGTGCCTTTCTGGCCGGAGCGGGGGTGGTTCCGGGCCTTCGTCCGTAGCCGATCCGCACCATTCCGGGTCGCCCAGGTGCTGCCCAGGGGCGGCCGCCTCTGCGTTTGGCCCTGGGGCGACGAGGCGGGTCCTTCTCCTTACGATATGCTGGTCTTACGCCTGCCCTGACCGAATTCCGATCCGCGTTTGCGCCCCCATGGCGATTGTAGAGGGTGGCGGGAGCTGCGAGGCCTGCGTGCGGCGCACCTCCGTGGGGGACTTGCGCTGTGAGACATGCGACATACGGGCACATCGCCGCTGCCTGGGACTGCCGCCGGGCTCGTACCCCGGCGGCTGGTTCCGCTGCATCCACTGCATCCTGGCGGCGGCGGGTTTTCCGGCAGGGGCTGCGGGCGGTCGGCAGGAGGCACTCGCGGCGAGGCTGGTGGCGCTAGCGGGAAGCGCCGTGTCGGCGGGTTCAGCAGGGACGTACGAATCCCATCGCCGCCGCTACGCGGCCTTCTGCGCTGCTCTGGGCTTACCCATGAGGGCGGCTTTCCCACCTGCGCGGGGCGCGGACCTCAGCCCCGAGCTGGTGAGCCTGTTCATCGCCCATGAGGCCGACCGTGTGGCCCCCTCAACGTTGTCAGGCACCATTAGCGCCCTTGCGGACTGGCAGCGCGCGAAGGGTTTTCCGGCGGAGGCCTCCATCCGCCGGAACCCATTGGTGCAACGCACGCTGAGGCAGGCGTGGCGTGCCCGGGCGCCGGCGGCAGCCGCCACAGCTGGCGGCGATGCAGGGGCCGAGCCGCTGCCGCAACGTACGAAGGAGGCGTTCCCGGTGCCGCTTCTGCGGCTCCTATTGGGCTGGCTGGCAGCGACGGCGGACGGGGCGCCAGCGCGCCGAGCGGAGCTCGAGCAGGATGCGTGTTGGCTGGTGGTGGGTTTCTTTGGGATGCTGCGGAGAAGCGAGCTGGCGGGGCTGCGGCTAGGTGACGTGCATTCGCTGACTGGTGGGGTTCACGTGGTGCGGATAACGAGGAGCAAGACCGATCAGGTTGGGGCAGGGGTGGATGTGCACCTGGGGGCATCGTCTGGCAGCGGAGTACGCATCGGGCGCATTATAGGGCGCCACCTAGAGCGGGCCCGCTCAGGGGGGGCGGAGCCCAGCGCGCCGCTCTTCACGCGGGGCCCCCAGTGGGGACCGGGGTCGGAGGCTTGGCGGAAGGAGGGGTTTACGCGTAGGCTTAGGGCGCTCTTAGGAGAGATGCAGCGCGCCCTGCCACAAATAGCCGGGCGGGTACCAGATTACGCGTCCCACAGCCTGAGAAGGGGGGGAGCCACGGCTGCAGCGGAAGGGGGGGCCTCTGGAGAGCAGATCAAGGCGCACGGGAGGTGGCGGTCGGAGGCGGTGAGCGCGTATATCCTCCCCTCCGCGGCGGCTAAGGCCCGCATTGTGGGGTGCATGTGAGGTGACGAGGCGTGCGGTGGGTGACAGGGTAAGGGGGGTCCTCTCTAGGCGTGCATGCATGCGGAAGCGCGCCTAGAGCCTAATACGCCGGGGCGGGTTTTGGGGGCTAGAGCCCATCCGCGCCCGGCTGTTGGTTTTCCCCCCTCTCCTGTTGTTCCCCGGAGAGGGTAGGGTGAGGTATCGGCTAGGTAGCAAACTTGGTTAGTTACAGAGTTGGGTCTCTTAGACGCTGTTCGGAGTCTGGGCCCGCAGGCCAGGTCCCAGGCGGTGTAAGTTGATGAGGGGTGCGACTCCTCTGGCACTGGAGTGTGTGCGACAAAAGTATCATTTTGAGTGTCAACTAAAAATGGGGTTTTGGAGCGCATGTACGACAGGGAGCAGAGCAGTCGCCACCAGGCTTGCGAGTGGACGGTGCTAGACGTTTTGACCTTGGTTAAACAGTTTGCCCTCAGCTGGCCTTTCAGGTCTTTGCCGCTGAGTTTCCGTGCGCAGTTAGGAAGGCGCTGACTTTTGCGTAGTTGCAGACAGTTCTTAAGTATGGCTGCAGCTGTAGGTAGGCGAGCCTTTTGTTTCCCACCCTCCCACCCCTACTCTCTCCGGGGTCCTCTCTAGGCGTGCATGCATGCGGAAGCGCGCCTAGAGCCTAATACGCCGGGGCGGGTTTTGGGGGCTAGAGCCCATCCGCGCCCGGCTGTTGGTTTTCCCCCCTCTCCTGTTGTTCCCCGGAGAGGGTAGGGTGAGGTATCGGCTAGGTAGCAAACTTGGTTAGTTACAGAGTTGGGTCTCTTAGACGCTGTTCGGAGTCTGGGCCCGCAGGCCAGGTCCCAGGCGGTGTAAGTTGATGAGGGGTGCGACTCCTCTGGCACTGGAGTGTGTGCGACAAAACACACATTACCGGAACGACGATGGTGTCATGGTATCTTTCTGGCGAGCCTCAATGTCTGCAAAGCTGATGACGGGTTTCATGATGAATGGGCGCTTCAACATGAATGGCCGACTGGGGCATGTCACCCCGGGGGTCTATGCACACTCCATACTAGACACAGGCGTGCTAGCTAGCAGTTGCCTGATACCCAGCAACTGCAGAAACCCCGGAGCTACCAAGTGACGAGAGCTAGTAGGTCTGGGGCACGGTAAGTACCTGCCCGACACATCAATGAGTCAGTCGACTAAAAATGGAGGCGCATATGCATCCAGACGACTAACTTAACATGGGACACCACGGGCCCTGAGGGCTTTATCGCAATTCCGTGGGAATGAATGTGGAACGCTTTTTTCCGCCAGTGCTAAGCATGCTACCCTTCAATTTTTCAGTGCATCAGGTCTATATTGCATCACACATCGCATGGAGGGCACATGCAGCCGCAGCATTGCTCTGCACGGAGTTGCTGCCACCCTACTGCAGCAGTATCAGCAGCGGTATTGCTGACACCTGTATGCTCCAGCTGCTGTCCCCCGTCAGGCTCAGCACGGAGCTCAGGTTGGTCACCAGGGTGGCGCCCTGCCCGCTGAGCACCCACGCCTGCAGTGGGGTCCGGGCCAGGGTCAGGTTGGCGGCCGCTGCGGGCTCGTCCGGCCCCTCTCCCGCGCCCACGGGCCTCCAGGCCACCAGGTGCGTTGCGGCGGCTGCGGTGGACGCGCTGCCGTCCGGCTGCTTGGGCGGCCCCAGCAGGTAGGCGTACAGGTCGGTGCGCTCCGCCGCCAGCCCCAGGAAGCCGGAGGAGCCGGCCAGCTGCAGGAACGAGCTCAGCGCAGAGTACACGGGCAGCGTGGGGAAGTGGGTCGAGTTGCTGCCACGCAGGCCGCTACGGGTGAACACACCGCTGCCTCTGTGGGGAAACAAGGGGGGCATGTAAGAGCGGTTGTAAGCGCGTAACACTGATGATAGCAACACGGGATGAGGGCTGCATGCACCTCCTCAACCGCACCGCATCCCCCCGTCTCCCTTCTCCCTTACTCGTCTCCGTTGGCGTAGAAGAACCAGATGGCCTGCTGAACCCCCTTTCGCGCCATGATGAGCAGGCCGCGGATGGCGTACAGCGCCTGCGCGTGCTGGCTGACACACAGCGTGGTGTCGCACACCTCCCCGGGCAGGTGCGCGTCCCAGCCCCACTCAGTCACCCACACGGGGGTGCCGGGCATGTTGGCAGTGCGCCACGCCAGGAAGTTGTTCAGGGCTGGGCGGGGAGGCAGGGAAAGGGGAAGGACGTGCATATGAAGGGGAGCAGTAAGGAACGGGGGCAAGTACTACCGCCTGAGATGTCTATATACAAGGAGCTAATGAGGGATGACCGTGCCGTGCAGCCCCCGTGCTGCGCCACCATTACCGCCCGCCCCTGCCTCCCGCCCGCCCCTGCCTCACAGTTCATGGTGGTGCCTGGATGCTCCGGGTGCACCCCCAGGTAGGTTCCGTTCAGCTCGCGGTACCAGGAGTAGGTGTGCGTGTTGAGCACGTCAACCAGGGGCGCCACGTCCTGGGGCAGGCGGGCGCCTGGGAAGAGCAATGGGGGCGATGATGGAGAGTAATGGCAATGGATGAGCCGGTTTGGCCAGTGCCCGTGCAATAGGCTATGAAAGACTGAAAACGGGCACATGCAGGCACACAAATACCCGTTTCATGTGCAAGGCGACAACCTGAGGAGCTAGTGGAATATTGCCTTTCCAGGGCGCAATGCGCGGATCGGGGCCTACCTATGTAGTTGCCCGAGTCCATCGGGTTTTGAGCCTGTGGGCACAGGGCAGGTAGCATGAGGGTGGAGGGATCACGGATCAGGAAGGCAAGCCACAAGCCTTACGTACCTAAGAGCAGCGATCTGGGTAGTGGCTGGTGCGCTGGTGGGTAGGGTGTCGCCCCAAGGCCCCGCCCGCCATCCCCCCCGCCCACCCACCTGCAGCGCGCATGTGAGCAGTGTGAAGGTCGGGTCCGCATCCTTGATGCCGCGGGCATAGCCACGAAGAACCTGAAGGAGGAGAGCAGGATAAGGAGGTGCGGAGGAAGGAGGCACGGAAGCAAGGGCAGGGGTGCTGGAGCCAGACAGACTCCACTGACCCACATCACCATCCCCGCATGCATACCTCACGATAGAAGCTGGCGTTGTAGCCGGTCCATGGCTCGTTGCCCACCTCCACGGCATCCAGGCTGACATTGGCTGGAGCGTGCCCCGGACCAAAGTGCTTGCCAAACGCATAACCCAGCCAGTAGGTGGTGTTGGTGACGTTGGTGCCCCACATGGATTGGGGAAACACATCCCATGTGAACTGTATGGAAGCGTCGACCTGCAGATGCGGGGAGCAACCTTGGCCAGAGGAGAGGTGAAGCAACATCGCTAGCACTGCACTGCCTACCCATCATGTGTTGCACTGTTCTACCTATCATGCAACCAAAGGCTCTACCCACCTTGAGGCCCGCCGCCTTCCAGCCCACGTACTCATTATCCCAGTTTAGCCACCAGAACTTGTCCGTGCCTGATATGGGGGCAATGGGCATCAATAGGGTGAAGTGTGAGTGTGTAAACCTCTTCAAACAGAGACGCGCAGTTCCTGCACCAGATCCTGCCCCTCCTCGTCACTGCCCCCCACCTGTCTTGGTCATGGTGTCGTACTTGGGGTTGTTGAGGGGCGACCTGACGTCCCAGTGCAGGTTGTGGTAGTTGCGGCCCCAGGACGCGATCGCAGTGTACATGCCGGGGCCCTTGCCCTGCCTGTGGGAGGAGGTGAGGGGCAGCATTGATAGCCGGGCCGCCATGCAAAAGCAATAAAGCATGCCGGGGTTGGGACCCTGATCGGACACTCACTTGTGCAAGTCCTTTGAGAACTGGTTGAAGCCCCAGCCCCAGATGCCGTTGACCCCCAGCATGGCCCTCAGCGAGGAGGGGTGCGGCTGCGGGTCCGGCGGGTGCCCCCAGCGGCCGTACTGGTCGTATGCGTCAATGCCGAACACGTACACCTTGCGCCAGTCCGCATCCTCCTTCACGTTGTGGCGGATGCGGATGTAGCGGATCTGGGAAGGAAAAGGAGGGAGAGAGTGGTTACAGCATACGGTGCATACCAAGAAGGACACTGGGTAAAGCCAGGCAACCGAATTGGCCGCTGAAACAGCATCCAAGCCCACAACGTGTACCTCCTTTCCTCACGTTTATCATGCTGGGCAGGTAGAGCTCGATGGCAGACACGATGGTGGGGTCCATGCCATCCCGCAGGACGTCCCACGTCACGTTGTCCGCCGACACCGCCAGGCTGGAGTTGATGGCGTCCATCGACCAGTACTTGAAGCGCAGCACCCCCACCGCCCTGACCGCCCCCATGTCCACCACCGCCTCCTCCACGCAGGAGGTCACCTGCACCGCCACCTCGGTCAGCATGAACCGGGAAGAGCTCTCCAGCCGCACCGAAACCACGTTGCTCCAGGGGCCCCGCACGTGCACCCAGTTGTAATCGTCGACGCCTTTTTGCAGGATGTCGACTAGAACATTCTGAGCAGCCTGACCGGGTGGCTGCATCACAACGTAAACGGCTGTGGTGTTAGCGCGGGCTCCGCCTGACAGGCCATACCACCCCTTGACGCTGAGTGACAGGACCGTCATGGGGCCGTCCGGGAGCTTGATGGCGAAGAAGGCTGCGTCCGATGCGTTTGCTGGCTTGCTTGCGTCCGGCTCGATGGCGGCCGATGTGTAGACGCTGGTGTCGGTGGCTGCGGGCAGGTTGGCGGAGGCGGGCGAGGCGGTGCAGGCGGAGGCGGAGGAGTTGCAGAGGCGCAGCAGGGGGTTCATGGCGGGGCGGGAGGTGTAGCCAGTCGGGTGGCAGGCGTCGCTCTGCCACTGGGTGTTATCGTTGCTGTCCACGATGTTAGGGATGGCGGCCTGGTCGAAGTTGGACGACACAATCACCGTGCTGAGGAGGGGAGAGGAGGCAGGAGGCAGGACGAGGGAGAGCGTAAGGAGGTGTCAAGTGAGACGCGAGGCAAAAAGGCCAGCAGGCTACACGCCTGACCATCGGGGCCACTACAGATGTCAGCAACTACGTGCACAGTGAGGGGTGCAAGGTTACACGATCAGTAACCACACTACAGGGTCAGCAACCGGGGGAACAGGGGAAAATGCAACCATTGCATACTCACGCCCCATAGGTGTAGGACTGCACGGCACCAGCGTACACATCCCATGGGGGCGGGGCAGGTGGAGAGGGAGGCGACGGAGGGGAAGGAGGTGGGGTAGGAGGTAGGAGCGGTGGGGAGGGTGGCGGGGGTGATGGCGGTGGTGGCGAGGGGGCTGGCGATGGTGGATTGGGACGTAGTGGTGATGGCGGCGGAGGCGGCGAGGGCGATGGTGGGGGCGGTGCCGGCGTATAGGCATCGATACCCCAGATGGACGCCTTGTTCCAGTCCTTCTCTACCAGCTGATGCTTCACCATCAAATAGCGAGCCTGCAGGGGAGGAGCAGGGGAGCGTTGAGGGCAGTGGCAAGGAGAGATGCAGAAAGGGTGTAAAAAGGAACGGCAACCCAAATCCCATCCCGCCACCTGATTCCTTACCCTGACAGCTGCTGGCGGCGTGACCCACACCGCCCCTGTCTTGCTGAGGTCGAGTCCGCCCGGCAGCAGCTCGGCCCAGGAGGAGCCGTCCTGGGAGGCGAGCAGCCAGGCGGCCTGGGAGGTGGAGCTGTAGTAGCGCACGCTGCAGGGGCCGGGGGGAGCGGGAAGCTGTGAGATGCAGGGTCGAGAGGAAAGGCAACACGCAGGGCACGGAGAGCAATGTCCTGCCCCCCTCACCGCACAGAGCCTACGTCCACCAGCGCCCCCATGTCCACCATGGCGCTCTCGTAGCACCCGCCCGCCGCCCCGCCCGGCTGTGCGGCCAGCTCCGTCACCGTGAAGCTGGCATTGGCCGCCACCACCAGCGCCGCGACGTCGGGCCAGCTGCCGGTCAGGGCCATGAACTTGTAGGAGGAGCTGCCGTTGAGCGCCAGCGCCGGAACAAGCGAGCCATTGGAGAGCTCCAGGGAAAGCCAGACAGTAGGGGCGGTGGGGTCAGATGTGGGCGCGGCGGGGAAGACACCCCGGAAGCCCAGCCGGGTCAGATTGGTGGGGGAGGGGAGGGAGATGCGGAGCCAGGCGCGGCCAGAAGCCAAGGCAACGGTGGTGGACGTGTCGGTCCGGCCATCGGTGGTGAGGTTGAGGTTGGAGGTCCCGGCAGAGGCGGTACATGCGCCAGAGGACGTATTGCAGCGGAGGTAGACGGTGTTCATGGACGGCCGAGAAATGTAGTCAGTAGGAAAGCAGGCTCCACTTTGCCAAAAGGTGCCGTCTGTAATGCACAAGTTTTAGGTTAAGGCGTATTTTAAGAACAGCATAGACATGCTACAACCTCAGAAGTGCTGGTAGTTAAGCTGGCACCATTTACGCTAATAAAAATGCTACGATTAGCTATTTTCCGAAAACCTAGAATCAATGTAGGGCTCCACGCACCGAGGCTGTCGCGAACTGCTTGCATGCCATTCGCGTCGGAGTTCGAAGACAAGAAAACAGTTGCGTTCGTAGTCAAGGATCCCAGAGGCGCATCCAGGGCTTGGGATAGTCGAGCGAACGCAACTGACAGCAGCAAAATAAGCGAGCTTCTCTGTAGTGCAGACATGGCTCAACGAGCCTAAGAAATGCTAAGCAGACGAGGTAGCAAGCGATGACAATGTATACAAGTGAAGTTTGGTGTATCTCCCGCTTCGTTTACCTCCTGTACTTATCCCTTCCGGGGAGTTACAGATTACGAACTTCTCGTACAGTTGCTAACCTTGAGGTCCTACGGACATACACCATAAACCAGGGCCAATCACCACGACGCATCTATGCGTCCTGTAGCAGCCCCAGGAGGGGCTGACGCACCGAAGAGATGGACGTGAACACTGGCAAGGCACAAGAAGCTGTGGCGAAGAGAAACGCAAACTGGATGCCAGGGTCTAACCGTTGTCCTGGGATGCCTTTCCAGCATACGCTTTCAATTACCGCTACACAGTTATTTGCTAATTACAGCTTGTGAGGTAATACAAAGAATAGCATGCCCCTGGGCAGTTACAACTGCCATTTAGCATGTGGGATGCTATCTGTAATCATGTGATTAGCATTTCACGTGTACTTAGCAGCTGGGCGTCGGCAGGGAGGTGAAGCGGGCAAATACAGAGTAAGGAGACACTCAGGAGCTTAAACAGAATGGGCTTTAGAAATAGTAATGCTGCACGGTCGAGGCAGGTGGTTTAAGTCTGCCAGAATAAAGGGCAACAGCCAAGTACGGACCCTGTAATAGCGCCCGTCCCGGAATGGGCCGACCAGAAGCGTTTTGAGCATTTATGAAACAGTATCTGTTGTATGTATTCATGTTTTATCTTAATTGCTATTAGGGCATGACTGCTCCTAAAGCGAGCATGTTACGAACAGCTGTACTAACTTTGCTGCTTTCCACGATTAGCTTGCGTTTTACCTTTGGCTTAGATGCACCTGATGGCTCGCTTACAAGGAATGCTACGGTGTCGCTTTCTTCGAACTCAGACGGAAATGCCACGCTTGCAATTCGCGACGGCCTTGGTGCGTACAGAACTTACATGATTCATTTCAATCAGAGGGTGTCCTGCAGTGATAAGAGAACGTATGCGGTTGTTAGTGTGCCCTTAGGCAATTACTCATGATAGCGCCCCGTTGAAACTCGCTACCGGTATTTATTCAGAACGAAAAAGGATATGTACAACGATATCCTCTTTCCTTTCTTGCTGAGCCGCCCACCTCTGTGCTACCTTGCCCTATTCACTTGCACGCAGATGGCACCTTTTGGCAAAGCGGAGCCTGCTTTCCTACTGACTACATTTCTCGGCCGTCCATGAACACCGTCTACCTCCGCTGCAATACGTCCTCTGGCGCATGTACCGCCTCTGCCGGGACCTCCAACCTCAACCTCACCACCGATGGCCGGACCGACACGTCCACCACCGTTGCCTTGGCTTCTGGCCGCGCCTGGCTCCGCATCTCCCTCCCCTCCCCCACCAATCTGACCCGACTGGGCTTCCGGGGTGTCTTCCCCGCCGCGCCCGCATCTGACCCCACCGCTCCAACTGTCTGGCTTTCCCTGGAGCTCTCCAATCGCTCGCTTGTTCCGGCGCTGGCGCTCAACGGCAGCTCCTCCTACAAGTTCATGGCCCTGACCGGCAGCTGGCCCGACGTCGCGGCGCTGGTGGTGGCGGCCAATGCCAGCTTCACGGTGACGGAGCTGGCCGCACAGCCGGGCGGGGCGGCGGGCGGGTGCTACGAGAGCGCCACGGTGGACATGGGGGCGCTGGTGGACGTAGGCTCTGTGCGGTGAGGGGGGCAGGATATTGCGCTCCGTGCCCTGCGTGTTGCCTTTCCTCTCGACCCTGCATCTCACAGCTTCCCGCTCCCCCCGGCCCCTGCAGCGTGCGCTACTACAGCTCCACCTCCCAGGCCGCCTGGCTGCTCGCCTCCCAGGACGGCTCCTCCTGGGCCGAGCTGCTGCCGGGCGGACTCGACCTCAGCAAGACAGGGGCGGTGTGGGTCACGCCGCCGGCAGCTGTCAGGGTGAGGAATCAGGTGGCGGGATGGGATTTGGATTGCCGTTCCTTTTTACACCCTTTCTGCATCTCTCCTTGCCACTGCCCTCAACGCTCCCCTGCTCCTCCCCTGCAGGCTCGCTACTTGATGGTGAAGCACCAGCTGGTCGAGAAGGACTTTGCAAAGGTGTCAATCTGGGGCATCGATGCCTACCCGCCCGCTCCTTCGCCGCCACTGCCAGCAGCACAGCCGACATCTCTGACACCGCCGTTACCGCTATCATCCCGATCTCCCACACCACCACCGCAAGCGCAAGTAGCTCAGCCGCCGACTCCCCGGCCGCCAGTCTTGCAACCGCCGTCACCGCCCCCGCTGGGACTGCCAAATCCTTCTCCTCGGCCACCTTCGCCAACACCCCCGCCGCCATCGTCTCAGCAGTCGCCGTCACCGCCGCCACCACAAAAGCTGCCATCACCACCGCCGACGCCACAAACGCTGATGCCACCGCCACCAGCATCTCAAACGCCATCACCGCCGTCACCAAAGCCCCCACCGCCGCCATCACCAAAGCCGCCGACGTCGCCACCGCCGCCGTCACCAAAGCCGCCATCGCCACCGCCGCCATCACCAAAGCCGCCGTCGCCACCGCCGCCATCACCAAAGCCGCCGTCGCCTCCGCCGCCGTCACCAAAGCCACCGCCACCACCGCCGCCGTCACCGAAGCCACCGTCACCACCGCCGCCGTCACCAAAGCCGCCGTCGCCACCGCCGCCGTCACCAAAGCCACCGTCACCTAGCCCGCCTCCCCCACGGCCCCCGCCGCCATCGCCACGGCCCCCTAAACCGCAACCACCGCCACCCTCTCCGTCGCCTCCATCACCCCGCCCGCCCCTGTCGCCTCCGTCGCCTCCTCGTCCCCCCGCCTCGTCCTCGTGGAATGCGAACGCCGGAGCTGTGGTGTCCTACACCTATGGGGCGTGAGTATTGCAGTGGTTGCATATTTCCCCTGCTTGTGGTTGCTGACCTCTGTAGTGGCCCGGATGGTCAGGCATGTCGCCTGCTGGTTCTTTTGCCTCGTGTCTCACTTGACACCTCGTCGCGCTCTCCCTCGTCCTGCCTCCTGCCTCCTCTCCCCTCCTCAGCACGGTGATTGTGTCGTCCAACTTCGACCAGGCCGCCATCCCTAACATCGTGGACAGCAACGACAACACCCAGTGGCAGAGCGACGCCTGCCACCCGACTGGCTACACCTCCCGCCCCGCCATGAACCCTCTGCTGCGCCTCTGCAACTCCTCCGCCTCCGCCTGCACCGCCTCGCCCGCCTCCGCCAACCTGCCCGCAGCCACCGACACCAGCGTCTACACATCGGCCGCCATCGAGCCGGACGCAAGCAAGCCAGCAAACGCATCGGACGCAGCCTTCTTCGCCATCAAGCTCCCGGACGGCCCCATGACGGTCCTGTCGCTCAGCGTCAAGGGGTGGTATGGCCTGTCAGGCGGAGTACGTGCTAACACGACTGCAGTTTACGTTGTGATGCAGCCACCCGGTCAGGCAAAGCAGCGAGTGCTTGCAATAACACTGAAGAAGGGTGTGCATGACTACAACTGGGTACACGTGCGGGGCCCCTGGAGCAACGTGGTTTCAGTGCGGCTGGAGAGCTCTTCCCGGTTCATGCTGACCGAGGTGGCGGTGCAGGTGACCCCCTGCGTGGAGCAGGCGGTGGTGGACATGGGGGCGGTCAGGGCGGTGGGGGTGCTGCGCTTCAAGTACTGGTCGATGGACGCCATCAACTCCAGCCTGGCGGTGTCGGCGGACAACGTGACGTGGGACGTCCTGCGGGATGGCATGGACCCCACCATCGTGTCTGCCATCGAGCTCTACCTGCCCAGCATGATAAACGTGAGGAGAGGAGGTACACGTTGTGGGCTTGGATGCTGTTTCAGCGGCCGATTCGGTTGCCTGGCTTTACCCAGTGTCCTTTTTGGCATGCTGTAACCACCCTCTCTCCCCCCTTTTCCTTCCCAGATCCGCTACATCCGCATCCGCCACAACGTGAAGGAGGATGCAGACTGGCGCAAGGTGTACGTGTTCGGCATTGACGCATACGACCAGTACGGCCGCTGGGGGCCCCCGCCGGACCCGCAGCCGCACCCCTCCTCGCTGAGGGCCATGCTGGGGGTCAACGGCATCTGGGGCTGGGGCTTCAACCAGTTCTCAAAGACGCTCCACGCGTAAGTGGGGGAGTGTGAATGTTTAGCTCGATGCATCTTGCTATCACCGAAGGTATTGAGGAGTTCGCTTAGACACACTTCCCGTTCACCTTGTTCTGTGCCTCCCCCGCCGTGTTTGCACGTCGGTCTTGCTAACCACTCTGCCCCTCACTCCGCCCACCTCTTCCCTCAGGCAGGGCAAGGGCCCCGACATGTACACTGCGATCGCCACATGGGGGCGTGACTACCACAACCTGCACTGGGATGTCAGGTCGCCTCTCAACAACCCCAAGTACGACACTATGGCCAAGACAGGTGAGCCGGCGTTTTACCGTTGCTGTAGCAGGGTACACCCGCCCCAGCCCCAGTACCCAAGAGAATATACAAGGCCTAGAGGGTTCCTAGCTTCCTACCATCTCGAGTAGCCTTGTCGTGGTGCTACACGGGCCCGCATGGAAAGCCCAGAAAGACGTTGTGTGCATGTAACAAGAAGCTTTGGCGTGAAGTGCATAAGCTTACCTCCTCTGCACGCAACCTCGGCTTCAAGACTGAATGACGTTAGCCACCTCCTGCCTTCCTTGCAGGTACGGACGTGTTTTGGTGGCTTAACTGGGATAACGAGTACGTGGGCTGGAAGGCGGCGGGGCTAAAGGTAAGGACGGGTGGTTTATGGTTAATCAACCCTTGCAGAGTATGGCTCCTCCCTTTGCGTCTGTCACTGTAGTTGTGTCTCCCTCCTCCCTGCAATCGTGCTTTGGCTAATGTTCCATCTTTTTTTGCAGGTCGACGCCTCCATACAGTTTACATGGGATGTGTTTCCCCAATCCAAGTGGGGCACCAACGTCACCAACACCACCTACAGGCTGGGTTATGCGTTTGGAAAGCACTTTGGCCCGGGGCGCGCTCCTGCCAATGTCAGTCTCGACGCCGTGGAAGTGGGCAACGAGCCATGGGTTGGCTACAATGCAAGCTTCTATCGCGAGGTATGTGTTGCTGGTTGAGAAAGGGTTTACTGTCGGGCACAGATGGGATGACCGATGGATGGGTTCCTGCATCTTCTCTTCCTCTACAAGCGGTTGCCCTACCCCGCTCCTCACTCTTGCATCTCTCCTCATACAGGTTCTTCGTGGCTTCGCCCGGGGCATCAAAGACGCGGACCCGACCTTCCGACTGCTCACATGCGCATTGCAGGTGGGTGGGCGGGTGGCGGCTGGGGGACATGTTGCCAATCCTTCATGGCTTGCAACGCCCTACCTTGAAGTGGCCGCCAGACTGCCCTCTGAGCCCCCTTACAACTCCCGCCTCCCTGCCCCGGTTCCCCCAGGCTGACAACCCGCTTGCGGAGGGAGACTCGGGCAACTTCATTGGTGGGTCTCTGGGCCGTTGGGTACAGCAGTGGAGGAGGTTACATGAGCCTCAACGGTTTCCTGCCTCCCTCCCCTGCTCAGTGCGGCATACCTGGCTGCCACTCACTGCCGACCCATATCACTGCCTCGCTCCTTCCTTCCCTTCGTATCATCTGGAGCTTTCCGGGCTGCCACTCACTGCCGACCCAGATCACTCACTCGTTTCTGCCTTACCCCGGTCATTTAGTGCGTTCCTGGCTGACCCATCACCGACCCAAATCACCTCCTTCGTCCTTCTCCACCCCCCCTGCTCTTCCCAGGCGCCCGCCTGCCCCAGGACGTGGCGCCCCTGGTTGACGTGCTCAACACACACACCTACTCCTGGTATCGCGAGCTGAACGGAACCTACCTGGGGGTGCACCCGGAGCATCCAGGCACCACCATGAACTGTGAGGCAGGGGCGGGCGGGAGGCAGGGGCGGGCGGTAATGGTGGTGCAGCAAGGGGGCTGCACGGCACGGCCATCCCTCATGAACTCCTTATATATAGACATCTCAGACGGTAGTGCTTGCCCCCGTTCCTTACTGCTCCCCTTCATATGCACGTCCTTCCCCTTTCCCTGCCTCCCCGCCCAGCCCTGAACAACTTCCTGGCGTGGCGCACTGCCAACATGCCCGGCACCCCCGTGTGGGTGACTGAGTGGGGCTGGGACGCGCACCTGCCCGGGGAGGTGTGCGACACCACGCTGTGTGTCAGCCAGCACGCGCAGGCGCTGTACGCCATCCGCGGCCTGCTCATCATGGCGCGAAAGGGGGTTCAGCAGGCCATCTGGTTCTTCTACGCCAACGGAGACGTGTGAGTTAGACTCGTATGGGGAAGCTGTTGCTCATGCTCACTGTTTGTGCCTTGCTATTTCGACGCTTTCTCAATTCTTCTTTGCAGTTTTGATGCCGCTCGTACCCTCTCCTTTCACCTTCCCTTGCCCCACAGTGGCAGCGGTGTGTTCACCCGTAGCGGCCTGCGTGGCAGCAACTCGACCCATTTCCCCACGCTGCCCGTGTACTCTGCGCTGAGCTCGTTCCTGCAGCTGGCCGGCTCCTCCGGCTTCCTGGGGCTGGCGGCGGAGCGCACCGACCTGTACGCCTACCTGCTGGGGCCGCCCAAGCAGCCGGACGGCAGCACGTCCACCGCAGCCGCCGCAACGCACCTGGTGGCGTGGAGGCCCGTGGGCGCGGGAGAGGGGCCGGACGAGCCCGCAGCGGCCGCCAACCTGACCCTGGCCCGGACCCCACTGCAGGCGTGGGTGCTCAGCGGGCAGGGCGCCACCCTGGTGACCAACCTGAGCTCCGTGCTGAGCCTGACGGGGGACAGCAGCTGGAGCATACAGGTGTCAGCAATACCGCTGCTGATACTGCTGCAGTAGGGTTCCGGTATTTCCTTTTATTACGTGTTATTGTGTGCAGTAGCTGTTATTGCATAGCAGCCGGGATATGGCTTAGCGATCGATACTCTTTTCACTAATCAGCCAAATGATGGTGTACAGTCCAGTAGCAGGCTTGTGTATTGCTTGTATTGGGGACTTTTACTGTATAGGGAGTGGGGTCTTCTATGAGTGCCGGATTCATCTTGTTGCTCGAGTCTTCGGATGGCAAGCGTAGTGTCGGTTACTCGGCTGGAAACTGTGTCGAAAGTGGATTTCTAAATCACTGCAATAGCGTGTAGTGCAGTTGTCATGTTTTCGGCCCTGGCTGTCGGCGGCTCTTGATACCGCAATGTGTGCAGATTGCGTGTACATGGGCAACCTGGATGGAGTGCTGCCAGTCGAATCGGTTCCGGTTTTTACCTCGTACAGCACGTAGTGAATTGTAGTGGATTGGCGTCTAGAGAGCACAATGATCGCTGCTATGTATATCATTCCTGCGATAGCCAGCTGTGTACTGGCTACCCCTGCAATCTGCAGCTTCCTGGGTAAGCGTATTTTCTGCACGCTGGGACTCTTCACTGCGTATGTCGGGACTTTGCCAAGGCTGAGACTGTTTTACTACTCCTTCATCGATTTGTTCCTATTATGCGCTGCCAGCAGTGCACAGACATCGTCTGGAAGGTGGATGTTTCATGGTTTTCGGCTTTCCCCTGTATTGTCTCAAGATCTCCCTCGTGCTCTGTTTCTAAAGAGGATTTCGTGAGGCCACGCCAATCGCAAATAAACTGATCTATTACATATCATAAATACATCATTGGTCGTGGGTTCGATACTGGAAAAGTGCCATGCCCATGCATGGACTCTGAGGAGCAGTGAAGACGTGGGATACAGAAGTCGCTCACAAGTACTGCAGGTGCGTGCGCGAGGCAACGAGGATGATGAACTTGGTACTTGGACCTGGTTACGAAACCCGTACTCGCAAACCTTACGGCAGCGGGCTGCATGCTAACTGACTTATGGATTACCGTACTTTAACAACGTAGCGTACAGAAGCTATAGCTTAATTCACAAAAAGAGTACGCGTCCTTGCCCAAGTAAACGCTTCGTCGGGGCATGAAGGCCCATTCCAAGCATGTTTCGAAAAGCTCTGTTGACCTTGGTGCTACTTGCAGCTAGCCTTTCGTATGCTCATGGAGTTGATGCGCCTGAAGGCTCGCTTACAAGAAATGCAACAGTACTCCTTTCCTCCAATTGGGACGCAAATAGCACGCTGGCGGTTCGCGACGGCATAGGTGCGTCTCGGAAACTCGTCTACCTAGAAATACGTGACTACATTTCATACTTGTGATATGCTCGCCGTCGTCGTTGCCATGTATGTTGTCTTCTTTACCTGGTAATTTCGACCCTGTAATACCCATCTTAACAGTCGTACTTTTTTGGACCATAACAGACAACACCTTTTGGCAAAGTGGAGCCTGCTTTCCTACTGACTACATTTCTCGGCCGTCCATGAACACCGTCTACCTCCGCTGCAATACGTCCTCTGGCGCATGTACCGCCTCTGCCGGGACCTCCAACCTCAACCTCACCACCGATGGCCGGACCGACACGTCCACCACCGTTGCCTTGGCTTCTGGCCGCGCCTGGCTCCGCATCTCCCTCCCCTCCCCCACCAATCTGACTCGACTGGGCTTCCGGGGTGTCTTCCCTGCCGCGCCCACATCTGACCCCACCGCCCCTACTGTCTGGCTTTCCCTGGAGCTCTCCAATGGCTCGCTTGTTCCGGCGCTGGCGCTCAACGGCAGCTCCTCCTACAAGTTCATGGCCCTGACCGGCAGCTGGCCCGACGTCGCGGCGCTGGTGGTGGCGGCCAATGCCAGCTTCACGGTGACGGAGCTGGCCGCACAGCCGGGCGGGGCGGCGGGCGGGTGCTACGAGAGCGCCATGGTGGACATGGGGGCGCTGGTGGACGTAGGCTCTGTGCGGTGAGGGGGGCAGGACATTGCTCTCCGTGCCCTGCGTGTTGCCTTTCCTCTCGACCCTGCATCTCACAGCTTCCCGCTCCCCCCGGCCCCTGCAGCGTGCGCTACTACAGCTCCACCTCCCAGGCCGCCTGGCTGCTCGCCTCCCAGGACGGCTCCTCCTGGGCCGAGCTGCTGCCGGGCGGACTCGACCTCAGCAAGACAGGGGCGGTGTGGGTCACGCCGCCGGCAGCTGTCAGGGTGAGAATACAGCTCTAACAATACTACCCAACACCTGCCTTTCTTCTTAACAGCTCCGGTACTGCTGTTGCCCTAGCTTACCTCCCCTGCTCCTCCCCTGCAGGCTCGCTACTTGATGGTGAAGCACCAGCTAGTCGAGAAGGACTTTGCAAAGGTGTCAATCTGGGGCATTGATGCCTACCCGCCCACTCCTTCACCGCCTCTTCCAGCAGCACAGCCGACAACTCTGACACCACCGTTACCGCTATCGTCCCGATCTCCAACACCACCACCGCAAACGCAAGTAGCTCAGCCGCCGACTCCCCGGCCGCCAGTCTTGCAGCTGCCGTCACCGCCCCCACTGGGACTGCCAAATCCTTCTCCTCGGCCACCTTCACCATCACCCCCGCCGCCATCGTCACAGCAGTCGTCGTCACCGCCTCCTACACAAAAGCGGCCATCACCACCGCCGACGTCACAAACGCTGATGCCACCGCCACTAGCCTCTCAAAAGCCACCACCGCCTTCACCAAAGCCCCCACTGCCGCCCTCGCCAAAGCCGCGGCCATCACCACCGCCGACGTCACCAAAGCCGCCATCGCCACCTCCGCCGTCACCAAAGCCACCGTCGCCACCTCCGCCGTCACCTAAGCCACCGTCGCCACCTCCGCCGTCACCAAAGCCGCCGTCACCAAAGCCGCCGTCGCCAAAGCCACCGTCACCACCTCCGCCGTCACCAAAGCCACCGTCACCACCGCCGCCGTCACCAAAGCCACCGTCACCTAGCCCGCCTCCCCCACGGCCCCCGCCGCCATCGCCACGGCCTCCTAAACCGCCACCACCGCCACCCTCTCCGTCGCCTCCATCACCCCGCCCGCCCCTGTCGCCTCCGTCGCCTCCTCGTCCCGCCGCCTCGTCCTCGTGGAATGCGGATGCTGGAGCTGTGGTGTCCTACACCTATGGGGCGTGAGTATTGCAATGGTTGCATTCTCCCCTGCTTGTGGTTACTGATCGTGTAACCTTGCACCCCTCACTGTGCACGTAGTTGCTGACATCTGTAGTGGCCCGGGTGGTCAGGCGTGTAGCCTGCTGGCCTTTTTGCCTCGCGTCTCACTTGACACCTCCTTACGCTCTCCCTCGTCCTGCCTCCTGCCTCCTCTCCCCTCCTCAGCAAGGTGACTGTGTCGTCCAACTTCGACCAGGCCGCCATCCCGAACATCGTGGACAGCAACGACAACACCCAGTGGCAGAGCGACGCCTGCCACCCGACTGGCTACACCTCCCGCCCCGCCATGAACCCCCTGCTGCGCCTCTGCAACTCCTCCGCCTCCGCCTGCACCGCCTCGCCCGCCTCCACCAACCTGCCCGCAGCCACCGACACCAGCGTCTACACATCGGCCACCGTCGAGCCGGACGCAAGCAAGCCAGCAAACGCATCGGACGCAGCCTTCTTCGCCATCAAGCTCCCGGACGGCCCCATGACGGTCCTGTCACTCAGCGTCAAGGGGTGGTACGGCCTGTCAGGCGGAGTACGTGCTAACACGACTGCAGTTTACGTTGTGATGCAGCCACCCGGTCAGGCAAAGCAGCGAGTGCTTGCAATAACACTGAAGAAGGGCGTGCATGACTACAGCTGGGTACACGTGCGGGGCCCCTGGAGCAACGTGGTTTCGGTGCGGCTGGAGAGCTCTTCCCGGTTCATGCTGACTGAGGTGGCGGTGCAGGTGACCCCCTGCGTGGAGCAGGCGGTGGTGGACATGGGGGCGGTCAGGGCGGTGGGGGTGCTGCGCTTCAAGTACTGGTCGATGGACGCCATCAACTCCAGCCTGGCGGTGTCGGCGGACAACGTGACGTGGGACGTCCTGCGGGATGGCATGGACCCCACCATCGTGTCTGCCATCGAGCTCTACCTGCCCAGCATGATAAACGTGAGGAGAGGAGGTACACGTTGTGGGCTTGGATGCTGTTTTAGCGGCCGATTCGGTTGCCTGGCTTTACTCAGTGTCCTTTTTGGCATGCACCGTATGCTGTAACCACCCTCTCTCCCCCCTTTGGCCCCAGATCCGCTACATCCGCATCCGCCACAACGTGAAGGAGGACGCGGACTGGCGCAAGGTGTACGTGTTCGGCATTGACGCATACGACCAGTACGGCCGCTGGGGGCCCCCGCCGGACCCGCAGCCGCACCCCTCCTCGCTGAGGGCCATGCTGGGGGTCAACGGCATCTGGGGCTGGGGCTTCAACCAGTTCTCCAAGGACTTGCACAAGTGAGTGTCCGATCAGGGTCCCAACCCCGGCATGCTTTATTGCTTTTGCATGGCGGCCCGGCTATCAATGCTGCCCCTCACCTCCTCCCACAGGCAGGGCAAGGGCCCCGACATGTACACTGCGATCGCGTCCTGGGGCCGCAACTACCACAACCTGCACTGGGACGTCAAGTCGCCCCTCAACAACCCCAAGTACGACACCATGACCAAGACAGGTGGGGGGCAGTGAGGAGGAGGGGCAGGATCTGGTGCAGGAACTGCGCGTCTCTGTTTGAAGAGGTTTACACACACTTCACCCTATTGATGCCCATTGCCCCCATATCAGGCACGGACAAGTTCTGGTGGCTTAACTGGGATAATGAGTACGTGGGTTGGAAGGCGGCGGGCCTCAAGGTGGGTGGCCTCAAGGTGGCATGAGCAGTGGAGAGGTAGAGCAGTGCAATGCTAGCATTGTTGCTTCCATACACTGCTTTTCTTCGCCTCTCCTCTGGCCAAGACCTCTTCTCTTTTGCTCCCCACATACATCTGCAGGTCGACGCCTCCATACAGTTTACATGGGATGTGTTTCCCCAATCCAAGTGGGGTGCAAACGTCACCAACACCACCTACTGGCTGGGTTATGCGTTTGGCAAGCACTTTGGTCCGGGGCGCGCACCTGCCAATGTCAGCCTGGACGCCGTGGAGGTGGGCAACGAGCCATGGACCGGCTACAACGCCAGCTTCTATCGCGAGGTGTGCATGCGGGGATGTGGGTCACTGGAGTCTGTCTGTGTTTGGCTGCAGCACCCCTGCCCTTGCTTCCGTGCCTCCTTCCTCCGCACCTCCTCATCCTGCTCCTCCTCCTTCAGGTTCTTCGTGGCTACGCTCGCGGCATCAAGGATGCGGACCCGACCTTCACACTGCTCACATGCGCGCTGCAGGTGGGTGGGCGGGTGGCGGGCGGGGCCTTGGGGCGACACCCTACCCACCAGCGCACCAGCCACTACCCAGATCGCTACTCCTACCTAACGGCTTGGGGCCTGCCTTCCTGATCCCCCCACCCTCATGCTCCCTGCCCTATGCCCACAGGCTCAAAACCGGCTGGACTCGGGCAACTACATAGGTAGGCCCCGCGTACCGCGCATTGTACCCTGAAGATATTGCTCCTCGCCCTGCACAGGAGTACATAAGGGTGCCTGCATGGGTCGGTGCCCAGGCCGTTTTTAGTTTTTTGTCGTCTATTGCACGGGAATTTCCCCCTATCATCGCCCCCTTCCTCCCCCCCCTGCTCTTCCCAGGCGCCCGTCTGCCCCAGGACGTGGCGCCCCTGGTTGACGTGCTCAACACGCACACCTACTCCTGGTATCGCGAGCTGAACGGAACCTACCTGGGGGTGCACCCGGAGCATCCAGGCACCACCATGAACTGTGAGGCAGGGGCGGGCGGGAGGCAGGGGCGGGCGGTAATGGTGGCGCAGCACGGGGGCTGCACGGCACGGTCATCCCTCATTAGCTCCTTGTATATAGACATCTCAGGCGGTAGTACTTGCCCCCGTTCCTTACTGCTCCCCTTCATATGCACGTCCTTCCCCTTTCCCTGCCTCCCCGCCCAGCCCTGAACAACTTCCTGGCGTGGCGCACTGCCAACATGCCCGGCACCCCCGTGTGGGTGACTGAGTGGGGCTGGGACGCGCACCTGCCCGGGGAGGTGTGCGACACCACGCTGTGTGTCAGCCAGCACGCGCAGGCGCTGTACGCCATCCGCGGCCTGCTCATCATGGCGCGAAAGGGGGTTCAGCAGGCCATCTGGTTCTTCTACGCCAACGGAGACGAGTAAGGGAGAAGGGAGACGGGGGATGGGGATGTTTGCTCATGCGGTGCGGTTAAGAAGGTGCATGCCGCCCTTGTCCCGTGTTGCTATCATCAGTGTCATGCGCTTACAACCGCTCTTACATGCCCCCCTTGTTTCCCCACAGAGGCAGCGGTGTGTTCACCCGTAGCGGCCTGCGTGGCAGCAACTCGACCCACTTCCCCACGCTGCCCGTGTACTCTGCGCTGAGCTCGTTCCTGCAGCTGGCCGGCTCCTCCGGCTTCCTGGGGCTGGCGGCGGAGCGCACCGACCTGTACGCCTACCTGCTGGGGCCGCCCAAGCAGCCGGACGGCAGCGCGTCCACCGCAGCCGCCGCAACGCACCTGGTGGCCTGGAGGCCCGTGGGCGCGGGAGAGGGGCCGGACGAGCCCGCAGCGGCCGCCAACCTGACACTGGCCCGGACCCCCCTGCAGGCGTGGGTGCTCAGCGGGCAGGGCGCCACCCCGGTGACCAACCTGAGCTCCGTGCTGAGCGTGACGGGGGGCAGCAGCTGGAGCATACAGGTGTCAGCAATACCGCTGCTGATACTGCTGCAGTAGGGTGGCACTGATACATATCGTGTCAAATGATAGCGCGCGTACGGTTTTGCGCAACTAGCACAAGACTTGGCTTACGTATTTATTCTGCGCACGATGGGAATTATTATGCTTAATAATCACAATGCTGGGCGTTATCTACATGCACCCACAACGGCTTCCTAGCTTGCTGGGCCAGTGCCGGCCATCCCCTAATCCAATTACAAGTAAAAAGCTCTAGCACTTCTGGTAAGTGTGCTCCTTTCATGCTAGGGTGGCATGCACCCGTCATGTGGCGTGCGGGCGCCGGGACACAAGATATGCATCACTGCTGAACTGATCCGTCTGGGCTAACGTACCGGACGGTTTTAGCGCCTTTAACCCTTTAAGTAACGTCGCATGCATGGTATGCGCGAACATTATGCAAGGTAGCGCTGAAGATGTATGGCTGGTGGGCTATGCTACACACTGGCGGAGGAGGTCATGGTCATCTCCAATTCCCCTCTCAAATATGGCATTAGCTGAAGTATTTGTAGTGGGTAATGTGTTATTCATACTATGTATTGGGTGCGTGAGCTCCTTGGGTGTTAGTCATGGAGGTGTACCCAAGACATGAGCGGCAGGATGTGTTGTGTTGTGAGCTGGTGTCACGATGCAGGATGCATGCCCTGGACCCTGTTTGTGTGTGCAAGGCGACCGTGACACCGCCGCTGAGTGCGAGGACAAGCTTCCAGTGCCGCCTCCTTGGTTTGGAGGAGGTGGAAGGGGCACAGCTGCTCTACGTAAAGGCTTCTGTTAGCTGAAACCCCTAATATAAATATAAACTGGATTATCAACAAGTCCCACGGTAAAAAAGTGGCTTGGATACCGTGTAATGCCGTTTCACCGCTATTTGTCCACCAGGCCCTCGCACCCATTACAACAGGTAGGTAGCGCGACCCTCACCTGCACTCCGCGTCCTGCTACCTGCCACAAGCAGCAGCGCAGAAGCCCCGGCGGCCAACTACCAGCTAGGGCCCCTATCCTCTCGCCACTGAACAACCTCGCACAACGGCACTCGTACGCCCTTCATGAACCACCGCAAGCACGCCTCTCTCGGCGCCTGTTCAGACGCTGTTACTCCAGATGTCCCATGGGTCAGCTGACAACAGACAAGGTCAGATATGTACAATGCTCGGTAACAGCCATACCCGTCCACCTTTGAGCTCCTGTCCAGTCGCACGCAGGTTGCTGGTCACCAGAAAATGCCGTAAACAGGTCACCATCCATGAGCGGCACGCTGAGGCAGCCTCGCATCCCCAGGGCAGGCACCAACGCCGCACGCGTGGCTCGCGCGCCACTCCGACTTCGCACGCTTCAGAAACTGCGGGCACTTACCTCCAGGACGCTATGCACCCGCACCTGCACCACCCAAGCGTCCCCAACGTGCCCCACTATCGCCAGCTCATCAGGTCCCTGCCTGTGTGACAGGCGGTTCAAATTTCCCTCCCAAGGCAGCCACCTACCTAAACCCCATGCTTGCAACGGCTCACTCCAACCACCGCCAATCCTCGCTCACACCCACAACCCGCTTCACCTCGCCCACGCTAAACCAGCGCCCGGCCTTGCTGGAAGGGAATGGACAGCCGCGCCTTGCTGCTGCCGCTGCCCCCGCTGCCCGTCACAGGCGGCCGCGCCCCCATGCCCACATTGCCCAGCGGTCCGCCCATCATCCGGGACGCCCCGGGGGTGGCGGCGGGGGCGCTCTCCTCCTCCGCCTCCTCGCCGGGCGCCAGGCCCTCGGGCCGCACCGGCGCGCGGCTGAAGGGCGCGGATCCCTTCTCCAGCCCCGCCATCTCGTACTCGTCCTGCTCGAAGAAGTGTCCGCAGGGCCCGCAGCACAGCGGCACCTCGCTGTCCATCACGCGGAAGTACTGGCGCGGGATGACGGGGTTGGGCCATGTGCGAACCATCACCTGCGGGGGGGGGCGGGAGGAGGCAGTCAGTAGCAGGTACGGCAGGGGATGAGGAGCCACGTGGCACAGCAGCGGGGCACACGAGAGGCCGTCCAGAAGTAACCGGTAATGCATAAAGTAAGGACTAAGTCCGCAGCCCCAGCCAAAGGGCCCCAAGGCGCTCCTCGTCTCCCCGCGCACCTCTCCCGTCTTGAGCCGCCGCATCATGGCCCGATCCACTCGGATGGTGGTGTTGGGCACCATCATCTGTGCCGCGAAGGCGTCCTCCATGCGGTTGATCTCGTCCTGGTCCAGCCGCAGCACGTTGCCGCCCGCCTCCGCAACCTTGGCGGCGCGCTGGGCGCGTTGCTCGCGCCTGCAGCAGCAGCAGGAGCGGGAGGAGCAGGGACAGCAGTGGCAGCGTTAGCAGCAGCAGCAGCGGGTGGCGTCGGCACATACTTAGGTTCGTGTCATAAGAAAGAAACGAAACCTTGGCAGCATCCCGTTCCATCAGCCCTCCAGGCCTACCCCCACACCCCCACCTGGCCGCCTCCATCCCCGCATCCTCTCCCAGCAGCCGCTGAGCCTCCTCGTCGTCGATACCCGCCTGGACACGGCACAGCAGCAGCAGCAGCGGGGCCAGTTCGATAGTGCACAGCAGCAGTGTATAGTCGCAGGAGAGGCAGGATTGAGCAACAGCAACAAGCAAAGAGCGTGTAAGAGGGTCTAAGGCCCCCGCTCCCTCCCCCTGCCCCTCCCCTCCCCCGCTCCTCCCCTCACCTCCAGCTCGAACTCCACAATGGGCAGGTGCTCGAACGTGACGAACGACCTGAACACCGGGAGGGGGGAGGAGGGAAGAGGGAGTGTGGAGGGCACGTTGGGAGGAAGTGGGCTTGTTGGAGATGACTAGGTGCATGCTTCCAATAGGAGCCAGGGGATTGCCATGATGGTAGGACCCGGGTATCTGGCTGAGGAGGCCAGCGACACGGCTCTCCTTTCCCCCTCCCGGACGACTCCCCGCATGCCGCCAGCCCTCGCCCCCCCCTCCCCCACCTGATGAAGGGCGCCCCGCAATTGATGCAGTAGTCTCCCTGCGTGTTGAGCAGCGGGTTGGTGGTGGAGCAGCGCCAGCACACCGGCAGCAGGTCCTCCTTGTCGGAAAAGGGCCTGGGGGGGGGGGCGGAGGTGAGGGGGGGGAGAGAGGTGGGAGTTAAGTGAGGTTTGGTGCAGTGGTCGACGCAAGGGAGAGGGGGAGCAGCAGCAGGTGTCATGGAGACGACCACTACGCGAGCGAATCTGCGCATGAGGCCTACTTAAGTCGCTGTACGCATGAGCCATGTAAGACACGCAGAACCCCCCGGGAGGTGACAACACCCTCCCCTGCCCGCCTCACTTGGAGCGGATGACCACCGAGGCCAGGTCCACCTCCGCCTGCCAGGAGGCGGGCAGCACCAGCGTCTGCAGCTTGTTGTAGGCGAAGCGGGCGAGCTTGAAGGCGCCGCCCTCCACAGCCTGAGAGAGGGGCAGAAGAGAGGGGGGTAAAGGGGATAGCCAAGCGCAGGTGAGCAGCCCCTCATGCCATGCCTGACTCGTCCTGTGCCCCTCGTCCCTACTACACAGCAGGCTCAACTCGCTCCACCGCCCCGCCGTCACTGCGCCCGCCCCCGCTCAGCCCGTCCCAGCCGCCCGCAGCTGCTGCCCAGCGCACCCTCCCCCGCCCACCTGCCCCCCCCCCCCCGCCCCGCCCACCTGCTTTGCCATCACGTACACCACGTTAACGACGCTCACCCCCAGCGGCACCTCCCGCGGCGGCAGCGTGCGCATCAGCAGGAAGCGCGAGGCGTTGAAGAGCGTGTCGGGGTGGGTGGTACGGAAGGGCGAGTGTACGCTCTTGTGTACGATGTCGTACGCGTAGTACACCTCTGCCCTGTCGTACAGCTCTGTGAACCGCTCCAGTGCGGTGCGGTCCGAGGGAGCCATGGCGGAGGGAGGGTTCTTGATGCTCTGGGGGTGTGGTGCAGCAGCAGCAGGTGGTGGAGGGAAAGGGAGGGCGGGTGGGGGGTTGGGCAGGAAGGAGGGGTCGCATGAGGGGTAGTTAGTTCGCATGCCCGCCCGCCGACAAGCATGCGGGAGGCCATGGCGGCCTACACTCCTTCTACGACTTGGGAAGCAGTCGGAATCCAACCCGCCATGCAGAACCCAGGAGAACCCCACCGAGAGCGCAAGCAGCTCCCTCCCCCTCCCCTCCCCCCGCCCCCCACCTTGAGTGCCTCCATGGCCAGCTGGTAGTAGTAGAAGGCCGCGTCCGCGAACCTGCTCTCCACCACCGCGTTGGCGCACAGCTGCTCCAGGATGCGGGTGGCCAGCGAGGGGAAGCCGCCCTCCTGGTAGGCCAGCCGGGCCTCGTCGAACCTGGAGGGGGAGGGGAGGCGGGGGGAGGAGGGTAAAGGGGAGGAGGCTATCAGGGGGAGGTGGAAGGCGCGGTGCGAGGTGGTGACGTGGGCCTGGTGAGGGTCACAAGGGGGCGTTAGGGAGGTGTCGCGCGCGGGTGCTTGAAGCAGCACCGGTGTACGCGTCTGTGGTGCACGGCCGCATGACGATGCATGCGGTGAGTGTGCGCGCGCTGTTGCCAGCACAAGAGTGTACCCTGTGAGGCGCCATGCGCCCCGCATCCCTCCCCTCCCTCCCGCCTCCCCCCTTCTGCTGCTGCCTCCCTCCGAGGCCCCCACCCCCGTCCCGCCCCGCCCCCGCCCTCACTTGTCCTGGCTGCTGAGCCACTTGGCGTAGGGCAGGTAGACGTCCTGGCGGCACTCGGGGTGCGCGTGCAGCAGCAGGAAGGCGTCGTCCCACTTCTCCGCCTCAACGTACAGCGCGATAAGACCCTTTGGAGGGGGAGAGGGGGGGGGCAGGCAGGGGGCAGCGGATGGAGGTGCGCAGTGTGGTGTTGAGGTGCAGTGAGCAGGGAAGAAAAGGGTGGCCGGGTGGTGAGCTACAGGCAACATGGAGGGGTGGCACATGCGTCCGTCGGAGCCTGCATGTAGCAACCCGCTCAAACCCCAGCCACCCCTCCACCCAACCCCCTGCGCCCCATGGTGACGCCTCGTCATACAATTCGTCAGTTTCCTTAGTCATCCCCCCTCCGCCCCACCTTGGTGTCGTCCATCTTGAGCAGCGTCTCCTTGGCGTACGCAAAGTGCGGCGCGCGGCGGAAGTGCCCCGCGCACATGCCCAGGCAGCGCACGTCCGTCTTGTCCAGCTGGCGCACCACCCCCACCAGCTTGTCCCACCACTGGTGCTTGGCAAGGATGGCAATGGCGCGGTCGTACTTCTTGGCCTGCAAGGGGGGGCGGGGGGGAGGATAGGCCGAAAGGTGAGGTAAGGCGGTGATGAGATTAAGGGGAAAGCTAACGAGGTGATAGGACTCCGCATGGCGTTGCATGAGGAACGGGGTTCATAGGAAGAGAAACATGGTGAGGGGAAAGGGACAATGAAGATGGGGAGAAAAGACACGCGGCCGTGTGCAGCTACGAACGTCATTCTTCTCCGGCACCATGCGCCTTGCAACGCGCCACTGCTTTCTCCCCACCCCTCCCCGCCCCCCCTGCCGCACCTTGATGTACATCTCCGCAGCCGCATCGTAGTTCTTGACCTCCTCGCTCCACTCCGCCTGCCGGTTGATCAGCTCCTGCACGCTGCGCTGGTCGCCGCGCCCGCTGGCCGCGAACTCCTCCGCCCACTTCTTGGCCTCGTCGAACTGGCGCAGGTCGGAGAACATCTCCATCGCCTTGTCCACAGCGCCTGCAGCGTGGGGGGCGGGGAGGAGGCAAGAAGGGCGTCAGGCAGCGCGAGGAGGTATATGAGGTGCGATAGTTCTCGCATCTCTCTCTACTTAACTTACGTGTGGCAGCACAGACCAACCCAGGGGCCATGAATGCACTCAGCCGCATCTCCCCCGCCCCCGCCTCCTCACCCGCTTGCGTGAACAGCCGCGCCGCCTCCTGGTAGCGGCCCTGGAAGGCCATGATCTCCGCCAGCAGCAGCGGCTCGCTCACGCCGCCCTTGCGACCCGCCTCCGTGCGGTTCACCAGCTCCACGAAGCGCACGTCGCGGATGCGGATGAAGGCCTTGCGGGCCACGTCTAGGTTCAGAGCCTAGGGGGTGGGTGGGTGGGTGGGAGGAGGGGGGTTGGGAAGGGAGGGAAGCGGAGGGGACCTATTGTTGACAGGATGTACTGCTGCAGCGGCAGCTCCTGCAATGGGTGACAGCATGCAGGTGCCTCTGTGTCTGGGCCGAGTCACGCAGGCCCCTCCTCCTGCACCCGCCCCCGCCCCCCGCCCCCGGCCCCCCACCTGCAGCGCCTCCAGAGCCAGCTGCTTCCAGTCCGCCTCCGTCACCCCCAGGCAGGCCACCCGGTAGGCGGACTCGAAATCCTGGGGAGGGAGGGATAGGGAGTGGAGAGGTGGAGGGGTGGGGGGGAGTGAGGAGAGAAGGGTAAGGCAGGCAGGCAGTGGCGGAGGTGTGGGTTTGTATACCAAAGCGACAGAGTCAACCCTGCATAGCTTCCTTCCAAGGCACACACGCCCCCCCACACACACCGAAGCAAACACCGCCCGCCCCCACCTTCTTCTCCAGGTAGCGGTACATGGAGGCGGACTGGGGCACGTCGATCGTCTGCGGGCAGGAGGGAGGGGAGAGATGGTGGTGAGGGTGGCGATCATGCAACGCGTTGTTGCTCGCTCACTGGCAGCGCACGTCTGCATGGCATAAACCGGAACCGACAGTTGCGCTCGACTCGAGGCCATGTTTCTTAACAAGCCCTCAGATAAGCACCCCCGAGGACCCCCTACCCTACCCCGCCCAGCCCCCGCTACCCCTCCTCCCGCACATGCCTGCATGGATACGTAGTGCAGGCAGAAGATCTTGGAGCCCTTGAAGCCAACCACGAAGCCCTGAGGGGGGGACAGGTGGGAGTGGGAGGGGGGTGCGCAGGTGGGGTGAGGAGCAGTGGAGCAAGTGAGGAAGGAGGGGACTTCAGCCGTCCAGGACCGCCTTCCACGCCCAACACATGCAAAAGCCTCGGAAGTCTTCCCCTGCTTCCCCCTGACCTCCCCTCCCTCCCGCCCGCCCCGCCCCCTCCCCCCACCTGCAGCTTCTGCTGGTGCAGCGGGAAGTCGCCGGTCTTGATGGACAGCATGCCGTTGCCGCTGTAGCAGAACATGTCCTCGAACTCGCTGTTCCACGCCACCGAGTTGGCGTTGCTCTCCTCGAACACCAGCTCCTTGGTGATGAGGTTGTACACCAGCACCTTGGCGTTCTCGTCCACCACCGCCAGCTTGTTGCGCGAGGCCGACAGGTCCAGGCAGCGCACGCTGGCGCTGTGCTTGATGAGCGGGATGGGGAAGGGGTTGTCCACGAAGATCTTGAGGATGGCGCCGCTCTTGAGACCCACCAGCAGCCCCTCGCGCCGCGGCGGCCCGCCCACCACCTTGATGTAGCGGATCACGCTGTCCAGCACCCACTCGCGCTCCTTCACGCCGTCAAAGTTGTACAGCTGCAGCTTCTTCTCCTGTGGGGGGGGTGGGGTAGTGTGAAGGGTAAAAATAAGGAATAGGATGGGGGGTTCAGGGGTGGGTGATACCTGAATCCAGGCCACTGCACGCCTCTCCTCGCCTGCTTGCATGCTAGCGGCACCAGTCCCCCACCCGCTCCGTCCCCCACCCCGTCTAATCCCCCCACCTGGTGGCAGAGAGATGCGTGTTTTCTAGGATAGGAGTCTCCGAATGCGCTCACTGCATGAGTCGGGATATGGGATTGGGACACGTTGCTGCACGTATCAATAATTTCCCACCCTCACCTGGCACAGAATGACATGGTGCGAGGTGACGACCAGCAGGTTGCAGTCGAGCTTCTGCTGTATCTTGGTGGCCGACTGGTAGTGCATGTCAAAGTCGTCCGCGTTGGCCAGCTCGTAGATGACCACCTTGCTCTGCAGCTGCACCGCCAGCTTGTCCTTGTACACCGCAATCTTCTTCACGTAGTCCTTGCACTTGATGCGCACCTGGCAGGGGTGGGGGGGCGGGGGGAGTGAAGTTAGCACTGCGGCTCCGACATACCATAACATAAGCATGCACACGTGACTACCCCTTATCCTGCTAACCCCCCTCCGTCCCCTTCGCCTCTGGCCTGGCTGTCCCGACTTGGCCTGTGGCTGCGTACGCGTCTCCTCCCCCCCACCTTCTGCTCCGTGATGAGGTGCTGAATGATGACGTCCGTCATCTGGTCGCGGTAGGCGTAGCGGTCCTGGTACAGCCCATGCACGGTGGAGAAGATGAGCTGGAACAGCGCGATGCCGCCGTTCTCCGTGCCCACCGCCACGAAGTTGTGCTTGGGGCGCGGGCGCACGGTCCACACCCAGCTGTCACGGTCCGCGATCTTGGTGAGGTAGGTGCCGTCGCGGGTGTACAGGTGCACCGTCCTGGGGGGGGGGGGGGGGTAGGGTGGGTGGAGGTGTGGTTGGCAGGTGCCGAGAGGGAACGCCCTGCACCTCTCCCAGCTGCAGGCAGCTGAACTGGGTCATCCAGGCTGGCGCACTGCACCAGGAGCGCTGTGGGGGAGCGGCACCCCCACCCCGCCACCAAGCCGCTACGACGTGCTGCGTGCGAGCTGTCCGTTCGCATGCTGTTGCTGCTGCTGGAGGTAAACCCCCGTGGGCTGCTGGGCAGGTGGCCGGGGGGTGCAGGGCCCCGCGGGGCCGGGTGCGGCAAGGGACAGCACCGGTCCGCTCGCGCTCCCCCATGGCAGCCAACAGGCGGAGAGGGCAGGTGGAACAGCTGCTGAAGTGCCGCTGGGAGCTCCTTGCCACCTCCTGCCGGACACTCCTCATGCGCCATGGCAGCACACACACCTCCCACCTGCCGCTGCTCTCCCGGGGGCTGCTGGCTCGCCACATGAGGCTTCTTGGGCACCTCCATGCCGGTGTGTACGCTGGCCGCGAGCAGGGACGTACTCGCCAGTGTGCCGGTGTGCGCTTGTGCTGGCTATACCTTTACCCGCCCTCCCCGTGCCACATGGCGCACCACAGCAACTGACAAGAGCCATCCCTCCCTCCCATCCGCGCGGCCTCCTCCCCCACCTCATGTCGCCATCATCTCGCCCTTATTCCTCCCCTCCCCCTTCCTTGCCTGTCTCCACCTCCTAATGATCCCCCTCTTCTCTCCCTCCCCACGGTTGGTTAGCTGTCTCCCCCTCCCCTCCCCCCTCTCCCCCGCACCTGTCCGTCCCGCTGACCGTGATGTACTCCCCGCTGCTGAAGTACGACACGCACAGCGGGTCGAAGGCCAGCTCGCGGTCCTTGCTCTTCTGCTGCCCGCTCATCATGTAGAACTTGAGGAAGCCGTCGAAGCAACCCGCGCACAGCACGTTGGTCTCCTGGCAGGTGGGGGCGGGTTGGGTGGGTGGGTGGGAGGTGTTGGTGGAGCACCACTTGCTACGGAGGATCGTGCTAACCAGCCCATGCTCATGAATACTGGCACGCTACACGAACCGTGCCAACCCTTATCCCAACCCTCCCTTCCCAGCCCTTGCCCCATCCACCCCTCCACCCTACCGTCTACCTCCCCCGCCCCTCCCCTCCCCCCCTCACCACACTTTGGAATTTCTTTTTTCCCCCCCTCACCACCGGGTTCCAGCTGATGCTCCACACCGGCGAGGGCCCCGTCTCGATGCGGTGCTTCTCGCTGCCGCCCTTGTCGCGGATGCTGATCACGCCGTCGAAGCAGCCAAGCGCCAGGTAGGCGCCGTCGGCGGTCCAGGAGATGGAGCAGATGCGGGTGGCAACCTGCGGGGGGCGGGGCGGGGGCCGGGGCATGGAGGTGGAGGAGCCGGTGTGGACGAGGAGGAGGGGGACAGCAGGGGGCGTGCACAACGCGGGTGTTTGCTGGTAGTGATTGCAAGTCCTGATCGTTTGATGGTTCGGAACGGCCTCCCGCTTTGCCATGCTGTGATACTGAAGTGGGTTACGAAGAACGACAGCAGGGCACCAAGAGGGGAACCGGAGTGCATGCGCGCCCCCGTACGGGATGCCAACGATGTGTAGGAGGGGCGCCCCACCTTGTGTTTGGCAACGGACTTCTGCTCCGGTGACCAGAGCCCCACGTCCGAGGCGGTGGCGCTGGCCAGCTGCTGCGTGACCGGGTTGTACGACAGACACTGGATCGCATCGTTGTGGGTGTACTTGAGGATGCCCTCCGCCTGCGACATGGGGCGGGGTTGTTGTCCGGGGACGAGGCCGGAGGGAGCGGGTCAACGCGGGTTGGGTAGGGCAGCACAGGTGACGGACCCTGAGCCTGATGGGAATTCGCCAGGGCATGGACCACGCAAGGTCGTCGTTGTTATCGAGGGTCATGGAGCTCCCGGCATACCTTGCTTGTCCAGATGATCACGGTCTTGTCCGCACCTCCTGAGGCAAAGCGCTTGCCATTCTGGGCGTATGCTGTGCAGTAAATCGTATCCTGTGGAGGGAGTACTTCGTAAGTCCATGACTACAAGATCCAGCAAATTGATCACCTGCGGCATACCTTATGCCCCTTAAGGGCGTGCAAGAGGTCGCCATCCGCAGCATCGTAGACCAGCACACGGTTCCCGATGCCCGCAACGATTTGTGACCCATCTGGTCATAAAAAGAAACATCGATGAGCTGTGAGGTCGAGCGATACAGCTACCGTCAGGGAGGCAGCCGGACGGCATGTGCGCGGGACACGAACCTGGCTTAAAGCACAAGTCATAGCAGACGTTGCGAACGCCGTCCTTTTCAGGCTGCAGCAACAGTGGATAACAAGCATAAGATGACGCGTTCTCAACCGAGCAAACAGAGGGGCTCGGCCTTTGAACACCCTCGACGCTTACAGGAGTCTCCTGCCAAGCAACGACGGTCCGCATGGCTTTGCTGCTGCTTCACGCAAACTACTTCATGCTACCTCAGCAATCCATAGGCTTAAGTCCCGCGGACAAGTCTGGCGAAGCCTGCTTAAGTGGCAATTGTAAAGTCTCCAAGCCGCGTATGGAGTAGTAATATATAGGCAGAGCTTAAAATTAGAGTATTAGTTCGCTGAGATAGGAACAGTCGGGTTTAGTTTAGCAGTGAGTTCCCAAGCAATGCACAGATGTTAAGGTACAAGCTATGATCATAGCACTGCTAAAAAAGTAATACTGTCGGTGCATAGGGGAAACAGTCAGCGAGTTGACCTGATTTTGACGCCGTACGACCGGTTAGCTAACTTCTTCTGAGCCCCGGCAGGCGCCATCTGGGTCGCTCAACAAACAGCACAGTATGCTTTCTAGTATATTAAGTTGCGCATATCTCGGTATATACGCAGAAATACTGCCGTACGTGCATGGAAGGTCGAAAGTGCACAAGGCCGGAAAGCAATCGCACCCCCTTCCGCAGCTCGCAAGTGCGAAGCACTAGCTTGCCCCATCCTATTCAAACCAGTCCAACCCCTTACATACTGGCCAGCTCAGACAGCTCAGAACACCTTTGAATCGCCGTACCGTGTAAGCAGTTCACTGTCACCCTCCTCCCTTCCCTCGTAACAGTCACAGGCCCACCACGTCACAGTGGTGTGCTGCCCAGCACCGGCAGCCGCATCAGTACACGCTTCCCCACACACACATTCCAGCTGCGCACGCTGCCCCCCTCCCTCCCTTTCCTCTCGCACGCTATCACAGCTCCCACACACCACCACCCCGGGCAGCAGCGGCTCCAGGGGGAGCAGTGCGGATACGCCACCAGCACCCATGATGCGACCTCGCACGCTATCAGCTCCACCCACCTCCACCTCCGCCTCCTGCCCACCAACCTCCCTCCTCCTGCCCCCAACGCGCCCTGATCCATGCACCCTACACGCCAGGGGCTCCCCCCCCCACACACAAGCCGCCCGCTCAGCTAGCCAGGTCATCAAAGTCCGCTGCCCCGCAGTCCGCCGATGCCCCTCTCCCGTCACTCGCTGCTGCGGCCCTCCCCCTCCTGCTGCCCCTCCTGCTCCCCCTGCTGCTCCCCGCTCGCGCCGCCCCGGCCTGGGACTGCTGTTGCTCCTCCCCCGCCCCCGCCGCGGCCGCCCGCTGCCGGGTACCCCTCCTTCGCGCAGCAGCAGCAGCAGCAGTGGCAGCCCCGCCCCGCTTGCTGTTGCCCCGCCCAGTGAGCGCAGCCGCCCCGCCGCCCGCCTCCTCCATCCCCTCCTCGCCGCAACCACTGCCGCCACTAGCCGTGCCATTGCTGACCCCAGGCTCCTCCTCCTCCGCCCCCGTATCGTCCTCCTCATCATCATCAAGCCGCTTGCGACCCCTCCTCTTGCCGCCCCCCCCTGCCCCCTTCCCTCCCGCTCCCCCTGCTGCCCCCCTGCCGCCCTCCCTCAGGTGCGGCGGCAGGCGGTGCTGCTGGCTGGCTAGCTCGGAGATGAACAGCGTGTTGTGAGCCCTGAGGGGGGGAGATGAGGGATACGGGACAGGGTGGGAGGAGGAAGCATCAGAAGCTAAACCCTAGCAGCGGGAGCAGCCCAACACAGCAGCAGCCCTACCATGCCCCCCTCTCCCAGCCTTCCCCCCTTCCCAGCCCCCCCCTTATCGCTCTCCACCCTACCACCCCGCGTACTCCCCGAACCGCTCCCTGAACGCCCCCGCCACCAGCCCGTGCAGCCGCGGCGAGGGCGCCCGCCCCGCCAGCTGCGGGCAGTAGTGCCGCCCCGCCAGCGCCCACACGTGCGTGTCCACCGGCAGCGCGGCGGGCTGGTCCAGGCTGAACAGGCAGATGCAGGCGGCAACCTTGGGGCCGATGCCTGGGGGACGGGGGAGGGAGGGGTGTAAGAGGATGAGTGAGTGGGTGTTGGGGAGAGGGGGAGGGGGTTGAGGGGAAGGTAACAGGGGGGTCCCAGGCTACCTCCCACCCCGTCTCTCAGCCATAACCCTTTCCGCCTCCCCCCCGTTCATGGCACCCCCCCGTGAACGAGTCATGCACCCCCCCACCCGGCAGCTCCTGCAGCGCCCCCTCCGCCTGCGCCAGCGGCACCCCCCGCAGCCCCCGCAGCCACTCCCGCCCGCCGCCCGGCTTGGAGCGGAGGGCCGCCACGGCGCCCACGATGAAGCGGGCGCGGTAGCTGGGCAGGAGGGAGGGGGAGGGAGGGGGGGAAGGGGGGGAGCAGCGGGGACAGGGAGGAGGGGTGGGTGCATGGCAGGAGCCCAGTTAGGGTGGGGAGGTGTGGGAGGCGGGGAGTGCGCTGCGAAGGGTGCGGGGAAGGGACACCAGCACCACGACAACAGCGCAGCAGGGGAGCGAGCGGCGCAGTAAAGGTGCGATGCGGGCGCCGTGTGGCTGCCTGCCCCCCCCTGCCCCCCTGCCTACCCGAACCCCGCCTCCCTCAGCTGCTGCTCGGTGGCCCCCGCCAGCTGCTCCAGGCTGGGGAAGGCGAAGTAGGACAGACCGCCACCGCCACCGGGGGAGCTGCCGGGGGGTGCCCCTGCTGCTGCTTTTGCCAGGCCCGCCCCCTCCACCGGAGGTGCCCCTGCTGCTGCTTTTGCCAGGACCGCCGCCCCGCCCTCGCCCCCGCCGTGCAGGTCCCCCGGCGGCAGCAGCGGGGTGCCGTACATGCTGCAGAGGCGCTCCACCATGGCGTGTATGCGTGCGATGTGGTTGTTGGAGGAGCAGATGAACTGGAACAGGCACTCCAGCGGGTCCTGGCGCAGCATGCGGGCGCCTGGGGGGAGGGGGAGGGGGGTGCGGAGGGGGGGGGAGGATGAGGCTGCGTTCTCCCCGTTCTCTCCTCACCCAGCCGTCTGTCTAGCCATGGAATTGGGATGCCAGAGCTTCTGTCCTCCCAACCTCTTCCTCCTCTTCCTCCTCTTCCTTTCCTTTCCTTTCCATGAGCTACCGGTGATTTACCACTATCACACCACACATTGGAATTTCTTCTTTTCCCCAACAACCCGCCCCCCCGGCACCCGCCCCGCCCCCGCCCCCCCTCACCCGGGAAGTACGGCGCCACCTGCCTGAACCTGCCGCACGCCTCCGCCCACACCGCCGCCAGCCCCCCCGGCCCCCCCAGCCGCACATGCAGCTGGAAGTAATCGCGCAGGGCAGCGTGATCGCTGGCGGCGGGGGAGGCGGCGGGGGAGTGGGAGGCGGGGGACGGGGAGGGGGCGGGGGAGGGGGAGGCGGGTGAGCAGCAGTCCCCGCAGCGGGCCAGCACGCGGTACGACACGTCGTCGGGGTGCTGTCGGAGACACACCTGGGGTGGGTGGGGGGGGGAGTGGGAGGGGGTGGGGGGCTAGAGAAACATGGGTGGGGTGGAGCGGTGGGGTGAGGTGGAAGGAATGCACATGCTGAGATGTAACTGGGCTGCATGCATGTGCAAGGCGACCTGAGCAGAATACTCACGTGGCCTCTAAGGCCTGCCGCACCCCCCGACCTACCAGGCGGTTCCCGATGACCCCGGTGTACTGGCCGTCACCCGTGCGGCGCCATCGGAAGCTCTGGCCGGTGGGCAGGCAGAAGTCAAGCTGCAGCTCCTCAGGGGGCGCCCCCAGCAGGCGCCAGCCGTCGGGGTCGGGTGCAGGCGGCTCCTCCTCCACGTGCAGCAGAGCGGTAGCTGTGATGGCTGAGCTGGGCGCGCTGCTGGCGGTCAGGGCTGAGGTGTGCATGAGCGGTTGAAATGGGGATGTGGCTGGCTGCGGGCACTTGTGTGCTCGACGAGAATGGTGTTGTGGGAGTTGATGGAATGAGTTATACCTAGTGGGCGGTAACAACTGAGGCCTTGCCAGGCTTGCGTATGCAACCGTAGCAACACTCTGTATTGGGATGTCGCATGGGCGCGCTAGCATAGACCAAAAGCGAGTTTGCATGAGCACATCTATCTTGGAAACATAGGATATACTCCATCGGCACTTGCGAAAACCTGTAAGAACGATAGGACCCGCATGGGAAGGCCCCTTGAAGAGTACGGTTTGCTTGATAGTTGATACTACCCCACGGCTAGCCCTCGTATTGGCTTACTGCCAGGCCGCTCAACTGGCCTTATACGTGTGTGAGAGCCACTTCCTTGCTTGCAATATAAATGCACGTCTAGGATGAATCGAGGACCGACCTGACCTGCGCTGTAAACCACCGTCATGTCGACCTTTGCCGCCAAGGTGGCTGGGGGGTTACCGCGAGGCGGTGGGGCTCAGCAGCAGCACCAGCAGACCGGAGGTGGGCCCCAGCAGCGCCATGGTGGAGGCCCCGTTAAGTCCAATCCAGTTCGGCAAACGGTGGGCTTCAGCGTTCCTGCGAACGCGGATAGGTTGGGCTTCATTGGAAATGTGTTGATTGGTTACAAGGTGGAGGCGCAGGTATGTCCAAGCAAAAGCAATCTGAGGGGTGTTTCGCGGGTTCCGGTTACCTCGCATTCTACGGGCATGCTTTACCATATCTTGGCTATATCGCAATCAGGTTGAATTGGGAGTAACGCATTTTGCATTGGCGCTGCAGGTGGCGAGTGGAGTGGTTTATGAGGGTGTCTTTGGTTCTTTGTCTTCTGACAGCACAGGAGTTTCAATTGTGCTAAAGTTTGCCAAAATCATTAAAGATCCCAAGGCGCCAGCGTCGGACCGGACATCGTTGGCGGAGAAGCCAGTGCCAGTCTTGACCATTTCGGCGGGGGACCTGGTTCAGCTTTTTGCCAAGGACGTGCGCTTAAGCCCGGAGGATCTATCGGGCGCAGATCGCAGCGACGTAGGCTTTGAGACGGATGCAGCCATCTCCCGGGGCCGCGGCGGGTATGACGGGCACGCGCTAACTTGCCTTGTCTTGGTGCTTGGTTTGGGTTGCCTTTGGGGACCTACGTGCTCAACCCGTTCAAAGGAATCCATTTCTTCTGGCTAATCCTAAACAGCCGGGCCACTTTCAGACAAACCCTTTTTGGCCTTGTGCGCTGTGCATCAACCTCAGGGGCGTTCGTGAGTTGCAACGTTGGCAGCCGGACGAGGGCGAGGACTCAGGCTTTTTCAGCCTGGAGTCCACCGGCAATAGCTCGGGCTGGGACCAGTTCGCAGTCAACCGAGATCGGTTTGGCGTGCAGACGACGTGGAACGAGCACTTCTACACAACGAAGATTAAGCGTGACGAATGCCGCATTACGGAAGCGGAAGCAGAACGCATAGCCCGCGAAATTGAGACGGGCGTTCCCGGAAACACAACCAACATCCACCTCTTGGAAGAGCGCGGTGGAGAGCTGGCCCCCGATGTGAGTGTTGTTAAGCACAATTGGCGTTCAGACATTATGTTCTATCGGAGAAATTGCTGGCGACCCTTGAGCAGCTGCCCGTGTAACCTGCCATTGAACCTTTCGTGCACTCCCTTGCGTTCTCCCCCCAGGTCGACGAGGAGGCGCTGTACGGCGCCGTCATTCGCGAGCCCCAGCAGACGGCTGCCGTGCCGGTGTACCAGCCCCCTCCGCAGCAGCAGCACCGGCAGCAGCACCGCTCGCGGGGGCCCCAGCCGTCCGCAGCGGACCGGGCTGTGGCATGGGGCCGCGCTGGGTCGGGTGTGGCAGCTGTGGCGGGCGGCCTGACGGCGGCCCAGCAGCAGCACCCGCAGCAGCAGCATGCAGCTGCTGGGGGTTCGTCGGGTGAGTCGCGACGGCGCTGTTCTCCCTGAAGTCATGCGAGCGTTTGGGAAGGGGGGGGTGTACACGTGGGTTCTCTCTTGGGTTCCCAACGCCCCGCATGCGTTAATGCCCTAGGTATTGCAAGTTGCCGATACCAGTATTTCGCCCTTTCACTCTCCTCTTTGCCCGCTTCGCAGCTGCTACCGCGGCCAAGCCCGGCTCCATGCCGGTCCCGGTGCCCGGCTCGACCCCCGCCGCGGCGGCATCGGGTCCCATCTCGCTGGGCGGCGGAGTGGCTGCCGTGGCGGCAGCAGCGGAGGGCGGCAGCGGCAGCGCGGGCAGCAGCAGCACTGCGCCCATTGACATCGACCCGCGCAGGGAGGTCAACAAGGTCCGCAGCTCGCTCACCGTGGGGCCCAAGAAGGACCGCAGGTGAAGTGGTACGGCACCGAACCGGGTTATTTATACATGGAGGCGCAAGGAGGGGCGCAAGCATGGTCCGTAGCCCCCACGGGTCTTGCGCTGCTTGCGTGGCATAAAACTGCATTGCCGGTATCCTTCATGCCCTGCTTCTGTTGTCACTGCGCTCTGTCAGCAGCAACCACATTTCCCAACGTGCACGTCTCCCCCCTCCCCCCCCCAGCTCCCCGTACGGCACCCCCAAGCTGGGCGGCATGTCCCGCTCGCCCGTGTACGTCAGCCCACTGGTGGCGGACCCCATGTCCTTCTCGGCACTGGATCTGGATCCGGGGGCGCCGCAGGTGGGGGTGGGGAGAGTAGGTGGGGGGGGGGTTTCGTGCCATGTGGGTTGGCGGGGCGGCGCGGGGCGGGGGGTGGCTGTTGGGTGCACCGGAGGGCGCAAGCGGCTCCTGGTGCTGGTGTTGTTGTCGGCAGGTCATTCCATGGCTGGAGTTGCTTGTGTGACCAAGGGTTAGCTCTTGAGCTCGATCGCATCATGACTCTGACACTGGTGTGTTGTGGGTGGCCTGTTTTGCTGGTTGTATCGCAGGTTCGTCTGGATCCGGAGGCTCAAGCAGAGTTCCTGCGCTTCAAGGAGGAGATGAACAAGAAACGGTCGGGACAAATGGGGTGCGTAGGCAGCATGGGCACCGTTCCACCATACGCATGTTACCGGCGGGTTCGGGGGCTTGCTGCAGTGTTTGGTATGCTACCTTAGTTAACATGCTTGTGCAGGATGCAGCTTCGCCTCTTGGACGACTCTACTTTCAAAAGGTTTTCTTCCAGAACATGTCAAGACCCTGCGCTTGGTTGCTGTCGTCCCTCCTCCCTCCCCACCCGCAGGGCCGAGGCCGCACTGGCGGACCTCAAGAAGGCCTCATCCAGCTTCAAGGACCGCTCGGGGCCGCCAGCAGCCGCCGCAGCCCCCGGTGCCCCGGCAGCCGGCCCCACCGCTGCCGCAGCAAACGGAACTGCGGCCGCCCCAGTTCCCCCCGCTGCTGCCGCGGACGCCCCAGCTAAGGCTGCAGCCCCCGCAGATGGCGCACCTGCAGCAGCAACCGCAGTGGCGGCAGCGGCGGCACCTACTGCTGCTGCTGCCGCCGCAGCCAACGGCGAAGATGCGAAGCCCAAGACGCTGTCCAAGCTGAACCCCAACGCCAAGCCCTTCTCACTCAACATCAACGCCAAGGAGTTCGTCCCCTCCTTCGCGCCCAAGACCGCGGTGCCCGCACCTGCTGCTGCGCCCCCTGCGCCGCCGGCCCCGGCACCCGCTGCTGCTGCAGCAGCGGCCCCGGCAGCGGCCACCCCTGCCACCACCACAGCAGCCCCCGCTAGCGCCCCGGTTGCCGCGGCAGCCCCTTCGCCTGCCGCCACCGCCGCCGCGGTGCCTGCCGCCGCCCACATCGCAGCGGCTAACCCCAATGCGGCCGCCGCCCCTCCCGCCGCCGCAGCGGCTGCAGCCCAGGCGGCCGCCACCGCCATTGCCAGCGGGCAGCCCAGCTACCTCACCGTGCCGGGCTCCGGCGGCCCCTCCCACGGCATCACAGTGACCTACCACCACAGCAGCGCCAACCACGGGCACGGCCACGGGCCGCAGCAGGGGCTGCATGGGGGGCAGCACGGGCCGCAGCAGCAGCTGGGCGGGCACCAGTACATCCACCATGCAGGAGGAGGGCAGGGCGGCGGCATGCACGGGGGCGGAGGACACGGAGGAGGCCATGGAGGCGTGCACCATGAGCGCGGGGGCTACGGGTCGGGCGCCCAGGGACCCATGGGTCGGGAGATGCGCGAGCACAGCGGCGCCTACCACCGCGGTGGCGGCGGGGAGCACCACTACCGCGGCGGCGGTGGCGGCATGGGCGAGGGCGGCGGCGGTGGCGGCTACCGCGGGGGCGGTGTGGACTCCTTCCGCGGGGGCGCCGGGTCCGCCTCCGGCGACGGTTACCACCACCACCACGCGCAGCACCAGCAGCACCACCACCACCACAAGGCGGCTGCCGGCGGCCCCAACGAGCACCACGGCGGCGGCAAGGGCGCCGACAACCACGGAGGTGCCGGCGGGGGGCTGCACAAGGTCCCGCCGCCGCCCCCGCAAGGCCCCATGACGGCGGAGGGCCCCATGGGCACCATGATCATGAACGGGGTGGCTCCCACCGCCATGACGCCCCACGGTATCGTGCCCATGACCCCCGCCATGGCCGCCGGCATGTCCACCATGGGCGCGGTGCCGTACGGTGTGGTGATGGCCCCGCCGGGCGGCTACATGACCTCCGCCATGCCCCCCACGGCGGTGGGGATCGCCTCCACGGCGGGAGGCCCCGTACCCATCATGGCGTATGCCGTACGCCCCGCAGGCGGGGGCCCGGCAATGGCCATGGCGGCTCCAGGCATGGCCATGATGGGCGCCCCGGGTATGGCGACACCGTACGGCACCGCAGTGGGGCCGTACATGACCGCCCCGCCGGGCTCCATGCCGCCGCCCAGTCCCACGGGTCGGCCGCACTCCACTGGGTTCTTCCAGCCGGCGGGCGGCTACCCCATGATCGCCACCGCGCACCACGGCGGCCCGCACGGCCACCCGGGCGGCCCCATGGGGGCGCATCACATGATGCAGGGCCCGGGACATGCGCACGGACATGGACACGGACACGGACCCATGGGGGGTGGGCTGCATCACATGCAGGACGGGCGGGGCCCGGGCGGCGGCATGGGGCCGGGCGGGCCCAAGGGAGGCGGCCGGGGGCACCGCCCGCCGAGGATGGACCATGACCGGTCGGGGCCGCGTGACATGGATTGAGAGGAGGAGTCGTAGGTACTGGTGCGCCGGTTCTAGTCGGCTGGGAGGTGTCGGGAGTGGTTTAGGAGGCACAAGTAAAAGGGCGAAGAGAAGAGGTTGGTACGAGCGCTTTTGCTGCTCTGCGGCGGCATGTGGGGACGGCTGTGCTGGGGTTGGAGGAGTCTCCTGGAAGTGACCAGGGGGGACGTTAGAGAAGCAACTTGAAGATTAGGACTAAGAGGTATCTAAGGAGCGGGGCATCTTAGCGAGGCGGCATGGGGTTTCCTTTGCTGCCCTCTCCTAGCGTAGAAGGATGAAGGGGAAGAAGAGCGCGGAAGAAGAGTGGTTGCGGGCGACGGGTTGATTTGCGGGCGGAGGCGGAGGAGCATGTGTGACATGTGGAGGCAGGGCGGGACGCAAAGAAGGCGTGGAGACATGGGACCAGGCTTCTGGCGGTATCCGAGGAGTCGTGCTCCTTGTTCGGTCAGGTACAGCCCACGGTTGTCGTGTCTTATGGCATGTTGGCTTGGTGTTGGCTGTCGCTATTTGGTCTGAAAGGTGAGGGCGGCGAGGTGAGGGCAGCAGCCCCAGCGGAGGCGGATGGCCAGACAGCTCTGCTGGAGACGGCAGGGGGAGGTTCGACGACCGCAGGTGGGAGGTTTAACGTGCGCTTGGGTAACGGTAAAGCCCTGGTGTGGCCAAAGCTCACCGGGCTGGCAGAAGGGCGACGAGTCTCGGGACAGTTGAACTTGCGTACGTCGGTTGTGTATCATATTTGGTAAGCTCCCAGCTCCCCCCAGCAGTGTTTTGCATCGTAACAGGGGCATCAGCCAGGCACATCCCAGATAGCAAGGATGCCTAGTTGAACGTGCATGCTCCAAATACAGAGTCTAGGGCAATGCCTCCATCTCCAAAACAGTATAGTAAACAACTGCCGAGCTGTTTTGCTGATGTGTCACAGCTCTCCCGCAGACGCTGCTGCTGCCAGCCTCCTCTTCGCATCTCTCACTACCACGTCTCGCTACACGCACCAGCATTATGCCAGGCAATGCATCCCTCCAGCGCACTTGCGCATGTGTCGAGAAGGTGGGCGGGACCTGCAGCCACAGCGGATGCTCCTCCCCCGAACCTAATCCCAGCATCCAGCACCCCACCGCCGTACTGAGCTACGCTATCAGCAGCACCCCCTCGCCTCCCCCGGATACATGAACTCCCCAAGTGAGGGGGACCCCAACGAGCCAACAAGCCCCACCGCACCACCCTTTGCATGCAATCTCAGGCGCCGAAGAACTGACCTCCTCCGCCTCCACTGCTCCAGCTCAAACCTACACCTACATGCTCTCCTCAATATGCGTACCTACCGTTCCTCCGACAGCCACATCCGCCCCCAGACCACCTGCGCAGCACCACCACCGCCACCACCCGCTCCTGCTCCCCATTCCGCTCAATCTTCCATCATGAGCACCGGCGGCAGGTCGCGCACATTCTCCACCACATTCTGTCCCACCTTGCTCCGCCCCACCGCCCCCGCCACAGCAGCAGCAGCAGCGCCGCTCAGCACCGACATGGGCGCAGCGCCCGCCGCCTGCCCCGCCTGCCCCCGGCCGCCGCCCGAGTGGTCCAGCTCGCGCAGCACCTCGGGCGTCACCTGTGTGTGCAGGGTGGGGGGTGACAGGTGGAGTACAGTGCAGTAACAGGTAGCCTAGGGTTGTGTGGCTGCGGCGTCAGGGGTGCCGCGTGCCGGCTCATGTTGCAGTGCCGAGGAGCCACTGGGTGCGAGGTGGGGTGCCGCTGGTGGGCCGGAAGTGGGCTGTTCGGGCAGCAGCGGGCAGACAGCAGTGGCGTCACATGAGATGCAGAGTCACGGCTGGGTGGTGAGGGGGAATGCTAGCTAGCTAGGTACCGGTAGCATAGCTGCTGCGGCCGTCAGGCAAATGCCTCGATTGTCGTCAGGGACTGCGGACACACACCGCTGTGCGGGCGCCGCTCGGATTCGTCATCTAAGATTCGCATCATCCGGCGCCTCTGTCTCAGCATCACCACCTGCAGCTCTGATGCGCATGCAAGGCCATGCACCGCTGCTAGGCAGGCAGGTGCGCCCCAACCCACATGGCACCGCTGCCGCCTCTCAGCCCTCCCTCCCTTCGCCTCCCTCGCTTGTTCTCCCCCATTCGACCCGCCTTCCACCTCCCCCAGCCCACCTTGGGGTGGTGCTGCTTGCCGCACAGCGCCCGCAGCGCCGCCATGTCGGCCGGCCGCACCTCCGCCTTGTACCGCTGCACGAAGCACAGCAGCGTCTGGTGCCACACCACAGGCATCTGCCGCTCGTCGTCAGCGAAGCGAACAAAGTGGTCCACCTGCGTTGGAGGCGGGCGCGAAAGGTACAGGGGGGTTGGAGTTGGGTGGTCAAAAGGCGGGCGGAATAACCAACTCCCCCTCCATCGTCACTAGGCAGCGAGCCCACTCACACACATCCCTCCCCACCCGCCCACCCCTCCCCAACCCCACCCACCAGCGCGTCAATGACCCTGTACGGCAGCGCGTACTTCTTGTCCAGCAGCACCCGCATGAAGAAGCTGGTGGTGCCGCAGTAGTCCAGCTGCGCCAGCCGCAGCAGCGCCGCCGCGGAGTGCAGCACGGGCAGTGAGGCGCGCTTGAGCACCGAGGTGAAGATGACTGCCTCGCGCAGTGTGCAGGTGCGCGACTGACACAGCGGCAGCAGCAGGCCCTGGGGGGAGAGGTGGGGAGAGTGAAGGAGGAGGCGGGAGGGGTTGGGGTTTACCGGTAAAGCGGCCGTTCCATGCTGGGAATGGAGCTCAGTCGGCGCAGGGTGCCATCAACAGCCGCCAGCCCGCCTCATGTCGTAGCGAACGCACCACAACAACCGGGGTTACCGCCCCCCACCCTACTACCTAGCAGCCCCCCCCCACCCTTCGAATGCGCTCACTGCATGAGTCGGGATATGGGATTGGGATTCGTTGTTTCACTTTTATACAAATTTTTCCCCCACCCTACCTTGACACCTATGACCCTATGTCGATGCCTTATCCCTCAGTCAGTTAGTTGTTTCCTCTTTACCCCCCCCCCACCCTACCTTGTAGAACGCCCCCGGCTTGTACGTCGCCTTCCTCAGCGCCTGGAACAGCGCAAAGTGCAGTCGCTTGTGCTGCCGGATCTCCGCCCGCACGCGCGGCAGCAGCACCAGCGCCAGGAAGCGCTGCGCCAGGCGCGCGTTCAGGTTGGATACGAACAGCCGGGTGGCCTGGTAGACCGCGTGGGGGCTCCAGGAGTCTGGGGGGGGAGGGGGCTGCATGTCAGTGCGGCTGCCGCATGCAGCGCCCGGAGAGTGGCTCCCACCCGCCCACCCACCACGCCTCCTCCTCCTGTTGAGTCCCACCCGCCTGCTTGTCACCCCCCCCATCACCCCCACCCACCCACCCCCAGCCCACCTGGGTCGGTGAGGTACAGCACCTCCTCCCAGTTGCGCAGGTTGGGGATGATCTTGAACGCCTTGGGCACCGTACCCGCCGTGAACCGCGACAGCAGCTTCCCCACCCCGCGGTAAACCTCCACCACACGCGGCTCCAGACCCTCCATCCCACCCGCCCCAGCAGCACTCGGACCTGCCTCCCCGTCCTCCTCGCCCTCGCCCTCCTCGCCCTCTTGCCCGGGCAGCCGCCGCAGCCCCTGCTCCGCCTGCCGCTCCCGCAACCGCGCCACGATCAGGTCAGCCAGGCTGGTTTGCTGGTAGGCTGCCGCGCCGGGGGCCATGAAGGCAGCCAGCGCCCGCTCGTCTTCTGGATCCACCTCCACGTCAGCATCCTCGCCGTTGTCGTACAAGTCCGCGTCATCGTTGGTGGCGGGGAGACGACCCCCCCGGGGGCCGGTTACAGGCCGGGCTGGCAGGCCATCTGACCCTGAGTCCGAGTCGGCTTCATCATCTGAGGAGTCGGCTGCTGTGGCTGCGGCCCCGGAGGCCTTGCCACCGCCTAACCGGGCCATGGCAGCGCGCATGGCGGCCTGGCAGAGGGCAGGGCAGGGTAGACGAGAAGACAGGCGCACGTGTCAGCGAGGAAATGCAGCAGACAAGGGGCCGCCCAGCGGGGATGAAGGCAGGTGCCCTGCCCTCTTGCAGGTAGCCAACAACACCCAGCACCAGCACGGGGCTGTGTACTTCCTGCGCCTCCACAACACCCAGCAGCCGCAGCCTCCCCAACCCTCACCTGCGGATCCACCCGCTTCTTCTGCTGTTTCGACCCCGCCCCCTGCTCCTGCTCGTCCTCGTCGTCCTCGTCATCATGGTCCAGGTCGAATAGCTCCTCGGCATCGAGCTCCTGCTGCTGCTCGCGAGCCGCCTTAAGAATGCGACCGCTCATCTTGACATCCAGCAACTGTGTACGGCAGAAGGAGTGACAAGAGGTTGTGGCGATAACGTGTGAGGCATGATTGAAGGTGAATGAGGTTGCAATGTAAGTCAGGGTTGGTCGCTGCGGTCGTCGGTTAACGTAAGCGCGCTGTATGAGCACCGTAGGCATTTTTTATATGAAATACCTAATGATAGCCATTTTTGGCAGGTCGAGGCTATGCAAAAAGGTTACAAACCCCACCTCCTCTTCCTCCTCCTCCGCTCGCCGCCGCTTTTTCTCCGCTCTTGGCCTCGTCTGCATAAAGGTGCCATATGTGGGTCAACGTAATACAAGCGTGTGGCGACAGTTCTCCTGCCGCCGGCGGCTATGCCGCATGCGGCATATGTCCAGATAGTAAGCTCACCCTAACTCCATAGCTTTGGGGATCTTCTATCTGTTCATGTAATGACTTCCTGTGCTTTGGCTTGCGTACACGCGCTTTCTTTGGCATTTTACAAGTTGCAAGTTAACCGAGCACTCGATACTACGTCTTTGTATGCTTTCTATCTCGTGTGTCCTTTCTAACCGTTCAATCGTCTACACAGTATACATGCCTTGGTTAGTTGGAATGCCATATGCGCATTTGTCATGGACGAATGCCGTATACAACCGATCTTTACTAGGCTCCAGCAAGCTTGGGCATGCCTGGTTACCAGGTTACCCGTAAATTCCTTTCCCTTTGAAGGCATTGTTGCTACCGCATAAGCACAGAACGGTTAACCTCTCCCTTCCAACAATGCCTCTTCACTGAACGGTAATTTTCGTCACAAGTTCTTAGGCTACCCAACATATGAACTTCCCAGTACCACAAGACATTACAGTACCACAGCAGAGCTAAAGGCGTGACGAGGTTCATACCTCTACTCGCTCCATCGACAACAAACCTCCCCGCCTCTCCTCCCCGCCTCCCTCGCACCCACCTCCGCCTCCTGCCACCGCCCAGCCGCTATCATGGCCGCGGCGGCGGCCACCAACGGCGCGGCCATGCGCGAGGCCTACCCGCCGCCGCCCTCGCTCTTCAACCTGTACGGAAACGACGACGGGGTGTCCCCGCTGCCGCCGCCTCCGCCGCCCATCCCCACCCCTGATGACGTGGCAGCGCTGCGCGAGCGCAAGGTGGAGCTCAAGGTGCTGGGCAACCCCATCAAACTGGTGCGTGCGGGCGTGCGTGCATGGTGGGGAGGTGGAGGGGGAAGGGAGGTGGGTGGGGGAAGGTGGGGAGGGGGCCGGAGGAGGATAGGGGTAACGCAACTGAGCCGAGGCCAAGCACTGGCCACGGGGGCGTGACTATGGCCGGGGCTGCTTTCCGTCGCCTGGCAGGGTCAGGAGGGAGTGGTTGACGCGTGGGGGTAGCGGCGGCGGTGGGGCCGGCCGCGGAGCCACCTCGAGTCCCTTCCTCTGGTACCCCTGCAGGCATGCAGGCATCCTTGGCCCCCAACCCCCACCCCTCTCCACACTACCACCCTCCACCCCGCCCTCCTCCCCTCCCCTCCCCCCCACCTCCCCTCCACCCCCCGCAGCATGAGGAGCTGGTGCCCCCGCTGAGCACCCAGGCGCTCTATCGCACCCAGCCTGATGGGAGCATAGGTGCGGGGGGGTGGGGGGTGGGTGGGGGAGTGGCCGGGCGGGTGGGGGTGCTGGGCTGCCTTGCTGCTCTCCCTCTCCCCGCTGCTCAGCGCATGGCTCTTCTCCCTTCACTGCTCTTCCCCTTCCTGCTCTATCCCTCTCTCACTCCTCCCGCTCTCCTCCCTGCCTCCCCCTCCCCCTCCTCCAGACTTCAAGTCCGAGCTGCGGCGGCTGTCTGGCGAGCTGTTGTTCATGTTCCTGGAGCTTACCAAGAGCCTGGCGGAGCAGCCGGCGGGGTGAGGGAGGGGAGGGGAGGGGGTGCGCGAGGAGGGGGTGTGTTATGTCTCACAGCGTGCGGTTGCGAGCGCTCTCTCCGTCTGTAGGTCGGAACTGCTTCATCGGGCCGTTGGCTGGTTAGGCCGAACAGCCTTCTTCCTTCTGGTTAGGCCAGCTGGGGTTGGGCTGTCGTGGGGTGGTTCGGTTCGTCCATGAAGCACATCACAGTCTGGGTAGCTGCGTCCATCTCTAACCCCCCTCCCCTTCTACCCACTCCTGGCCCCTCCTCCGTCCTCCCCTCCCCCTCCCCCCCCAGCTACGCCCCCCGGCTGACGCAGGTGAACGTGCTGCTGTCCAACCTGGTGCACCTCACAGCGGCCATGAGACCGCTGCAGGTGGGGGGGAGGGGGGGCAGGGGGCAGGGGCGGGAGTAGCGGGGGCAGGAGCGGGGAAAGAAGAGGAGCGGGGGAGTCGCGCCATGGGTCGGGTTCGGTGGGTGTTCGGCGGATGGGTTTGGCCATCCTTGTCGGCTCAGTTGAGCTAGCCTTGCTCTTCTCCTACCACTCCCGCACCCTTCCCTGCTCCATCCCCCCCCCCGCCCCCAGGCTCGCGCCACGCTGGAGGCCAGTCTGCGGTTGCAGCTAGGCGCCATGCGGGGGGCACTGGGGCGGCTGGCGGCGCAGCGGGCGGCGGCGGAGGGGGCTCTGGCGGGGCTGGGGCGGGCGCTGGCGGAGGTGGAGGGGGCGGAGGCGGAGTCGGCGGCGAGGCCGACGGCGGCGGCGGCAGCGGCAGCAGGGGAAGGAGGAGGCAGCGGAGGGCTGGGGGCGGGAGGGGAGCAGGGGGCAGGAGCGATGGAGGTGGAGGGGTGAGGAGAGGGGTTATGAGGTGGGAGGAGGTGCTGAGGGAAGTGAGGAAAGCGCGGGAGGAGTGACGGAGGGAGGCGTGAGTTGAGCTCGGACTAGGGGCTTTGAGCTTTTAGACAACGGTTGTAGGCAAAGTGGTTGGATTGACATCTAACGTTCTCGGGTCTTCGGGGGGTCATTACACAGACGGTGCAGTGCCGTACTGTGGCTGGCTGGCTCCTGCAGCCGAGCCCGCAACATCCCGTCTTAGGGTGCACAGGTGACATGTTAAGTTGGCGAACAGCGCATAATAGGTTCAGATACTGATTTTCTACACGCAACGCGATAGACTGCAACAAACCTATCATCCATCTACACGGACGCGCGGACCACTGTCGCTAAGCTTTCAACGCTCGGCTAGGAGGCGCTATAAGGCAGCTGTGCAATCTAACATGGCAGGAAATTTGAGAACGCCGCTGGTGCCAAAGGAGGGCTATGAGGGCGCTTCGGTAAGGCATCGCGCGTAGCTGGACGTGATACGGAAGCTCTCAGTAACCCAGTCCGCGCTATGGAATAACCTGACAGGCTCCTCAAGATCCTGGCTACCCGCAGTACGCTGGACCTTCAGGTAGGTGCCGATGGTGCTAGGCTTCGGGGAGCAGAAAAGACCTAGTTAGCGAAGGCTGCAACAAACGTTACACGTCATATCAGGCATTCACCTAGAACTGCCAGTATGTCTGCAGTGTTTTGCAGCAGTCGCAACCTTATCGGCGCTAACTGGTAACTTCGCATCGCAGGTAGCAGCTCCGCCCAACCTGTCACCGGCTACCCAGTAATTGGGCCGTCCTACGGACCCTCATCGGCGTACCCCACCATTCCACCGGTGGGGCCCGGCTTTCAACCATATCCTCCCGCGGGCGCCTCCGGGGCCCACACGGGGCCAGTTGACGCCCCGCCTATCATCATATGCCGCCACGACCACCACCACTGCCATCCGGAGCGAGCAGCATGCGGAGGCTGCCACCGACTAGTGGTCCCGGAGCCTCAGAAGGTGAAGCTTGCTTACACAACGAAATCGGGCAGCATGGGTGCGGGTTGAAGGAGAACATTTGGTTCTGACTAGTATGAATCTGAGGTGTGGCGTTCACTCCTTTGCTGTGCAGGAATCGGGGCTATGTTCCTTCATCTCTGCAGTCGGGCTTTGCGCTTCGGGATGCTGGCCGTGCGCTTGCCTTCCGTTTTGCTGCAACACGACCAAAGACACGGTGTACCGTTGCCCAAACTGCAGCATGGAGATTTACCGGCGACGGGCTCCGTTTGAGTAGGAGGATAGGAGGATAGGGGTATAGGGCGGGGGGTGTATCCAATGAGAGGTGGTGTTGAAAAACACCGTTTTTGTATTTAAGGGGCATCATCCCAGGAGTGAAGCGTAAGCGCTGCTGTAAGCCGCTTAAGTCGAGGTGAACTTGGTCACGGCCTTGGTGCCCTCAGATACTGCGTGCTTGGCCAGCTCGCCGGGAAGGACCAGGCGCACAGCAGTCTGAATTTCGCGGGACGTCAGCGTAGGCTTCTTGTTGTACTGGGCCAGCCGCACAGCCTCGTTAGCCATCTTGTCGAAGATATCGTTGATGAAGGAGTTCATGATGGACATGGCCTTGGAGCTGATACCAGTATCAGGGTGGACCTGCGAGTCAAGATGGCGACATAGTTCAACACATCTACTTCAGCAATGCTAACTATGCGAGGTCAGCTAGCTGAATAGCACACTAAGAGTCAAACATCCAAAGAAACATAATAAGAAATGTAGCCGAATAGTCGCGAACATTTATAAACTCAAATGCCACTGGGCTTACCTGCTTCAGAACCTTGTAGATGTACACCTTGTAGGTCTCCGCCTTGTTAAGCTTCTTCTTCTTCTTAGCGCTCTCGGCGGTCTTAGCGGGGGTCTTCTTGGCCGGAGCCTTCTCAGCAGCCTTAGGAGCCATTGTTTTTATACTAGGATGTTAGTTGTCAAGATAAGTTGTGTGTGAGTGGTGAATATCTGAGGATGGACTAGAGATGATTAAGTACTCCTTTAGAGGAAAAAGTCCCGGCGAGCTCGTACGGTGCTCGTCCAAGGGTACGTTTCGTTCCCGCTGACACCAGGGTGAAACTCTGCACCAGGCTTTTCCAACCCGCACATGCACCTGGGAGTCAGCTGTCAACCCGTATTCCAACAAAAATTATTGCCTTTTTCGGTTAACCGCTGCCTCTCGTTGCAAAACGATCTAATCTGAATCCCTAACGAAAAGAGCCACACGAGTTGCAACCATGACTGGCCGCGGAAAGGGCAAGTCTGCGGGAAAAAAGGCTGTTAGCCGCAGCGCTAAGGCCGGACTTCAGTTTCCCGTGGGCCGCATCGCCCGCTACCTCAAGAAGGGGAAATACGCAGATCGCATCGGAGCAGGCGCACCCGTGTACCTTGCGGCAGTACTAGAATACCTGACTGCGGAGGCAAGTAACGGCTACCACAGAAGGCGAAGCTAATGGCCGTTTTCCTAGAATCTTGGCATCTGCAAGGTTTTGCGCGTTCCTAGGCTGTGGACAGAGATGATACTGTGAAAAAGCAGAGAACGTTAAGGGCTGGATGGCTGATGGAACCCTGGATTTCCTGCTAAACTGTGGCGCCTATGGAGTAGGCATGTCGTACTAACGGTAGATCAATCCGCAGGTGCTGGAGCTTGCGGGGAATGCTGCCCGCGGTGAGATCCCATGGCCGGGGTTGTCTAACTTTGGCTAGATTCTTACCCCAGGCTTCCCTTTTAGCCTTGATTGCCAGCTGCTTAGCGTCGTTAACACACAAACTCACTGCGCTTATGCTGCATGCCCACCCAAATGTACCCATCTCCTGATCTCTCCCCTCGCCTCCCCTGCTGCTGCTGCCTCACCTTCCCCTCCCCTCTCCAACAGACAACAAGAAGAACCGCATCATCCCGCGCCACATCCAGCTGGCCATCCGCAACGACGAGGAGCTGGGCAAGCTGCTGGGCGACGTGACCATCGCTGCCGGTGGTGTGCTGCCCAACATCCATGCCGTACTGCTACCCAAGAAGACCAAGGGCGCCAAGGCGGAGGACGGCTCAGCGGCTGTGTAAGAGGGTCTTTTAGGGTGTAGGGAGCCGTTGAGAGTACTTGTTAGCCATTCATTAGTAGCAACCTGTGTTGGGTGCAATTTAGGTCAAATAGCGCTTTAGCTGCAGGATAGTTGTGATGTACTTATGGTTGGTTCTTGTTTAGCGCACTAGTGTGTTGCCGGTTGCCTAGCATTGCAGTGGGGTGCACATTTTATCATTCATGCAGGAGTTGCGGAGGGCCGCTGTTGCGGGTTGTTAGACCAGTTACACCTTGCAAAGCTGAGTGCAGAGGGAGATCGCGGGTAGCAGACATACACATATAGTACGTTTCGCCTCGCGGCCACAACACATACAGTACGTCTGTTGCGCAGCTGCTGTAAAGTTGTTGTTGCCGAATTCCACCACCCCCGCCTCCGTGCCCTCCTAGAATCACTCCTCCACGGCTACGCTCAAGCTCTTCCCAGCTGCCCTCCTAACAGCGAACACACGACTGCACGCCTCCTAACCCACACATCTTTAACCACAGCCAGCACTGACCACACACGCATGTACATGCAGCAACAACAACCCGCAGCCCGGTCGTGCCGACAAGAGCCGCGCTGCTTCCTAACCGGCACTCAGCCCTTCGCAGCGACAAACCATTCAGGACCTAGGACTCTCGTAAAGCAAGGAGGATATCCCCGCTTCCAACACTTTGCAATAGGAGGTACAACTACATGCTATATATCAATCATCACAACAAACGACGATGCACCAACGTAAGGTTTGCGTTCCTGTGCACCCAAAAGCCGCATCCACGGCCGTTGGGGCCTTCATCATCCCACTAGGAGTGTTCAAAGCTGGCCCATGGATACCCAACCAGCATGCCCCTGCGCCACAGTGCCGACCGGCGCCACTATGTGCGTACGAATCCAACGCAGTATCTAAGTCTACAGGCAGGCACAGGTCTGCCTCACGCAATACCCGCCCCGGTGCTGAGCCCTGTCGCCAAACGCTGAACCCCTGCCAACTTCCCCTCGTCAGTCCTGCAACACAACCTAAACGCCGCCACTCATGTACCAATGTACGTGTAAGAAGCGGGAATTCCCATTCCCAACGTTTTCAACAAGTCTACAGGCGCCGCACGTGTGCCCGGCCCCGGCACCGCGCGCCCAACGATGTCCTCCACCCTGCCAACCACGTCAGCACCGCCATACCGTGGATGCAGTGCAGCTCTGCAATCCACACAATCTCTTCAATTCTATCGGGATATTTGACTCCGAAACCATGCCATACCGATACCAAAGCCATGCTAGCCTCCGTCCTAACAGTTCGGTCCTCGTGATGCCGGCAGCCATGAAACGCATGATGATATGCGGTGTCTAGGGCGGTATAAATGGTGTTTTATTAGGAGCAGCTCAAGACCATTCTCCTTACGACTCCCGCCCTCAGGCGTCGTGCTATCTCCCATGCGCGGCGGCATGCATGCTTGCCTGCTTGCATTCGAGCGAGCCCGCCAGCCCGCCAGCCCCACACACACGGCCCCTTCAGCTCCCCTCCCTCATCTCCCCTCCCTCAGCCCGGCAGTCAGTCACATCACTCGCCGTCCACATACACCTCGCCGTCCTCCTTTTTCATGCCCCTCGGCCGACACCCCGCACCCACCCACCAAGTGCGGACGGCAGCGGGTGTCCCGACAGCACAGGGCCTCGCAACCCGACAGCACACAGCCCACCACCACCACCACCAGCAG